CCTATTGGCGCAGCAAACTCCGGTGAAGGGATTGGTGATGGCAAACAGCCCACCAAACTAGAGGCCAGACAATTTCGTGGCCTGGTCCTTGAAGGAAATGATGAATAAGATCGCGGGACCTTTTTCCTCCTGCCGTCAGATGGATGCATTGCAGGATCTGACTTCACTAACCCGGCAACCCAGCATCTTAATGTCGCTGCCTACACCTCCACGTCGCCTATTTTTTTAATTTTTTTTTCCGCCTGGGGTTAGGGTCCCAAAGAAGAAGCGAGACTGGCCAAACAATAGTCCTATCTTCTTCTGCCGTATGTTCTCTAGCACTCTTCTCTAGCGAACATTCCCCGGAACTTCCATTGCTAGTATGTACCTATTACATACCGACATACATACGTACCTAGCATATATCTATCTACTACGTACCCAGCTACCCATGTTCCATACCCATAACTATACCCATACCTGTATCCATATCTACATGCTTCCAACACGTCCCGGGGTTAGGGGGCTGGCGGGCTCTGACGTTGTGTACTCTAGCCGAAGAGTCTTACGGCGGAGATTTGTTACCTGTCACTTTCCACGAAATTGAGAGGTTCGAGAGCGAGGAACGGCGTGTGTTGTCAACTGGTCCGGGACCTCCTGCAAATCACTTCTATTAGTTTTTAGGAACTATATGTGGTACGAGACCACTTATTAGAGATGGATGCTACCACACAGTTCCGTGTATCGGGTTGTACGGTTCTACTTAGTAAAAGATACTAGTCCTAGAAATTAGTCGCCGACGATGCTCTTTCTACCCAGGTTCGTGGATAGCCGGTAGGCGTTGCTGTAAGGGTTTTCTTCCTTTACTCCTAGACTATAGCGAACTTTTCATAATGATGACAATACTTAATTTTTGCATATGCTGGAATATAATCATGATTGCCCCTTTAATAGCACACCGGCTATCCGGGACCAGGCAGGGAAATGTAGAGGGTACAAAACACATTGATGACCCCAGGCCAATATAATTTATCCATACTTCCCAGTCCCCTAGATCATCCCAGATCACGATCTTATGCATCGTGATAACTTTGCCCGGCTCTGGGTCCCCGTCCTGCTCCAACCAGTGCAACCACTGGAGGTAATTATGTAAGATGCTAACGACACTGTATCGTGCACAGTCGTTTCAGCCTTATTTAGAAGTTCGGCTTTAATCGCCTTCCAGCAGCAGAGCCCCTTTGAGGAAGCGAAGAGAAAAAAATCCTCCAATAATCCTTTACCTAGGTACCTACACAATGCAGTTAGCCCTCGGGCAGACAAAGGACTTTATTGCGTATAACCTAAGGAGGTATTTTTCCATGTGACGCCTCATCAGCGGCTGATCCCGCTGAATGGGGACCGGGATATTCACATAGAATAGTACGTACGAGAATTAGCATTTACGACTCTTTTATCACCTTCGCAAGTAACTGCATTTCCGTAGGCCCGTAGTTTTGAATATGACCCTCGGTGATGCTGTCACTAGCTCGTGGATTGCTTGCATGCTACGGGACTCCCTTAAGTCGTCCTGCTTGTGTCTCGAAGCGAGCTGCTAAGCAAGGGAGACACGGCAAGATGCAGCCAACCGAATCGCCCCGAGACAATCAACTAACGAACCCCGAACACACTATACGCAACCGCAAGAAAGCTGCCTACCTCGATACACAAGATAATATTTTCCATATTATATACTCATGATCACAAAGCTTTTTACTGATATCACCCTGTCAATATTTATAAAAACCCGCCATCTAAGAAGCAATGGCGTCGAGAAGGCGAGCTAGTTGTTCTGGGTCTAGCCACGAGCAACGGTGAAGGAAGATGGACTAAAGGAGAAAAAAAAAGAGACCTGTCGTTTCATTTAACTTTTTTAATTCCCTCTCGGCCTGAGCAACTCGACCCGATCTCTGATTTCTCCATGCAATCTTGCAGGAGGGGGCGCCTTTCTCTGATCTGATTCCCTCCCCTCCTCCTTAGCCCTTTTATTTTCGCCGAGTCTCGCGGCCAATCCCCGCCTTCCACATCCTTCCCACCGTAAGCGGATGATGCGTATTTCTTCGGGTGGCCGCATGGCCCGGCGCTGGATCTCAAATCATCTTACCTGATTTCTGCGCTTGTGGTTGGAGGAACGCCCGCCAATCTGCCCCCCTACTACTCTGACGCTATATTAGATAGAAGGTAGACATATACATATAATAGAATGACGCGGTGTCCCCCTTCGCATAGTCTTGCGCTGACTGCTGTGCCATGACTATGATCATTCAATTGTTTTTTCCCCCATCCTTCGGTGTGAGTAGGTAGGTAGGTAGGTACGGATGTGTGGACGTGGCAAAGGAAAGCGTGCCGTAGGCCGGACGGGATCGTTCTAGGCTTGCTCGGATATCTCATCCTATCTTTTTAGAAATGTCCTTTTGCATGTGCCGAAGCGGCCCTCGACATAGTGCGCCGTTTAGCGATCTGCTTCAAGGGACCCCTTCTCACCGGTTTCAATCTGAGAGGACGCCACACGTAGCTGATATATGACATATCTGCTCGTTTGCCTCGGCTGGGTTCGAGGCTGGGCAGGTGAAAGGTGAATTCTCACGAATACCTAGTAAAATGCCTACCTAACTGGTAACTACCTACCTACCTAGGTAGATTTATTGGAAACAGCGTGCGAGACCGCCTTTAGACGGCGTGGCTGCAAGAGCTGCAAGAATTGTCTTTTTTTTCTCTCTATTCCCATGCGCACGTCAGCTCCCACGCGCGATATCTCCCTAGGTAAGGCATACTACCACCCAGCTACCACGACCTCCCATCGCTCGGGACTAGTAGGTGACATCATGCAAGATACATGGTCCCTTGGCACATCGTAGATTCGGCACTTGGATGTTGCCTCGTTGAAACCTTGCGAGACGGAGAAAGCAGGTCGAATTGTCCATGACCAGCTGATCGCGGCGCTTCAGATTGATTGCGCGCCCTGCAGTCCTCTCCTTGTGGTGCCGTGGCGACGGTGGCTGCATCTCTGGTCGAATCTGACTCATCCGCTACGTCGTCCCCGTTTTCGTCTGCGTAACCCAGAAGGATGGCCCCAGATTTTGCCTTAGCGTGACGGTTTCTGCATGGAAAGCTACCAGAAGGATGGAGATGCCTACCGGATTAGAAGAAGGCTATCGAGATTCGGTTATTGGCGAGGGTAAACCGCTGTATGGTGGATGACCGAATAGGGGTGATTCTACTGGCTAGGTACTTCGATAGGGGTCTACTACCCGATCTAGCATAATGCACTAGTTTAAGTTGACTCCCCTGGTGAGAGGAGAAATCTTCTTGGAGGATGAGTACCTATCATCTATAACGCCTTTTACTAGTCCTGCATGTGCCTGATATCTAGGATTGATCTAGCTGCAGCTTGCGATTGGGGTGATGCGAGGAGAGGGCCAGTGGCTTGAATATAACCAGCTGAAAATTCTGTGGCCATATTTTATTGCCCTTGGATATGTATTGCAAGGCATCTATATGCGAAGAGTTTATCGAACTATCGTCTTCCAGCTACCTACCAACAATGGTGTTTTCGCACTAATGGGGATGTATAACAGTAACCGGTTGAGAGTAAGACTACCTTAATAATCCGGGTTTTTCTAGTAATTACCTAAGTTCTACGTAGAGTTGTGGAATCATATTTCATGAGGACGAATCTAGGTATAATAATCTAAAATGATCTCCTTGCTTAGGTCGAGAAAAGACGGGATCCTATCGGAATCTCTCGTTTACCAATGCCAGCCGGCTATATGTAACTCATAGCATCTTTCCTTTCCAATTAATTACATGGTAAGAAGAAATATCTGGTTGCCAAGAATATTGAAAGATCTAGATGATATATGGTACGCGTCAAGCACATATGCTTACCAGTGGACTGGGGCTCCCTTACTTCTACCGACAGGACGAGGACTCAAATCCCGAGGCAAAATCAAGCTGGATAACTGTATTGGTTCATTGATTTCCCTCAACTTGTCTAATACAAGCTTCACTTATATATCATTACGAATCCCAAATATTATTCAGCTGTCGTTTATGTCAGGGGCGGCTGATGAGGCGTCCATGACAGTAGCGCGGGTCTTACGCCCTAGCACACATCACCAACAGACGAGTGCTAAAAAAGTCCAGGTCAAATAAGTAGCTCTTTGATATCATCTGGCTGTACACAGTCCCTAAGTATGTCGCGAGTACCACTATAGACCAGGTATCTAGAATTAATGAGACACTGAGCTAAGGACTCGTAGGTACCTGGATTATAACATGTTACTTGGTAACGTGTAGGTTACGTACCGTCCTAGGAGGTATATAAGAAAGTATTTTACCCAAGTCGCTGTTTGGTGCCTTGTGGGGGCATGAAGAATTTTTATCATTTCCAAAACTAAAATCGAGACATCCAAACCTCGCTACCCTAAAGCCACAAGGAGCAAAAAGTAACAGAAGACTTAATCATCTCCCCCGGACAGGCTTGAACTGTCAACCTCCTGATTAACAGTCACTATACGAATCCAGTTAGTAAACAACGGCAACACCCACGATGGCGTCAGGAATGGGGAGGAACTCACGACGCGCTAGCCAATTGCGCCACGGAGGACCGATATCCTCAGTCTATAGTAGGCTGGACGGACGAATCCGAACTTGACACATAAAATTCTCTTAGGGTTAAGTAGGCATATTAAGCTAGGCGAGATGTGCGTCCTCGACTAGTCCTGCGGTGTGCAGGAGACTAGATTTAGGAGACCCACCGGTCCACTCCTATAGGAGAACGATCGTGGGGCCTAGGGGGGAGATGCGGATATAGACGAGGCGAACTTGATGACAATGTCATATGCGAGAGGAATTGACAGCTCATATTATATTTACTATAAATTACGGAGCACTTAACTCACCAATATGTAATCTCGTGGGGAACATGAAGTAGCTAAGTCTAAAGGCCCCTAAGTGTCTTAGCGAAGAGTGAGAACATATACTTCTAGACAACGTGATCAATTGGGAAAAAAGAGTATGAAGAAAAGCCATGAACTGGTTGATGATCTATAGAGAGCTTCTATGAACCGACCATCCTCTCCCTGTGTATGCGGCACCCTCTAACGAAGTATGGCTCCAATGAATCTAACCGTCCCTGCCGAATGATTTATCATGTAGAGCCTGCCTCGACGGCTATGTATTGACCATGCCCTCTCCTTTCCTATCTTCCATGATTCGCGTAGCTTAGGCCTGCCTCGTGAAAGCCCCACCCCTATGACACATCACATAACTCATCCCCTTCTTCCTTGTCATCTTCTTCATATACACCATACCCCCCTTATCCCCAACGCCTCCACTTCATCTCCGCCTCGCCCCCCGGCGGCGGCGGCGGACCGGGCAGAATCTCTCGGAGCAGGCCATTTATATCCTTACCAGTAGTCCTCACATCCTGCCACTGCTTCGGGTACCCGAGACTGCACTCCTCGAACCTGACACCCGCCTTCCAATCCGTGCGCGGCACGTGCAAGTGTCCGGAAACCACGACCTTGGCATCGAACCTGGTATGCCAGTCCTTCGTCAGCGTCGTCCCGCACCAGAGGCTGAACCTCGGCACGCGCGGGATGAACACGAGGTCCTCCCTCAGCGGCCAGTGATTCGCGATGACGGTCCGTAACCCGGGGTGCGCCTTCCTCGCCTCCTCGATCTTCTCCTCGAACCGGCGCACGAGCACGCGGCACCACTCGTCGCGCGACGGGTGCGGGTCCGGATGCAGCAGGAACTCGTCGGTAGCGACGGTATCGCGTTCCTCAGCCCACTTCAGCGCGTCCTCCCTCGCCACATCCGGCGGCCGGAAGCTGTAGTCGTAGAGCGTGAAGACGGGACAGACGATGACCTCGCCATCCCAGACGACGAAGTCGTCCTCGGGCGTCAGCACGCCGTGCTCGCGCGCGATCTCCACGCACCGCGCGTACTTGGCCTCGCCCCGCAGGTGCGGCCGCGGCGAGGAGCCCAGCGTGTACAGTTCGTGGTTGCCGGGGCACCACCAGACCTGCCTGAAGTTGCGCTTCGCCGCGCGGAACGCGAGCTCGAGGTGGTCGGCCGACTCGCCGACGTCGCCGCACAGGATCAGCCCGTCCTCCGGGTGCGGCGCGAGTTCCTCGAGCGCCTTCCTGTTGTACTCGTAGCTGAGGTGGAGATCTCCGATGGCGTAGAGCTTCATGGTGTGCGCGCCCGTTGCTATGGTCGCCTGGGGCTCGGATGCGATGATTTGATTAGATGTTGTGGGTGAAAGTCGAGTGAACGCTGGTTGCTAGACCCGATCTAGCAGGTGCGCCAGGCGTATGCATCATAAAGTCCGAAGAGCCAATTATATGCTGTGATGCTTACATTTGTGTAGTGTTGATAGGAATGAGATCGAAGACCTTGAATTTATCTCAGAAAGGCACTTATCAGTAACTTCATTAGTAGGTGTCCACCTTAGCTGCATGATATTACTCTTATATGTAGAAGAGATATTTCTTTTGTTTCAAATTATACGTACATATGCATATCGAGTCATACATATCGTGTAATCGGGGTATTCCCAAAGGATCATAACAAGATTCTAGCGCACTTTCAATTATTTCTTACTGGAGCATCTTCACTTTGCGGCACTTCTAAGCAATAAAATGTTTAAGGTTGAATATACTTAGGTATCAATTTTGATTGTGTGTATATAGGTAATTTCATTCTCTACTTTTTTCCGGAATTAGCAATGGCTTCCTTACCTACGATCCATTTTAGTCTTGCTTCGTCTTCGAATCCCTGCGACCAGATCTATCACCCAAGTCAACATCCTCAAATTCCACTTTTGCCGGCTTAACTTTGCTCACGTCCATATGAGCCCTGTGCTCTTGCGCTAGATTCTCAAATTCCATATCGGCTGGCCTGACTTTGCTTGTCATATGCGCACCGTGCTGTTCCCTGTGTTCCGAACCCCTTGGATCGGCAGGCTTCACTTTTGCTTCCGCATGAGAGGCGTGCTCACCCCGAGCAAGTTCCATGTCGATCATATAGTCATCAGTGCCAGCCCTAGCGCCTCGTAGGCTTGGTTTCCTGAAACCGGCGTATGGTTGAACCTTGGAAGTCATATGAGAGGAGTGCTCTTGCAAGTGGCCTGCGTCATAATCATCACCTGATCCGCTGTCTGTGGATGGGGCTTCCTCCGCTTCTTCCGGCAAAGTCTGGCCCATGATGCATTCGCGCTCAAAATATACTTCAGGAGGTAATTCGGTATGGTGGTGCTCGAGTCCGGCTCCTGGTGGCCCTAGTGGTCCGATATCTTGGAGTTCGACTCGCGTGATGTTATCCTCGTCACTGTCGCGGCTGCGTCTGCTCCTCATACTCCTCTTGCTCACTTTGCGGACAAGTTCCCCGAATCTCTCTGCCCCTTGGTTACCCCGACGTCCAATCTCGTCACGAGCCAGATCAACTAGCTGTCTGTTTAAGTGAGCACCTTCGTCGATTAGACGGTTCTTCTTGCGGATCTCACTCCATCGAGTTAGAGAACCTATCTCAAGGATATTCATACGACGAAATTTCTCCGATGGATTACCAAGAATTATGGGTCTCTAGCCCACGTCTTCCTCGGGAATCTCGGAAACGTCTTGGAGACCGTTGGCTTTGGCGGCGGCGATGGCAGAGGCGCGACGGCGGATACTGTCTCTTCGCTCCTTTGTCCACTTGTCCATCTCAAAGGTTTTCGAGTTGGGAATGATTTGGACATGCTTGAACCGAGCAAATACACCGAGAAGTAGAATCGAGTGTAAGAACAAGGCAGATGCTACAACTCCTGTTGCAGCTCTCTGTCCTAGACTTCGCGTAGCTATGCCGCCAACCCAAGTTGCAGCCGCAGCTGCTATGAAACCAACACTGTGGATAAGGTTCCATCCAGCAGTAACTCGGGGGAAAGAAGAGTAATTGGTCCGTTTAATAGTATCCTTTCCTGATTTTGAGCGACCGGTCATCCCTGGTTGGAGGTCAGACGTATCCCATGCCTCCATCAGCATACCATTGCATTCAGCTATGGCAAGACATGACAAGAATCCAATCATAGATGCAAATATGCAAGGGAAGACGACATGTACGGGAGGACCAGAGGAGACGATGGTATAGAGGATGCCGGCGATGGGGAGCACAATGACAAAGATGGCTCTTCGGACGAGATGTGAGGTCCATGTCAACCTTTTGTCGAAGGTCATACTGTTCGTTAGCGGGCCCGTAGAGCGCGCTCGAGAGAAGAGGTTCGCCATCTGGAATGGCACTGCTAAAAGGGCACCGATTGCGACAGATGACACCGCGGTTCCCACGTATGTGGATTTAAACCGGTAGTATCTGGAGGTCAAAGATCCCAGAAGCTTCGGGTGTCAGCGAAGGACGCAGGTTCGAAAGGAGCCAGATCAACTTACGACAATGACCAAAACAACCTGAGAATATATGTACGCCGAGTAGAGTGCCATGATAACAAAACCAGGTTGCCGAAGCATCTCGAGGGACAGGGCTACTCCATGATACATTTCTTGTCCCCACCATTTAGGGCCATCCTTGACTCGATGCATCATGACTTCACCCCGAGCTACTCTTCGGGATACTGCTGAACCAGTCCTGACTTCGGCTACGGAACGTCTCCAGCCTGATCGTCGGACCTCAGGACAGAGAACGTTAAGAACAAGGACGACTGCAATAAGCATGATGCTAATGTAGAGCCCCCATGACGGTTGTAGGTTGTCGATGACTATAGCGCCAACTAGGAAGCCGACGCCCAATGAGCCGATGAAACACCATGTCCAAACGCCGAGCCATACACCAAGGCCACCCCCATGTCTTCTCACATCGTAACGGTCAACGACCTCCTGATGTGGGTTGCTGCTCATCAAAGATGCCCCAAAAAGGTCGGTTAGTATTGAATGGAAGTTCATGTTGGCAAATCCCAAAGCGCAGCCCATGAGGGCCCTGGGAAGAAGCAGTGCCCACCTCCAAACACTTGTGTATGGAGACCTGGGAGCACTAACTGCAATAGCTTGAGGGAAAAGTAGCGGCATAGCTACACATAAACTGCATACGATGTATGGCTTGCGGCCATGTAGCAATGGCAACGGCCAGCATAGGAAATTCGAAAGCGCCATTCCCAGGTACATCCCAACGTTTCCAAGGATCGTATAGTGGTTGAAGTCTGCAATGTAATACTGCATTGATGGAACTAGACCAGCATAGATTCCAACCAAGATACCGATCAATGCAGTACTCAAGCACGCAACAGAAGCAACAAATCGCTTGCGGATGGGCGACCAGTCACGGGCAATCGTAGGTTGTCGTTTTACAGACTTGGTAAGACTGAATCGTTGCCCATCCCGGATACTGACGTGAGACCTTCTGTGAAGACTTATGTTGCGCAGTTCGTGATGTCTCTTGGGTGCTGTTTGTTTCGGGGATGCTCTAGTTTTTGCCGGTAATGAGTCTTGGTTATGATGATGCCTAGGCCTTCTGAAGCCTGGGACTCCGGTATCTTGTAATTCCTTGGTATTGTATTGAGTAGAAAAGTCTACCTCATCGGAACCGCCATCCAAGCTACATACGTCCACGTCTCTGCGATGCACTCCAGGATACGTATCAGTTCGACGAAGTTTAGTGTCATCTTCTGGCGAGGCATCGCGAAGATTTCTAGAGCTGTTTCGAGATGTGATTGGAGGATGATGGAAGACACGGATATACTCCCTGACTTCTCGACTATTGGGGACGTCTTTGCCATGAGATTTTATCACTCCCGTTGGATCATCTTCATCATATGCATGAGGCATTGGAGACAGACACTGTCTTTTGATTTCGCTATCGGGAGGTGGCATTGGCAAAAGGCTATCGTCAGAGGAGACATGCTGACGTTTCTCGCGACTTGTATGCTTTCGCTTGGAATTCCGCCGGTCATGAACACTTCGTTCCTTAGGGGCCCCAGTAGAATATGATGATCGTCCGATATTGCCGCTGCGCATATCAGGTCTAACTAACCCGCGAGGATCTGTCCACCTTGAGGCCAAGGCCTCGCATCCATGCCCGAAGCCTTCAACCCCGCCTACGAAGGCATGTTGCGGTGCCTTAGTAAGTATAGGTTCCTGCATATCTTCACTTGAACTTCCGAAATGCTCATGAACATCAGGTTGTATCAGTTCAAATGTGTTCTGCAAATGACTAGGAAGATTCCCGTCGTCGGTATGTTCACAATGATCACGCTCGCTCGCTTCACCAGCGAGATTCAGTGCTTCGTTAAGTAGTCGTTCGAGGTTATGCATAGTCTTATCCATAGTTCCGGCATCTGCTGCACTCTGTTCTGAGAATGTCGTCACTCTGGATGCGATCTCGTCGACTATGTCATTGGGATAGTCATAATGCTCTTCATGGCGAGGGTGGGACTTCTCTGGTAACTGGGTAAGGTTCTCATCGGCCGACTCGGGATATCCAAGAAACTGACGGAGCCATGCGCCTGCACGCCAGGGGTCACTCCTCTCGGGCGATAGGTTCTGTTCCTGCTCACTCTTCTCGCCCTCGCTCTCTACACGACGTGGATGAGTGGTGGGGGAAACCGATGTTGTCGATAGAACTCCTCCTTCTCTATCATCTTGAAGGCCGGTTCCTACCTGCGAAGGACTACTGTTGGAATCCTTGTCAAGTAGTGCCATACCTTCGTTACCGTGGCGGTCGTTCTCCTGATTGTCAATTAGTTCGGTCGACCTTGGGATGATTCCAGAGACGACATCGAAGCTTTTTTGAGAGGTTGAATATTGGCTCGAAGGCTTATTTTCAATGTGACCCGTCGCCACTGTTCTATCTTTCAAGACAGGTGGGGTTACGCGCCTATCTTCAAGCTCCGGCTGTGAAGGTGTATGGATCGACGGCTCATCGACGACACTAGACACCTTGTCCTTCTTTTCACCTAACTTTGGTAGGAAGCCCCAGTATGAAGTGCTTTTTGACGAATCCTCGTCATTACTTGTAACAGACAGCTTTGGGAACGAGCTTTCTTCTGTTTTGAATAACACAACTGATGATTCATGATAAGGCTGCACCTTCTGGACCCAAATATGACCTTCATGATTTGAAGTGTGTTCAGAGCTCAAAGGAGAGCTGGGAGCCATTGATGGGCTGACCCCCTGTGTTAGACTATGACCATGTTGAAGATGCTCTGTAATATTGCGCTTTTCCTCAATGACATTTGGCTCAACTGGGGTTTTTTCATCAGGTATAACCTCGTTTATACTGCTCTCTGGAGCAGGTCGAACCTTAGAGATGTTCGAGTGGCCCTCGTGCGGTGCAGCCTTAGGAAGAAGTCCAGTTGCTGGGCGGACTTTGACAGCTGAGCTATGGTGCTTGTGAGTATGAGCAGATACATCCATTACACCTTCATGCCTATTTCCTCCCGAGAGAATGCGGTAGACTGGCGCAGTTGTGATGATATCTGACAGAGGGGAGAGTCTGCTTGGCGGTGTTATGATCGGCGAGTCGCGCTCAATGGCGACCCCAGCATCACAAAAGTCGGCTTCTGTGACCAAGCCAGGATGATGGATTGCCGCGTGCATGTCTGGAGGGTGCATCGTAGGGTCAAGACACACCACATGAGGTCGTTTAGTCTCATCGATTATAAGGGTTCCTTCGCTTCGCCTCTCGACATTAGCCATGGATGATCTTCTTGACGGAATTGACACGCTTGAAAACCTATGCCTCATAGTGATATTTCTTCCTGTCGGTTTTGGACGACCCGTCGTCAAAACCGGAGGTATTGGTGAATCTTTAGCTGGTTGGTCGGTAGAAGCACCCGTCTTCAATAACCCATGACGAAATGACGAGGCCTTCGATCTTGCAGAACCGACTGATTCTGGTCGAGTTGTCGTCTCTTTCAACGAGGGGGCCGAATTGCTGGGATGCAGCATGAGTTTCAGTTTAGACTCCATGGTGATGATGTTTTGCTTAGCACAAAACCACGGCTAGTCCTTGATCATTCGTCGCAATTCCTGCCACCGTCACCGAATCGACTAGTGACGGAGTGATTGATATACGCCAAGGGAAATCATGAAGACGAAACAGAAATTTGTTTCGACTATGGATAACTCGTAGCCTATACGAGTCCAGTAGGGCCTCGAAAAGAAGTAGAGATGAAAGATAGGATAATAATCGCTACAAAATACGAGTTTCTGTACGAGGGTAACGATGTTTAGGGATTGAAAAGATGCGGCCAAGAGGTTGGAGTTAGTGGAGGGGTTAGCAAGATGAATCTATCTCAATTGACAATAGATGGCATTTATTTTCACTCATGCTCAACGTACTTACCTACCTAGGTGCCTACCTACCTACCTTCCTCCTTCCCTTGGCATGTACGGGCCGTGTTTGAAGGCAAGTGCTTCGTTATATATATATAAGAGCATCTCTTACCTATGAATTAGTTAGGATTTGAGGGTGGTTGCAAGTTGCGGAAAATCTAGAGTACACTAACCTCAGGTGTAGCTCTTTCCTCAACCACCAATCCACCTACCCTCCTAGGGGATAGGGGTATTGAAGAGATAACCCGATTGCAACCATAGCCATAATGACCAATGAGAGCCCAGTTATGTCTTCACAGTTACTCTTTACGGACCCTGAGAGAACTCTCACCATTTAGGCCAATCATTCAGGGGGATTTGCCCCAGTTAACCACCCCTTTAGGATATAACCGGCAAAACAAGACATCGCGTTGAAAGGGTGTAAGAAGCAAAACGCCGTATATTCCCAAATATGTAACAATCTAGTTCAACTAGAGAATTGAATAGGTACAAGAATATTGCTCGGGACCGAAATACCCTGGTTAATTGTCTGATCTTGTAAATTTAGAAGGTTAAGTTTCATTCCCATTCCGTCCAATCCTAGTTTTTTTTTTTGAATCCTTTCGGCCCTTGTATGAACATAATCCCCGAACTCATTTCATCAATGCGGGCGATTCTTGCAACATCACCCCTATCGGGCCGCTAAGAACCTAGTGTACACTTTATGCACGGAGCATATTTAAGCAGAGCTGGTAGGGACGGGGACTATTCACATGTCAGAGACTGAGCATACGAGGGAGATTAAGGGGACATACAGTCGCTGCCGGTAGGGAAACCGCTGGGAGCACCGGTAGGGACGCCAGTGGGACGTGGGCCTCCGGTGGGACGCGGACCACCAGAGTGGCTAGGCCGACCAGTAGGGCGAGGACGGCCAGAGGCACCAGGGAAACCACTTGGGAAGCCACTGGGGAAGCCAGTTGGGAAACCGCTAGGGAAGCCGGTAGGCTGAGGGACTATTTGGATCCTGTTAGTCATATCCGCACAAACGATAACGGTGTGGTTTCTTACAGTCAGATCCAGAGAAAGAAGGTAGGCCGGAAGGTAGACCGGAGGGGAAACCGGAGGGGAAGCCAGAGGGGAGGTCAGAGGGGAGGCCAGAGGGGACTGAGAAGAGAGATGTTAGTTTTTCTTGTCAAGTTTACCTAGACGCTTGCTAGGTTGGTGTAACTTGAGTATAACATACGATCTGATTCCTGAGGTTCAGCGACAGGCGCGGCGATGGCGAGGCCGAGGAGGAAGAAAGCAACGAATCCCTTCATTTTGAATGTTGTAAGGTGCGATGTTTAGGTAGGTAAGAATTGAGTGGTGACTTGACTCTGTTCTGGATGATGAGATCTGGGTGATGAGATGAACAAGATGAAGAAGGATGAGGTCCTCGAGCAAGATATATATACTCATTTTGACATTCCCTTTTCGATTTTGAATCTCCATGACCCTACGGAGACACCCCTTCCTTCGAAGAGCCGCCGGATGCTGATCCACGCCCGGAATGAGTCAGGGGCAAAGCTCTCGGCAGCTTAACTAGAAGTTAGTACAGGTTCTCCTCGACGCAAGCCCATTACGTCCACAGCTACGACATCTCAACACAGTTCCGGCACGTTGCCCAAGACTGGCGGAGGACTGGCTTGTGCAAGGCCCGATTTAAGCTACGTGGAGACATCGCGGAACAAGCCTCGCCAAGACTCAAAGGAGTAAAGCCACATGGTAGTTACAAGGTGTTGGTTGGCCGATTGAGGGACAACCATTGCCTCGCCTTCAGCCTACTTGTTGCCGACGCGTAGTCTAACATGTTCTAGCGTCATCTTGAAATGTTTATAGATCGACAAGTGCAATTTATCTCCTGAATTAACCGCCGAAAAGTCCGCGACTGATGCGACACTTGACGCGTCATCTAAAGCGTTGGGATGCGATATAGGTAAGCTTAATGCCATTTGTCCCAGCCCTGAACGCAGTATTTGTGACGTAAAAAGAACCTATGATCAGATCTTGATCATGGTATTTCTAAAATTTCTGTAGTTGAGATGAGATGTTTAAACTTGTGGTTGTAATTTAACCATTTTATCCCGTTCCTGGACCATGCGGACGGGTACAGATTAAACTCGGATTAAATCACAACGTTAGAGGGACTAGAATGCCATCGAGTGCCGGATCTGGGAAATGCGGGGTGCAATTGTGGAGTTACAGACAGAAAAATGATCTACATCTTGGTAGTATATCATTAAAATATAGTTTGGTGGGTATAGTCGAATAGATGTGGACATACTGATGTCAACGATGAAGAGTTAGTTTCGTTTGTTTACTTACTTCACAAGCAAATAGTATTCCATTAGAGATAAAAGTACCTAAGTACCTACATACGATGAGAAGTGCATATGGTACCAGGGCATTAGTGTGTATGAGGTATTAATAGACTAAGAGGGAGATAGGTGTTGGTGTTATAGGCGAGGGCATATGGGCATACTAGAATCGGATCACCTCTCCAGATCCAGCAATTCCGGCTAGATGCCATGACATCGAAACGGAGATCAATGGACCATTGAATGCATAACATATCGAATCAGCCGAGTCGGATCTTCCTTGGCAAATGCGGCGAAGTCTGGAACAGAGATCCGTCCACACCACAACTAGACTTCAACATCGGATGAGCGTACTATGTATATACAACCCTAACCCAAGTACGTAACACAACAACTCTTGAAACATTAAAAGTGGAAGACAGCCTTGTAGAAACGAAACGAAACAAGGAATATTATTAAGGAAGGTAGGTAAATTCGTCGACTTCTAATGCGAATTTATCGGTGTGAACTGTCCGACAGATAGTTATTGACTTGTCAAAATATGTCGTGGAACTTAATAACTTCAAGAAAGCTTGAATGCTTCATGGATATCTATGTTTCCGTTAAGTCGGTACCTCAGATTAATTAACAGAGGTTCTAGGTTATAGGGATGGGGACCGATCTGCCGGAGTTAGTCTGTGATTATGTCCATAGGCGTTTACCTAGACAGGGAATTGATATTTAGGCGAGCCTTGTGCGGTCTCACGCGATCGAGCGTATATACTGTGGGCCAGCATAACGCTCTGGGTGGCTCAACATTATGCTGAGTTGGTCCAACTGGCTGTGCCAGTGAAATACGTAGTAAGCTTAGCTGAGCATAATAGCTCAGCCATTCTGGCTGTTGTGGTCGAGTAGTTCGGCGAAGTCAAGTGAGATTTAAGCCTCCCTTTTCCATAAGACGTGGCGGCCTACGTGTGAAGATAATACTATGAATAATATCGAGAGGACAAGAGAGTCTCTTTGACCAATGCAAGTTTTGTTTCGTTTCAGATGTGGGTTGTGGAACCAGTTATTGTAGCTTTCGCCCGAGCATAATGCCATTGAAAAGGGGGAGGGTTGCGAAGCGAAGAACGTGGCCCTTACAAACCACCTGGCAGTTGACAAGGGCGTCTAAGCCGCAACTTGTGGCGGTGCAGGCTAGTACATATGTACATGGAGACATTTGAGAATGATAAATGCGCGGGGAAGCCCGACCAAGAAAAAGAAAAAAGGAAAGAAACTTTATCCCATCTAGCTGTAACGGCTAGTGGCAGGTTCCACTTAAGAAGTCGAATGGCCAACTGCCTTGGTTACTTCTAAACTTCTAGGAGCCTAGACTCCCCCTCCGGCTCGTATCTAAAAGATGGATAGAAATGACGACATTTTCTACCAGCTCTAGGGCCTAGGTCCTAGGAGCTTATCGAACTAAGTGGTTCGTCTTGCTTCGTCTTGGTTCGTCTCGTACTTCAAGCTTGGAAAACACGAGAATGGAGAATATTGAATGTTCACGTTAGATAACGTCATGACAATACAGAGTGGTATTATGATGTATTCATGGATCTTGCGAGATTCGAAATTCATGGAAGGCACGAAAGAGAAGAAGAATATCTCGGAAGGAGCCAGAGAGAATTGCAGGTTCGATAGTGCTAACTAAGCACCCACGGGATCAAAGATTGCATGGGTATAGGCTGCAGCTGCGCATTCAATTCTCTGCCACCAATTAAATTTTACTAAACGAGACAGGAAGCCATCACAGCCCAGTTCAGACAATGATCACAAGGTAGAGAAAAAAAAGTCTCACTTCTTATCGTTATCTGAAATCAGCATCGGAAATCACCTGTCTGCCTAACTCATCAGCATTATTGCATATGAGGTCCAAACCAATGTATTGCGGTAAGTCCTACGAGAATGTTGAATGGGACAATTTACCAACTATGGCAATTTGAGGACTTTTATGACCAACATCGAAAAAAGGGCTGACTAGGCTGTGCTATTTTTCTCCGTTTTCTAGAACCAACTGAACCCATGTAGGTGATAGGACCCCGCACTAGAGAAGATCGAAGCTGAAGAGGGTCTCGTCCCTGCCCGGATCTCAAACAAACAGAATAACCTTGGAAGTTGGCGGAAATAGAAATTGCAAGATTACACCACGTCACGGCGCAGCACAAGCAAACTGCGATTTTTATTCAGTTATTCCAGAAGGAGAAGAAACCCAGAATCAAAACTGTCGAAGAACCGGGAAATCCAAAAGACTAAATACTTGGCCACGGGGGCAAAGTCTCTCTCGGTCATCGCCATCTGCGCCATTCTGCCCCTCCACAAAAGCTCCGTGTGCCAAGTAACGAATTAGGCTGGGCTGACTTACAGAGTCACATTTACGGCGCCCCTCGGCAACCATCACTCACAGATCCTCCCCATCTGCCCATTGCCGGCCTACCCATTGCATTTGCTCATTGCTCAGCGCCCTTCTCGCTCTTCTCGCTCTTCCCGGTCCTTCCCTCACGGCCCAACTTCAGCACTACAAGTTCTGCGTGACGCCATTCATCATCCCACATCATCGTCACCAGCCTCTTACTTTTTTTCTCTTTGCCGAGAAAATATATAATCTTTACTACTAGTACAGTCTACTTAGAAATATTGCCTGTTCTCCCTGGCATAACCCATTCCCATTCATAAATTTCATATCTTTTGAAATCAATCATCGAAGCTTTGTGACGTCACTGTCGCTTGGCTATTGAGCTGTTGAAACTTCGCGACGACATCCATGTCACAAGTTTATCGCGAGCGCGATGTGCGCTATACAAGAGATGAAAGCCCCTCGTCCGACGACGAGAAGTACAAAAGTACGACCGTAAGACGGTACAAGGTTGCTGGCGGAAAGTCTGGTAATAAGATTGTGGAACGAGATCGCATCGAGCGTTATGAGGAAGATGATGATCGCAGATCAAGATATTCTCATTCCCACAAAGGTCGCTCTCCCGACGAGGTGGTAGAAGTCGATCGCATCGACCGCCGTATTGAAAGAACTCCCTACCCTGATCCACCGAGATCGGCTTTCGATCCGCCCGACCGATACAGAGACTTCGAATACGAGCGTGAAGTAGATCGGGAACGGGATCAGTATCCTGAGCGACACTCTCGCACTAGAGTTGTCGAGGAGATTAAGGAGACATCTACCTCACCCCGTGACAATTATTGGGACCGTCGACAAAACTATCCGTGGGATGACACGGACGTCCGCCTTGATAAACGTGTGGTGCGCCGAGACGGCGACGGCGACGTGAAAATAAAGGAAAAGACTGTGGAAGAACATAGAGACGACTCTCGCGACTATAGAGAGCGCGACTGGAAGGTCGAACGCCGCGTTGTCGAAGAAAGGGAACCGCCGCGTGACGTCGATGTTGAGCGATACAGGAAAGAGGTCGAGTATTATGCCGCACCCTCCCCACCTCCCGCCCCTGTTATCATTCGTCAAAAAGCTCCCGAGCAGAAGGTTGTTATCCACGAAGCTGCTGCGCCGGCTCCTGTATTCCTTCCACGTCAGGAACCCACATATATCGTCCTAAGAGATGAACACCGCGAAGTCGCGCCGCCACGCCGAGAGGAGGAAGAGCATCACCGACGACGCCGTGATGAGAGAGAATACGAAAGTGACGGATATGACGAAGATTACTATGTTAAGCGAACCATCATAAGACGAGACCGTAGTTCAAGCGCCGACCACAAAAAACGTCATCTAGCTGAAGGTGCCCTGGCCGGTGCCGGTCTTACTGCCCTATTATCCGGCCGTGGTAACAAGGATACCGGTTACCACGAACACCGAGGCCGCAAGGTTCTTGCCGGTGCCGCTTTGGGTGCTTTGGGCACTGAAGCTATGCGTCGTGCCAAGAGCGCGTACGAAGACAGACATGACGACAGATACGAAGATGACTATGACGACGGTTATCACCACCATCGTCAGCGTAGCAAGTCGCGCAGTAGGCTAGCAACTGGCTTAGCGATCGTAAGTTACCCGGTTCTTTGCCGCGTAGGAAGATTCATGCTGATGCGTTTATAGGGTGCCGCTGCTCTTGCTGTCGCTGGTGGCCTGAAGTATATGCAAAACAATAAGATCGAGAAAGAAGAAGCTCACCGTGGACGCGCGCGGCGTCGGTATTCTGCGGATTCTTACTCGAGGTCCCCAAGTCGGTCATCGCGCCGCTCCCGCAGCCGTAGCAAGTCGAATTCGAAGGCGGCCAAGGCAGCTCTAGCGACAAGGTAAGTGTTACATATCTTAGACAATACCTATTTCATCTAGCTTCCTTAATTGTTTCAATTGTGGGCGAATAGTTATTGTTCTAGATGACAGATCGCTGACTGTTGAATTCATCAGTGCTCTCGCTGGCGTAGTGGAGCACTACAGATCTAAATCTCGCGGAAAATCTCGGTCGAAGTCTCGTCTCAGGACAGGTGAGTAACAACTTATATGATATCATATTATTAAAACTACCTCTAACTCTGGTTAGGAGCTGAAATTGCAGCTGCTGGGTTGACCGGCGCTGCAGCGAGCAAGATATGGGATCGCCATAACGACAAGAAAGAACGCGAACATGATAGGGAATTAGATGAAGAATATTCTGACAGAGATCATGATCGAGGCTACTCAAGGAGCCGATCCCGATCCCACTCCAGGTCTCTTAGTCGCCATTCGCGTTCCCGAGACTCCACGGCTGATAAAGAATTAGGCCTGGTACCTTATCCCGGCGTTGAATACGGGAGTCAACCTCTCGAGGATCACGAGTCGGCGAGCGGAGAACCACGACGCCGCACTCGCCATCGTCGCCGGTCAACTTCCGCGACATCTGATCGAGAGACACGTAAGAAGAGGAGTCGGAGCACGCTCCGTGATGTTGCAGCTGCTGGGCTTGGCACTGCCGCTGCCGCGATAGGCCTCAAGAAATATAACGACCGTCAGAAGAGCAAAGAAAGAGAAAAGGATCGGGAAAAGGATCGGGAAGATAAAGGTAAATCCAGAGATAGAAGTCGGAATCGCTCGCTTGATAGGGAAGACGGGAATCGGGAAAGACGAAAAACCAGAAGGTCCCGTGACCGTGAACGAATGCGTATGGACGATTTACTTCCTAGTGTGAGTTCGTAAGGCTAACGAAAAACAGGTTATGAAGAAGAAGCGCCAAATCCATATTACTATGGCGATGAGGTGCCACCATCTCCGCCTCATGCGTCAGGCGGTGCTTATTATCCTCCCCCGCCTCAGGAACCCACCGGACCACCGCCAGCCGGTCCTGGTGGGTTCATGTATCATCCTAACCCATCTACAACAAATTTCAACGCCTACCCTCCGCACCAGCCATATGACCCTCGCGACTACATAAACCAATCTCCCATGAACCTCCCACCGCCACCCCCTGGACCTCCACCATCCGGGCCCCCACCCCCAGGCTCGGGTAACCGTCCCGGGCCAGAAAATGTGAGTCGTCCACGCTCTGGTGACATCCAATCCCATCCCGATGCCTCTCGGAGCCCGGCTACTGAGCAGGGTGCGTCTCCTTGAGTATATTCTATCTTACAAGAAGTCTATGCTAGGTAGACTGTTAAATATAAACATACCTACTGACTTTGCCCTTAGATGGTTTAAATTACCAACAGCGATCGCGTTCGCCCTCTCCCAGCCCCAAGGAAGTCAAATTCGGCCCCTTATCGCCCAAGTCCCCTCAAACTCTCCGAAGACATCGCCGGACTCTTAGCCGACCACTAGATGAAGATGCTGTTGATGAAGAGCTTGCTCGTCTTACCCGACCCCGGAACTCTAGACAACGGTCGGGCTCGGAACCGCATTATGATCGTCCACGCGTCCAACGACGCAGAAGACGTGGTGACCAATCGCCGGCCTCTGATGATGGCGATGTCGAATACTTACCTGACCGTTTCGATCCTTCTGGCCGACCGCTCGACAACGATACTAATACGCTTAGCGGAATCCCAAGGCAAGGCTCTTTCGAGTACCTCCCGCGCGACGATAATGACTGGCATATCCGCGGCGCGTGGCGGACGCTCGGAAATCCGGACCCGACGCTCGTTAGCGAACTCGCGCAGACTTTTGGCGGGCTGTTGCAGCCCAGGGGCGGGTTGTTGGGGATGCTTGGGCATGCGCTAAAGGAGGTTTAATTTCCGTCTAGTTGCCTACAAAACCTAATATAGGCACTTAATGATACAGGGCAGAGACAGTGGGTGGGCAAAGAGGTTGAGAGCGATGAGATATGCTCTGATGGAATGATTCAAGTATTTCTTTTCTTTTTCCTTACTAACGAGTCAACGAATTTATGGTGTCTCCAGACCAAGCTATAGATTTTGAATTCTTGACGTTTGATGACGGAGGGAGCGGTGAAATGGTTAACGACTCACGAATGGGTTTCTCTTGATAGGTACCTTAACGATTTGATTTGATTTGATGGTTTATTAAGTTATTTTATTTGACGATATTCTTCGTACATGTGATTTGCTCTAGTCAAAATACAAGAAATAGTGCCTCCACAACTCCTACCTGCTTGCTCCAACGACTGCATCATCAACCTCTCCGTCGATCTCCAAATCCTCTATCAACCGCCACAACTCACTCGAATCGTCTAATAGCCAGTGCTTAAGGCATTGAGTTGCCTCAAATCTGCGCTTATTCTTACGGTGCATCGCCGGCTCTGCCAGATTGAACACCCTCTCGCACTCAGCTGTCGTTGCCGGGATCGAGAGCACGTCAAGGGCAAACTTGTGAAGCTGGGGAAACTCCTCCTGCCTATCTTGCCACCATTTGAGCGGATCATCGCCCCGCCCGAATTCCGTCCATTCCATATTGAGGTATCGCTGCAGCTCATCGCTGGATTCCTCCGGATAGTCCGCGTCGTATATCGTGCGTCTGGGTTCCCGCTTCTGCTGCCGTCTCCTCCTTGATCGTGGGGCTGTGTCCTGGTGATCGGCGCCCGACATGGGCGTATCGATGGGAGGCGGCGTTGGATCCGCGTAGTTCTCTTTCCAGTATTTACTGACTATGTCCTCAACTTTTGAGGCTAGATCGCTATCGGATTTCCTTACGCCTTTGAGGCGACAGCCGGGATGGAGGACCACAGCTGCTCAATACGCTGGGTTTTCGTCCAGTAGACGGAGATATTCCTGGAGTTTTGCGTGTGCGCGCAGCAACGCCCAAAGAATCTGTTGAAACCCCATTCCTCCTAGTAGTTGACGTTTAACCTTTTCAACGTCATCTCCGTTTTCCAGCTTTACCCGTTTATTATTGATTGGGTCGTCGTTGGATTTCGGCATGGTCTTCCGTTTAAGCCGTTGGCTAAGGGTTTCAGGAGTGCGTTGGGAGTTGGACTGGGACTGGGGAGGGGTATCTATATAAACTTCGGGTTCGGGATTCATTTCGCCAACTGACTGTGATCCGTATGCTATAAGATACTTCCGAAGGTGACGTTCCAGCTCATGTAGATCTGCCATTACGTTTGGTAAGTCAATCCCATTGTCCTCATTAGGATAGGCGAGACGTTCGAAGGGTTCCAGGATCTCCAGAACCTCATCAAGACAAGCCCATTCTTGTTCAGATAGAACGTCCTCGGGCGGAAAATCGATTCTGGGAGATCGAAATGTATCAGCAAAGCTGTTGACGGGAATTTTCAGTGAAAGCATATTAGAAATCATGTCCGCAATTTCATTCCATGTAGTGCTATTGCCAACGGCTTGGCGTAGTCGGAATTTCTCTTCTAACTCCCATATTGGTTTAGAAGCCCCTGGTAAGGTAGAGACTGGTGAGCTAGAACTAGGTTCGTCGTCGAAGAACTCTTCGGAATCAGACTCCGCGAGAAATTCATCAATATCCTGATCGTCAACTGGTAGGCTGTTCTTATTCTTTGCCTTGCTGGCTTCCTGGCGAAACGCCTCTCGTCGTTCAGGGAGCTCTCTGATGTAGTTGTTCAAATAATGTGCTTTCTGCATAGCTAAAGTAGCTATTGTGTGGTCCTCTCCCTCGTCCTGCAGAAACATGAAGTTTCCCGCAATGATGTTGATTACGTGCCCAATACATCGTATATGAGACTGCTTGACTAGGAGATCGACAGTTTCTTTATCTTGAGTATCATGGTGAAATTTCAAGAGAAATTTTAAAGCCTTGCCATTTGCTGCCAGAAAGCCAAGTTAGTAAGTATATCAAATACCCAAATGATGGGAAAACTTACAGCCACGGTTGTCAAGGGTATAAAAGCCCAGCCTATCCCTGATCCCGTATTCCTCGATCACATTGTTTAGGTGACCCCACATGTTATGGCTATTGCATATGCCTTCAATACGCCGTAGGCCTAACAACCGCTTTCTGAGCTTGAACTGATCATCAACAAAGTGAGCAACGATCGCAACGAACCCGGTGATGTATGGTGAAGACCACGTGTCGAATGATAGGTGAATCTTCGACGTTGCGCTCCTTAGTTGAGCACGTACTGCGTAGCGAGACTTATTGAAGAGATGAAAGATCCATTCGTCGATTGTGGTGGCTGACTTCGGGAACATATTTGCAGTCTGCCCATCATTGCTGATTGACACAGCGGTTGCCCGAAGCTTAGCTATGGTAGAGGCGTCGCTCGGGATATCACCGACAACCATCATCCTGACCAAAGCCTTCTGAAAATCTTCATACTTTTTCAGAGCAGCTGCTTCCCTATCTCCCTGGCCTAGGAGTCGTTCCCTAATGGGGACGGATAGCTGAACACCCTGCCGGACAGAAGGGACGGACAAGCGCACTCTATTTTCTTCCAAGACCTGAGAGTGGCCGCTTTTCGTTGTCGTGGTGAGGTGCTTCCTGGCTGCCGAGGTCGCCTTGCCATCAAAGGTCTTAAATCGACCCTCTTGATCACACAAGTGGCAAACCCAGATTTTCCCTCCCAGTTGTTCAACCCGCTCCCCCTCCTTGTCGATGAGGTTGGAAATAGGGATGAGGTAATTTCCGTACTGGAGTATGAGTGAGTCGGTCGATCTGTTCAGCCATTCGTTCGCGATATATTCGACGCCTTTGATTTTCAATCGAGGGAGTTGCTGCCAGGTTGCGCCAGGGGGAATCTTGGGTGTAAGTCTAACGATCTCCTCGCGAATGGTCCATCGCTGGGAGTTCGTATCAGCGACTTCCTGGGATGATTTCAACATCGCGAAGGCGTTATTAGACATGGCGGGCAGTTTGTCGTGCAATGGCAACGGTAAGTTAGAGATCGCGTTGCCGACCTCAGGACTCAGGTAGCTGGGACGGGCTACATACTAGTATCGCGAGCTCCAAGCCCCGGCTGCTTGGATGGCTTGAGGGCGATCGGCAGGAACGACTTGCAAGCCCAGCTGCTCGGGTCGCTATGCGGCTCTGCCGTCTCGTATATCATTAGCTCGCAAGGTGCAAACCTCCTAGCTTAGGGGTAAAACGGGGGAATATATGGGGCGCGATACCTTCTAATATGAGGGATCCACCCAAACCAAGCAAAAATTGGTTGATTTTAATTTGGCGAAATTGCTCCAAAGCGTGGCTTGTATTTCGTAAGTCAAACCTCAGATGGAATTATGTCATATATGGCTCGGTTTGATGGGAAAAGGAAATTAATTGCTTCTGCAAGCCTACCTAGCTTTAGGGCATTGATGAATACCAAGCTTACCAGGCCTACGTAACATGTTTAGTACCCAAATTTATGCTGGTTCAGGCTACCGCTGCTTAGGTAGGTACCTACCTACCTAGGCTTTGATTTCACCATATTCTTAGTCTGTCGTCACTCTTCATAATATCGTATCTTTCGAAACATCAAGAGAAGTATACGAGCCACGATAACACGCCATTACTTAAATTGATTACTGCTGTACTAAATAAGTTGGGATATGATGGTAAAGCAGGACGGTCATAACCTCGAGTTATGATATGGATAAGTTAAGAGGTAAATCAGGTCGTCAACAGTAGATACACATATCATAAAATATGAGATCTCGATTTAATGCTATGAATGGCAAGTATCTTCCACTATGGCTGACGTTTTCCTGAGATAACTTCGCATTATATAAATATCGCCTTGACCCATAACCAATTGTAATAGCGATTGGTATCACACTCGCTCCGTAGCTGAGAGAGAACCGGCTCTTGGATGTTTGATCTGTCAACACAATGCACATCCCAACCTCCTTCGATATCCCTGTACAAACGTGCCCGGGATCTATCGCGTTTTATGACCGGTATCATTAGCCTAGATATCATCGATAACTTGTTCGGGACACTCAAATAGGAATAATAATATCAACGAGATCTTAGGAGTCACCCAAATTGAATAAGTACCTACGATGCTGGGAATATCGGTTATGTAATACCTTAAATCGACGCCTCGCGGCTACATACATAGGTACATAACCGGAAACTACCCGAGCCCGAGCCCCCTGTCTTCTGATGCCTACAGTCGTCTCCAAAAGCAGAGATCCGTGATAGCCCCAGATAAATCCCCCGATGTCAAAGCTCCTTGAAGAACTTTGCAGCTTCCAACATTTTGTAGATCTCCCTCTACGAGGCTCAAGAAGCAACCTCGAAACCAGATAACCAACAAGTTTCAGTCATGATTGCAACCCCAGCTTCATTAGTCATTGGCCCGTCATAGCCCGTCGAAGCCCGCCGCCACGGAATCGAAGCGAATTACTTGCCTAACGCAGTATCGACGTGATTCTAACCTATGAGCTTCGTTTCGAGCATCCATGTTTCTTGATACTTTGCCCGACAGATCATCCATCCCTTATACTTACAATCTGGCTCTGCATGATGCAGAACCATTCATGGGCAGTCGTCATAAGAACTGTGTGATTGATAAAGAAAATCAGCCGCTCACCATTGGTCAACGATTACCATGTAACATACTAGGTCGTACTGTGTGCTACCTAGAGGTGTCGTGCATGTCTCCGTTTGTCACAGAAATTTGCGAGTATACTGTATGGATTCCTGCATGTGCCCAGCTTACTGCGTTTTAACGCCGGGACATCCCCGCGCTGACGGCCCGCACCGCTCTCTCCAGCGCCCGGCAACCCTCTAGCCGACACCGACAAGTCTTGGGCTTCTGACGATCACTACCGTCGCTTGCGTGAAGGGTTCAGCTTTCTGTTGCGGCGCAAGCGTAGAAGGGAAAACGTGGGTTGTTACACCGCTGGATGCGAACCGAGCTGTGGTTTTCAGATATGCGCTTATATGACATGTAAGATCCGGCTGTGAGCTTTGGTAGCGAACTACATACACAACGAGCGAATGGCACCGTTGCAATGGCGTGGGGAGGAGAGCAGATCGCGGGATCCGGATGGCGTTTGGATACCTGCAGAAATGACAGGCATTACTCTACCATATTCTACTCAGGCGCGGTACACACACATACGGAACTACTACATTCCCATGTGTTGTTTCATCCCATTTTACCTTATATAGGTAGGCTACAGGTCGCTATCAGGAAAGGGAGAAGCCTACCTGCATTGTCTACGCCTCTTTCTTTAGACAGACTTACAATGGTCGGTCGTGGCTTCGTTTGATATACCTCATCTAAGTCATATTCTCTTGCGTAACAAGTGATTAGGGATTTTGTGCAACCATCAACATGTCGCCGCCATTCGACATTATCGTCGACACTATAGGTTCGCTGAGCAAAGTCAGCGTAGGCCTAGGCTTCCTAGGCTTATTTGTTGTGTGGTACACAGTCACAGCTTTCTTTGCGTGGTATCGACTCCGGCACATCCCGGGTCCGTTCCTCGCCTCATTCTCCTACTTATGGATGATCAAGAGCATCCTCATGGGCACGCTAGAGCAAGACTTCAGTCAGCTCAGGAAGTACGGCCCGCTCGCGCGAACCGGGCCTAACTCCATCGTGACCAATGACCCATCGATCCTGCGCAAGATCGCGTCCGCGCGAACCAAGTACACCAAGAACGAGTGGTTCGCCGCGGCCACATTTGCACCAGGGCATCGTACTATGATCACCATCCTCGACAACTTCAGCCATGATAAGCTCAAGGCGAAGACCGCGCAAGGATATAATGGGCGCGAGAACCCAGACTTAGAAGTCGCTATCGATTCCGTGATCACCCATTTCGTCGATGTGATCCGGGCCAAGCATCTAACGACCAAGGATCAGATCCGCACGATCGACTTTGCTAGAATGTCCCGTTACTTGACGCTGGACATCATCACCCGACTGGCGTACGGCAAGTCATTCGGATTCCTGGACTCCGACGAGGATTTGTTTGGATACACCGGCCAGGTGGACAAGCTGCTCAAGGCGCAGAACTTATCTCAAGAGATTCCCATCTTCAGGTATATCGTTTTCTCACCATTCTTCTTCCGACTATTTGGTCCGAAGCCGAGCGACGAGAAGGGAGTAGGAAAGATCATGGGGTGCGTTCCGTTACAAATACCTGTCTAATGATGATAATTCTCACATGTTTCGTTAGGTACACGCAACAAATTATTGATGAAAAGTTCCAAGATGCGAAGCCTACAAAGGACATGATGGTAAGCCATGAAACTGAATACCTCTTTCCAACAATAAGACTAAAAAATGAAAATAGGGATCATTCATTCGTCATGGTATGACTAAGAAAGAATGTGCCGAGGAAGCGCTCCTTCAAATACAGGCTGGGTCAGATACAACGGCTGTGGCTATTCGCACTACGTTAATGTACATCATGTCTACGCCTCGGGTCTATATTCGGATGAAGGAAATGATCAAGCAGTGCCTAGATCGCAACGAAGCCTCATCGCCTATTACTTTTGAGGAGGCCCAGAGGCTTCCCTACTTACAGGTACCTATGCACTTTCGTTTATATACACCCGTAACGCTCAGTGAAGTACTTTGAACTTACGGGCAAATAGGCTGTCATCCTTGAAGGCCTTCGCATGAGAATACCGGTGACATATGGACATTGTAAGTGATGACTCTCATTGACTTAGGAAATTTTATATCTGCAGTTAGAGAAAAAAGGGGGCGGCGTACGTAATACCTAGCAAGTATCACTAACACGCGACAGACAAGCAGACTCCCCCAGAAGGAGATACAGTCAATGGAGTTTTCATCCCAGGAAATACCGCCCTAGGCCACAACTCGTTAGCTCTAACCCGCACCGAATCCATTTTCGGCGAGGACGTCGATACGTTCCGGCCGGAACGCTTCCTCGAATGCGACCCAGACAAGAAGGCCGAGATGGAATTCGCCATAGACATAGTCTTCGGAGGCGGGCGATGGACGTGTGCCGGCAAGCCCATCGCGCTTATGGAGTTGAACAAGATCTTTTTCGAGGTTAGTAGCCCCCCGACCTATCGTGTACCTCGTCAAGTGCGAGTCTTCCAAGTCGGGATATACTGATGAAATTTGCATAGCTGCTACGCGTTTTCGATTTCCAACTCATATACCCGGTCAAGGGCTGGAGCGAAACGTTTTATTTCATACCCTTCCATAAGGATATGTGGGTGAGGATCACGGAGGCGGGTGCGTGACGAAGATACATCAGTCTAGGTATTCAAAGGCGGCGTCGTGATATGCAAGATAATTCATGTAGGTTAGTTACATGTATCTTGAATAAACTAACGGTCAATGACAAGGCAGAATATTATAAGAGCACCAAAGTGGCAGAACTTTTGTTAAAATCATCGTACTTCATAACCGATAAGGTTGAGATTCACAAAGTCCAGATCAAGAGTACATGTCAGGGACGGGACACTTGGTCACCAGCAGAGTCTCGAAGGAAAGAAGCATGCAAAAGGCTCCCTGGTGGCTCGCGAGTAGGTGTATGCAATTGATTCTATTAACATTTGAACATCTTCAAAACCAAGATGACCGCCCTCTCTATGTACACAACGCCTTCTCCATTTACTTACAAACAGGTAATGCAGCCAAGCTCAACGCCTAAAAATACAGGAGAATACAAGAGCACTTCGCTACTACATGGCAATCAAAGTAGAGTTATCCAACTCGCGCCGCCTTAGACCGCACTGTTCGCCCGAAGCGCAATCGCACAGGATGTGGATCGCCTCACCCAAGCCAATATCTCCTACGGCGAACTCAGGCTGCACGAACGCGAAGGCGTCGACAGCCGCCTGCAGGATCTCGCAGTCGAAGTCGCCCTCGGCCCCCTTGTGGAATTCATAGTGGACGTCCATGTAGTCCGTCGCGCCGGGCTGCGCCTGCAGCTTCCACCAGGGGTTGTAGTAGTGCACGCCGGCGAAGCCGACCGAATTACACCAAGTGGCCGACTCCGGCTGCGGGTACGGGTGGTCGCGGGCGAAGAGGGCGAGGGGGTCCCACCAGCGCCGCACCTTCAACTGCTCGACGTCGTAGTGCGCCGTGTAGCAGTTCTTGCCCTTGGCGGCGTTCTGCGCCGCCGCCGCCGCCGTCTTGATCATCGCGTCCCGGATCGCCGTCGTGTTGTACTTGCTGCTCTCGACGCTGACGACGATCTCGCCGTCGTCGACGAGGAAGCCGGCCTCGACGTAGGGAACCTTGCCGATGCTCGCCGAGTCCGTCTTGCACGCCGCGAAGCTGTTCGAGGTGGGTGTGGGGCAGATCTTCTCGAGCGCCTTCGACACGCCCGTGTACAGGGCCGTGCCGGTCACGGTGCCGACGTGCACCGACGACGAGCCGGCCTCGAGCGTCACGGCGCCGGTCTGGACTACGCAGTTCTTGATGCTAGAGCACGAGTCTTCGTTGTTTACGACCTTCTTGCAGACTTGGCAGTGCTTCATGTCGGTCGTGGGCGGGCCGAAACCGGTCGAGATGGTCAAGTCGCGGTCTTCTAGCGAAGGGCTCGGGGTGATCGTCGGCACTGCGGTCGTGGTTGGTAGAGGAAGGGCGTCGTCCCGCCCGGTGATGGCCGGCGCCGTGGTTATGCTTGGTAGCGGAAGGATTTCGTCCCGCTTGGTGTCCTTCGGGGGCAGGGTTGTGTAGTCGCAACTCTTAGTCACAACAACAGTCGGCGAAATGGTGAGGAATGGCAGAGTCCTGCTCTTGTCGCAAACACAGTACCTCGTGTTGATACCCTGGTCGGGATCCTCGTCCTGCATGGTACAAGAAGGCTTTGGCTGTTTAGGCGGGGATACGTTACCTTTACAGAAACCGGGCGTTAGTAATCAACGTGTAGAGGGATGCGATTGGTTTACTAACATGTGCTTCTCTTCGCTACCTGTTGGTTGCTGGTGGCTTCCCAAGTCTTCTTGATGACCGGGTTCTTCTGGGTCTCAGGGTTAACCCACACTTGAGCCGCAGCCATCGCCTTACAGTTGTCGTCGGGGTTGACGCCGTCGAATGGCGTGTACTGGACAACAATTTTTCCATTCGTCCCGGGGTACTTCATCCTTCCAGTGTCGCCAGCTCCGGGGTATGTCAGAGCGGCGAATTTGCCTCTGCCTGGGTTCACTGCCGCTTTGATTGCTCTGCCTAGAGCATTGATCTGCTGCGTGTAACGCTGAGCCTTGTTGGTAGCACTATGAGCCAAAAGTCAGTCGCTATTTCTAAAAGGGGGTATCTTGAAGCCAATTATCCGTCCGATAAACATGCGGAGGAGGTGATGAGGCTACTAGAAGATGCTGTGACTCACCTCTGCGCTCTGGTCAAGATGAAGACGTTTACATCATCGCCATCTGCGAAAGGGTTGCCTTTCCGAGTCTTGAGATCTTCCAAGCTGGTCCAGTGTTGCCGGTTAGCAATCTGATTTGCCGGAGTGGCCTCTGTCATAACATCGACTGCAATCTTCTTGAACTCGTCTAATGAGCGTTCGACGACTTCATCCTTGCTGACACGCTTTAGGAATGAACTGGGACCATTGATCTTGTCCTCCTTGGTAGATTCCCAGAGGTGGCCCGCCCAGAAGCCCTTAGATGACTGAAGTAACAAACCGAGTCAGTCGCTTGTTTGGTTAAGGGAGTCGAGATAGTACACAAGAAAGAGCTTACCATGATAATGATACCGGTGCAGCCCGACAATCCCCTCATTTTCCAAACCTGAGGAGTCTTTCCAAAGTCGTACCACATTCCCGTGGCACCGACGGGCGTCCCATCAATAACCCAGCTTTGCACTTGTTGGTCAGTTGGGGTAATATCGATGTCGTTATCAGAGTTGTCCGGGGCCATCGTCAGTAGCAAGTCAAACAGCGAGACCTGATCGGGCTGCCCTGCAACCGTTTCGATGTCGGCGGTTGTGAGCAGTGGCACCGCTTCAGGGGCTCTTTTCTCAGGGGCTCTTTTCCCAAAGATGCTGTTGAGGTCCGGATCGCCGGTGACCGTATCGCCAGGCTTTACGGTGGCAGTGGCCTTCGGGGCTAGGATCCCGTTGACCGTCTTGCAGTTCTTGCAAGTGGGTGTTTTGCCAGCGTTACCCCCAGCATCCTCTAAAAAATGGTTAGTGACGAGCTCTCGCAAGTTCAAAGTCGGCCTGAAGGGCACGAAGGGTGGGTTTGGATGTAAAGGGGCCACGTACGTCCGCCGAGCTCGCAAAATTGGCCTTGGAGGCCACTTGCACGGGGAGCAAGTGCTGGATTTGGAATCGCCGCAGCGAAAGGCACCAGGCAAAGCAGCTGCCACAGCATAGTGAACAAGTCACACAGTGCTTCGTGTTTCGGTAGAGATAAAGGAGAGAGGTATTTCGTCTGTGCAGTTGAGACTGATATACTTGGACTTGAGAGCTTAGTGGCAAGCAATTAGAAGATGCAGATTGAGTAGAAGCCATCACCCCTTTATATAGAATACTCCATCATCTTCAATCTTGAGATAGCGCCGAGTCTTTGCCGCTATGTAAGCTATACGTCTGGGATGTGCTAGTAGAACAGACCTATACGCCGTAAATTGATGTCAGGTAATGAGACTAGTTGCATCGCTCGACTTCTTCAGCCTCAACTAGCGGCGGTTCAACCCCCTCATGTCACCGGGAGGCAGATCCTTCGCTATAGAAGTTATCACCAGATCGCCTACTACATTTAGTAGGGTGGAACAGTTGTTGTGCACCATGGTGGTGTGTAAGAGGTAGGGGTTTGGATGTAGCCTTGTCAGCCTTTAGCTATTCGAATTGACTTGAAGCCTTGCTATTAATAAGAACTATGGGTCTAAAGTGTGATTGGTCCAGAAAACGGTTCGAAAGTTCAATAATATTCAAACCTTCTCAGAGGATTAAAATAGGTATTAAAATGGGTCTGAATACCCTCAAGCTAAACAATTCCCTACTAGTTCAGAGGAAAAAAAGAAACATTTTAACTGTGTAGGTACTAGTATGCTGACCGACCCCAGAAAAAAAAAAGGGCAAACCAGCCCCACTGGCTGAACTGAAACAAATGCTTACTATTGGTATTAGTGCAATCCACTCCCCGGTTTTTTGGTTAATGACCCCTGAAGAGGTGTAGGGCTGTACGGCGTTAGCACTGCGGGGCCCACAGCAGACCAGAATAGAACAAGCTTTTGCCAAGGTACCGGTGCCTTATCCGGGGGGTTGGCAAGTTTTTCTGTAAGCCGCCACTCACCTACTCTTCAGCCTCAGAAAAATGAAACGTCCGGCTGTAGACAATGATCATCCTATAAGCCTTTTGACGTCACAGTAGGCTGTCTGTGCCGCAAGCTTAACTTCTAATTCTAGTCGAAGGATTCCAACTTTTCATCCACCAGCAATTTGATAAGAACTGCCTGGTCGCATCTTGTAAGATACTAATCGGCATGCCACTTGACAATGGAAGACTTACAAAACGCCCTCAATGGCGGAGATTACGATCAGGTTGCGGATGCCTTCAAGACTAAGCGCTTGACCTCCAGGTCTGCTGTGCCCCTTCTACACCATGCTATCGCAAAGAGCCTTCCACAGGCTGTTGCCTTCTTGCTGCAGCAAGGTGTACGCCCTGTGGTATTCCAAATAAGTCCGCTCGCAAAGTGTCGCTCCATCGAAATCTTCGAACTATTAGAACAGGCCGGATGGCCAATCAAGACGAAGGGCCATCTTATACTCACGTTCGTCCTATGGCCGCATTTCAATATTGATGTTTGCTAACTGTGTCGCAGCCAAGCTCTCGACAGCCGTGAAGTTGTGGACTGGTTACTTGACCAGGGAGCGCAGCTCAACTTCCCGCAGAGTGAGCTGCGTACGGACCTCAAAAAGGGGGAGCAGGATGACACGCTTGCAGTTCTTAACGAAGCGGCGGCGCAGGGAAACATAGATATGTTCGATTATCTTGTCTCCCGAGGGGCAGACCCTCAAAAATGTCTAGCGCTACATTATGCGACTTTTTACAAGCCCCAAGATCCCGCGCAGGTTGAATTTAACATTGCGCACCTGCTGCAGAGGTATGATTACGATGTTAACGGCGACGACACTTGTGGCGGGCTAGTGAAGCTGAGCGACTTCACATACACCGGCCGAGAAGGACCACCATTGCGATGGGCTGTCTACCATGATAACCTACCGGCGGTCGAGTCGCTCCTCCGTCACGGTGCTGAACCGTCTGCCGCATTGCTGGTTGCCGTGGAAAGAGATAACTTGGAAGCACTCAAATTGTTGCTTGGAGCTGGCGGTAACGCCACCGAGGCATGCAGGATTGCCGCTACCAGATCGAAAATCGACGCGGCGCTCATGTGTCTAGAACATGGCGCAGATCCTAACCCGTCTCTTGTGCGCGATGCGGAGCTTGCCGGAGCGGAGAGCATGTACAAGCCAATGAATGGCGCTATGAAGGCGCTGCTTAACGATCCCAAGTACAAGAGCGACTCTCAAACGGGTGCCTTATAACTCGAGGGGAACGAGAACGAAAATCCTTTACACTAGTATCAAAATAATAACAGAGGAAAAGTCCAGCTGTGACCGATGTAACCAATTTGTTCAACTTGGATTAATAACGTAAACAACAAGAACGGAAAACAATATAGCAGGGATCAGGCTATCTCGACCTTTAGATTCATCCATTAACTTTCCTTGGACCAAACTGAATGGAACAGGAGCTCATAAGGTCTTGATTTACCTAGATACCTAGGAATAGGAGTAATAGGCTAGGGGTGGCGTACCAGAAAAAGTGAAAAGTTTTCCGACTGAAGAAACCCTATCTAGTATCGATAGGCGCTAGGAAAAGACAAATGGCAAATTATCTATTCTAGCGTCAAGAAAGATAATGTACTCTTCATCTAGCTTCTCCTATTTATCTACTGCAAATCCAGGGGCTGTCATCTACGAGTCTCCCATGGGCCGAACCCCGATCTGACCAGATCTCTAGCTATCCGTCCCCTGAATGAACTGGTTTTGTACGGCTCTCCACAGTTCGAGAAACTACTTTGGTAGAACTTCTTAACCGCTCGTCAACCACAGTTCATATTCCGCCCTAACTTTATTTATCACGTCGACCTATTCCTTTAACTGGCAGAAGGGCAACAACCCTGGTAGAGGAAATCTAATGAACTATAAGGACGCATGGCCAATAGGAAGAAAGCTACGTAAACTCAGCCAATCATGACTAAGCTCTTGCGGGTTCTTCGTGATCTTAGAGGTTGTTGCCCATACTGTTGCCGAAATAAGTAGGTAGGTAGGTAGGTTTGTTGTCTTCTGCTAGTTGAAATAATCCAAAAAGACCTTTATGTTAGTGCTTACGTACCTTACCTCATCATCAATCATGAGTGGCTAAGTAGGCTTTTTATTACCAGATACCCGTCGATTTGATCTGTATCGTCCATATCGTCGTCGCGAATCTAACGGATATCTGCCAGTTTCGGCTGAAAGGCGGCGTCTGAGTAATCTTAAGGGAATTTTTTTAAACGGTGCCATAAAGCTTTACAAATATTTGAAGATACCATTTATATGTCTGCTAGGAACTTTTGAAAGGGTGAAATGCTACTTATCCATGTGAATACTCGCAGTGGCTCAGAATATCCACCCACTTTTGCGCCAAGTGGCAATGGTAACACTATTGCGGGGACGTCTGGGATGTTGAATTTTTTCATCGAGATCAAAGGTCCATGATGTAATAAAAAAGGATCAGATATGTTGAGACTTTTACAATTGCTAAAATGTTATAACAGCGGGAAATAACGTCGCATACTTACTTAAAATGTGAGTAAGCCGATAATCTTGACATAACAAGGCCTCGTTTACTATGGGTATATGATGTCCCTGGCAGAAAAATACGTAAGTACATTTTGGCTCATAAATACAAGCTCGTCCACGGGTCGAGATTTATTATTCTAATCGCTCTTTTACTTACTATTCCTCTTCTCTTTTTTTTCTTGCTAAGAAAAAGCAAATATTTCGGAAATAATTTTACTTTCATCTTCTTTCGAATCAGACTTTATATTCACCCTCGAGGCTTTTCAACGGCCCCTTTTACTACGAGAACTTTATTAGCAGCTTCAATGTAATTCTACCGAAGAGGTAAATGGAGGTGCAGGTATCTAAGGGAGACTAATACGAAAAGCATTCCCGTCTACTCCGTTTCTGCGGCTATGTTGATTACCAGTTTTGAAATGTGACAGGTACCTACTTAGCAAATTAAATGAATACTTTCTCGGCTCAAATACGGTGAGTTTACCGTAACACCCAGAGCATAGTTGAGAAGTGATATTCGTGTTGCTAACGCTAGAGCAGGCACTTCTGTACCTAATCTTACACTGAGTGGTCAATCGGTATCGCGTAAGATGGCCTTGCCGGCCACCGTCGGTGGGATTTGGCCATCTCAGCCCCTCTGAGGACCACGTAATGTTACGGTATGCTGAGAAATTACAGGCGTCGAAGCATTAGCGGATCATCGTCCGAGCCAATGCATTGCTGTACAAACAATGGGTGAGATTTATTGCCTGCTCTGGACAGGGGGGGGAATCGCCATCTTGCCTCGGCATAACGTGTCGGGATCCAAATTATTGCTCCAACGACGGCCTTGTCCATTATCAACGAAATGGGGATTTGGTTTGGATCGGGGTTACCAGAGGGTCATGTGTCTCGAAATTTGGTACGACCCCGGTTAGAAGGCTCATCTCAAGACACACCATACGCCTGCGGAAGAACGAATAGTGGTAGTTGACAAATTCCACGATCAGATGCAAAGATACTCGCGTCCTACGAGATAACTGAAGCGAAACACCTCTATCGATACACAAGAACGACGAATATCAAATACAATCCGTGGAAGAAACGCGCTATACTGAAGTAGAGGGTGACCGAGCTGCCGAGGCGGAAATACGCATATGTGCTCCCGGAGAAAATGCTCCGGGAAAAGCAAATTGTGTCGGCGTACTAGCATTCGATGAAGCCATCTAAGCTGTGTGTAGGTTGCTGAATCTGATGAGGGTGCGCGGAATTCCGCCGAACCCGCAGATATACCAGATTCCTGCAAGCGAGCCCCAAGTTTGCAACACGCCAATCATGTGGAATACTTAGAGCCAACAGAATCTCGATCAACAGTTTAGTGACATCAGCGTTAGATTTCACCCACAGTTTATGAGGAATCTGAATTTTTCTTCTCTCGTTACCATAAGACCGTTATTTATCGTTCTATCTTTGCTGTGCCGGTCAAACCGCCAATAGGGGCAAACACAATGTGACCTATGATTGGCTACTCCAGCTTTGAGCTTTAGGTCCGAAAGGCGTGAGGTTCTTGATTCGCCACAGAGGCTTTGTATTGGTAGACCCGTATGTTTGTATTAGGATACCAATTACCTACAGGCCAAGCCCTCCCCCAGAGAGATCCTTGCAGTCTTTGATCAATATTGGAGGGTTAGGGCATGCTATATCCAGGCCATAAACCAATCACGGACAAAAAGATTGGAAACCGAATAAGCTACATCCGGCAGCTGCTCCGGTTTTTGGGGAATAACTGTATTTAGACGGGACACTTATAGTCTACGCCATCTTGCATGGTTGGTTGCGCATTAAGCCCGGACAATCAGAATTGAAACTTCTACAAGTTGAACCCTTCCGATCAACCTTTATTTCTGTCCTCTGACCCAACTTTTCTACCTATTCTCTGGGATTCCACGCATTTCTGTCGCATACCAGTTTTAATCTCCCGTGTATATGTCAAACAAACAAGTACTTAATAGGATGAATCATCCATCCGACTCATGTATCCATCCTGGACTATTAACCCAAGCTCCAGACGACCCAACAGTCTACTCAACTACGTATGATTGTACCCCCGAACCACATCTCAAGCCACAACCAGCACCAATGGAATTTACAGACAGCTCGCTAGAGTACTTCCAAACCACTAACGGTAGTGATATGTGCACTAGTCAGGGCAGCCTTGCCGATCCCGGCTTCGGGGCAGATTCCGATCTACTAAGCTACGCGATGCTGCCAGGAGAATTCCATTACGAACAACCGTACCCGATGCAAGAAGGCAAGAAGGACGAATCCCAGAAATCACTAAGGGGGGACAATAAGACGAAGCACGCGAACAACATAGTCTTTAAACAAGAAGATATCCCCACCACCTCACACAGCCGCCGGTCGTCGCGATCGAGCATCAAGCTCACGAGCGACGAATCGTCACTCGAGAAGCGCGAGCGAAACCGCCGAGCGGCCAACAAGTGTCGGAAGAAGCAGAAGCAGGCGAACGAGGAGCTGAAGGAGAAGGCGCGGATCATGGACGAGCAGCACAACCTCCTGGTATCGCACAAGGCACTGCTCGAGTCGGAGATGATCGAACTCAAGAACGAACTCCTCATCCACGGCGCTTGCGGCTGCGAGCCCATCAGCGCCTACCTCATGCAAGCCGCCAAGAAGTACGCGACGGGTCGCGTGGGTGAGGTCCAGCAAGCGGAACAGCGACCGTCGTCGTCTGCGTGTCGCTAATATCGGATGCGTTACGAAAGGGTTAGGGGCGTTTTAAGGTGGACGAATTACGACTGACACGACCTACCTAGTATCTAATAGATACCTAGTTACGTATGACTCTCAAAATTACGAGTTATGAGTGCTGAACTACGGATTATGATTGCGGAACTACGAGTTCTCAATCATAACATATTAGTCAGGTCTCTTCCATTTGTCGAAACCCCTATCACCGCAACCAAGCGTCAATGACAGCGATGCCCACGTCGAGATTCAAGCTTCTTCAATACCGATCCTACCGCCCAGCCAGAATAGTGTCAGAATATGTGCAGACCGTGTCCGTACCCATACAGACTCAGGCACTGTAACGCACTATGCGCCTAGCTATCTCCTGTGTCATCCAACTGGCAGTCAGCAGTTCAGGGGATGACCAGATACACAGTGCTTTACAGTGCGAGTGACTGTAAGCGAGCACTGTGGCACGTATTCTGATGCTGTTCTGACAGCTTAGCCAGTCGCAATGTTAGCCGACAGGTCGGTTAGCCTGATCCTTTCTGTCTCGGTCTAATTTCTTCTTTGCCACTTCCTCGGTCGCCCCCCGTGGCTATGAACGAGCTCTAGACCGACACGGCTCAACATAGTACGTGGTGGTGAGGTGGAATAGGGGGGTTCGGCGTTACCGACCGCTAAAATCCGATCTTCAATACGGAAAATAACCCCAAGCGAAGCCGCGACTAAAACGCTGCAATCTGCCGCTGTCGCCACCGATCGAGATCGATTATCTAAGCCGAACTCCGCGCCGGGGTGTATTCCAAATTCCTCCCCTCCCCCCGGGAGCCCGCTCCGCTCTGCCAAACCCAAGCGGGTCAAAAATTTACCTCTTCTATCAATATTGATTCGTTTTAACTGGTTCCCGAGAATCGGCCATGGGCGCCGCCGCCTCCACAGAATGACGCCCGGACTGGCCGGGGCTCACATGGCACGGTTAACCAATTGTAATAGCCATTCTCGATGCGGCGCGATCTGGCCGTATAGTCGTCTAACGCCATTGCGGCAAGGCTCGTGGCAATAGCCCACTTAGAAACTCCAGATCATTACCATACTCTATAACAGCAGGTTCATGAACCATTGCTGAGACTCCAGAGACTTACCATTTGTCATGCAGGTGTTAACTTACGTTGACATCATTTGTCGTTGTCAGAGGGCGGAATTAGTGCGCAGGGAAACAACATTGTCTCTCTTACTAGGTGGGTAGGTAGGTAGGAATACGATATATTTGCTCTGTGGCTAGCCGCCAATAGAGTTTCTCACGGACCGAGCCCCGATCCAACCAGCACTCAAGCTACCTACTCCTCCAACAGACCAGACATCTAACACATCCCAACGAAAACAAACCTTCTAACTCGGCATTTAAATCCTCGGTTCTGCCTTCCAATCCCTTGATGGTTTTTTTACCGATGCATTATGTTATCTTCTAGGGGGTTTAATCTAATTATTTTCCCTTTTTTTCTTGGATCGGTTATGTCTGGTTTAGTCAGAGCCATAGCAAACTCAGCAATGCCTACCATCTCACTTACCTAGCTTCTCTCTTCTCCCCCGGATCGTCAACTTCATGAGGAGGATCCTAGGTCCTCATCCTCGACTATAAGATATAAGTAGGTATTAATGGACTCTTTTCGACTGTTATTAAACCATACGTGGGTACCGGTCGCATCTGTAATATGCATGCCTCGTTGTTCCCATTGACTTAGGTTTTAGGGAACCGACATTAATACAACTTCTTATTCCGTCCGCCCATTTTTATTTTTCGATAGTTCCCCCGATCAATATTTAAATTTAACGACATGATGAGGTCTTCGCTGGAAATCTAGTTTTCCGTCTCATCGTCAAACCCCTCCTCGTTGAACGTGCATTCGTCACCCGACTCAATGATGTCGAGCTCTTCCAAGTTAAATCTAAGGCAAACTGAGGGTTGCGCTTTCTCTTGTTGCATCTGTTTCTTTAAAAGTTGTGCTTGGTGCTTCACCCGATGATTTTAATACGCGATACTCTCGAGAACTCTGCGCTTTTACAGCCCAAGGCGTAGTGTGGGGCTACCCCTTTAATCAGTAATCCCTGGCCCAGGATTAGGATAGTTGTAGTTTTGATAAGATTCTATTTAGCGTCATAAAGAAATTTATATTCTATTTCCTTATTCTTGTTCAAAGATGTTGGTTTTATACCCGACCGAACTATCTGATAAATGTACAGATTTCAACTTTCAAATAGTCAAAATCCGTAGCACCTAGTAGGCATAGGTAGATACCTATGTACCCAGTTAGGGGCTTACTAGTTTCCAAATAGAGTAACATTCATAAATATTGGTGATAGTCTCAAATTCTTTTTAAACTTGGTCTTTGCTTGTAGTTTCAGATATATTCGCTTCCTCATGGTGCTTGACCTCCTCGGTGTGGATCTGCTTCTCGACAGCTTCCGTCGCGGCGTGAGCTCGGTCTGCATCCTCGAACACTTTTTTACTGTTAGTATATATCCTGATTCGGAGTCTTTTAAAGTGGTCATACAGAAGGCAAGTTCTTCCAAGGTCCGATTCGAAGTCTCGGGCCAGAGGTACCACATAAGGAAGGCCTCGACCGCAATCCAACAACAGTACACGATCAAGAATTTCCAGCCGATACCGTTGACTGGGTCTAAGCCAACGGGGTTGACGTTCGTGCCGAAGAACTACGTTAAATTAGCAATCCGTAACTCCGTAATACCTGTTGGGGCTCCTAAGTATTACCTGGGCGGCTTTTCCGAAGAACTGAAAGATTGAGATTCCGCGAGCTCTCATGGCATATGGGAAAATTTCGACAAGATAGGCTAGAATAATATGTTAGCTAAGAGCACCAATGTGTAACTGTCTCCTAGCCTTCGGTACTCACTGTACGTGAGGGCATTAAAGCCGATGTTGTAAGCTGGCTGGTACGCATATATCCAGAACAAACAAAGCTTTCCGGCGGCCTTCGAGCCTCCAACAATGGCTTCGGCCGCTGATATCGTCCATGCTACATATATGATCAAGATACCAGATATGGAACCAAGGAACATCGTTCTGCGCTTGAACCTCATGACCAGCAACGCGGTGAAGACAGCGCAAACTAGTCCCAAGCACTGGTTCCCAATGTTGTATTTAGCCTGGAAGCTGGGGTCCGTGAAGCCGATCAGGTTAAGGATATCACCCAAATAATACGAAATAACCACATTCCCGGAAAGCTGCGACATGATCCCGAGGAGCGAGCCGATAAGCACACGTCGTCGGTTTCCGGGATTGTTGATCATATCCATCCAAGAACGTTTCGAATGCTCCATCTCGATAGCTATAGTAGTCTTTATCTCAGCCATTTCTGCCTTCGCAAATTCCGAATCTTCGTTCCCTTCGGCGTGGTAGGTAACTATAACTTTGAAGGCTTCCTCGTATCGTTCTTTGCTTATCAAAAACCTGGGGCTTTCGGGCAAGAAACTGGAAATCATGAGCATAGAACTGGATGGATTGGACATAGAGTCTCACAAAATGAGGGCGACCTGTAATAAAGATGGCGACATCTGTAAAAGGGAAGGAACTCTAGCACGTTCACGTTAGAACCCTCTATTCGGCATCGTATTTGGACATATATTACCTCCAAGACCTATGAAAAGAGGTGTTAGAATATTAACGAGGTATGATGACTGAAGTCAACTCACCAATCTGACGGAATTTGCTGGGTTCCATAGGTCACAGTCGAAGCCACGATGGCACCAATGAAATAGGCTGCGTTGAACAAAGATGTCAAGATTGCACGTTCCTTAGGATACGCGAGCTCTCCGATCAAACTAGATCCTGCCACAATGGCATACGGTAGTCCGAAACCAATGATTAACCGGGAAACAATATACATCGCGCCTGAGGAGATTATATAATTAGCACTGGTATAGAACTGGCTACTGAGACGGTATGTTACTTCAACACTCACCATTAACCGAAAACCCCTGGATCAGCGAGCCAACGACCATTGTCACGCTTCCAAACATGACACACCATCTTCTACCTAGGTTGTCGTTGAGGAGTGGGATAAAGGGGAGGCCGATCACTGCACCGAGGGGTAAGGCGGAGGCCAGAATGCCCTTATATCCACCCGTAGGATGGCCGAAAACTGGAGTTCACTCGTGGTCAGCTTTTGTTATCTTTAACTCGGGATTTCCTCTAAAGCTTACAATTGGACCATGCAGGAACTATTTGGACGGCATTGATGATCTGCGAATCGAACCCAGAAGTCATCTCGATCCCCATCAGGCATGGAAACAACATGAAGTATAGGTAGCGCAAGTTCCTCTTCTGATGCCATGGGACTTTATCATCCATCGCCATGCGATGGACGATATTGTCCGTCTGAGGAGCCCCGCCGACCATTGTGTCGAGATCTCACGAATTGCGGTTCTTAGGGTTCGAGATTTTAATCGTCAGAGAGAGAGAGAGAGAAAGAACCCACCAAAAGAAGTTCCAGTCTAACTCCGGTACTATCCTGAGGAATTGGCCATGATGTTGGTCCATATATAACTGAACTAAACCCATTCGCTCGGACCGACTTTTTCTAGTAGGATTCGGCGGTTAATAAGGCAATATCAGTTTATACCTGACAGTTGCGCGAAAATCATAAGAGGTCACGGATGTCTATAGCCATTTTCCAATTTAGCCGCCATGCGCCTGATTGCGAGCTCCATGTTAAAGTACCAACCGTAAGGGCACAGCAAATAGTAACCCGGGACTCCAGGACTTCGATCTGATAGAAACATTCCCATTGGCTTGCGACGTTTCATCGCCACGCTCCATGTCTCCAAGATCGAGGCCGTTCGAGAAAGCGAGCGGAAACAGTAGATGAACCCCCCGCAATATCCCGCAATACCCCCGTTATCCTTCCCCGTGGATTCTGATTTTCGGGTCACATGGCTCTATCATTCGCTAGGCATGTCAATTTCAGCTTCGTGGCTTGAAGGACAGGGTAATATGTAAAAGCCCTCCGCCTGTAAAAGCTCAGCTCTTGCCTTGTCGTTACGTTGACGATGAAGGGCGGGCAACCCGGGTCAGCGGATCATGATACCCCGAATAGTTTTTACTACCGTAGTTAATCCGCTCTAGCCTAGAGGCGATTAGCTGTTAATATATTTCCATCCGAATGTATGGACCTAAGCTTATCGAAAGTCATCCCCTTTTCACGAACTTGTCCTGAAAGGAGAGTAGCTACCGAATGATTCATTCGAGTCGCAAAACAAATAAGATACCTAGGTAGGTAATTCCAACCTTTCTGGTCATATCTCTTAACGAGAATAAGTGAGCTGTAATAAATCATTGAAACGAAGATGTGGTGAGTTAGATTGTTGTTGTTGTTGTTGTTGTTGTTGTATTGTTTAATGTTTGAGCGAACGGGTGTGGGCTTTTCTTTATAACTTCTTTGGGGGTATAAGATGTGATAAGTTTTAATATATATAAAATTAAAGGTTTTAATGATATTATAATGTTAAACCTTGCTTTTAGGGTTTAATATTTTTTAATTAATAATTATTATTTATTAATTAATTTAATTTTAAGTTTTCCCGGTTTTATAAATTTAAATTAAATAATTAATTTAATAAATAATTATAAAATTTTATATTTTATAATTTTTTTAATAGGTTTTTTTATTTTTACATTTATAAGTTTATTTATATTTTTTAACGAAAGTTAATTATTTTAAATATTAAGTTTTTAATTAATATTTTTTTTTTTATTAAATTTATTAAACTTTTAAATATTTATATAAGAAAAATATTTATAAATAAAAATTATATAAACTTTATAAAAGCTTTATATTTTAATTTTTTTTTATTATTTTTTTCTTTAATTTTTAAAGTTTTTTATTTTTTTTTATTTTTTATTATATAATATTATTTTTTTTTTAAAAAAAAAAAAATTTATTTTCGTAAAATAATTAATAATTTTATAAAATTTTTTAAATTTTAATAAATTTTTTAATAATTAAATTTAATAAATTAATTATTTCGAAAAATTAATTAATTTAAATTTATAAAACTTTATTAATTAAATTTTTTTTTTAATTTAAATTATTTCGTTTTTTATTTAATTTTAAAAGTTTAAATTATTTTTTTAAAATAATTTTTAATTTTTTATAATATATTATATATTCCGGGGGTTTTTTTTTATTATTTTTATAAAATATATAAATGTAATATATTTTAATTTATAAATAATTAAATTTATTATAATATTATTTATAATTTTCGTATATTAAAATAATATTTAAATATTATTTTAAAACTTTTTTTAATAATTATAATATTAATAAAATTTTCTTTAATTTATAATTAATTTTTATTATTAAAAAATTATTAAAAATGTTTATTTTTTTATATTAATTCGTTATAATATTTTTAATTTAAGTTTTAATTTAATATTTAATTTTTATTATTATAAGTTTTAATGTTAAATTTAAAAGATTTTTTATTATTTTTTTTTTCGTTAAAATATTTATTTTTTTATTATTTTTTATTTTATAATATTTAAAATATTATTTTAATAATATATTTAATAAATTTATTATTTTATAAATTATTATAATTATATTTTAAAAAATAATTAAAATATTTTTTTATATACTTTAAATAATTACCGTGTTATTCGCGTATAAAGTTATTTTTATTTTTAAAAATAATGTTATTATTTTTTTAAATTTTTTAAAAACTTTTAAAGTTTTAATATTAAATATTATTTTACACGAGTTTATATTTTTTTTTTCGTAATTTTAATATATTTTTTATATATTATAAAGTTATAATTTAAATTTTTTTTTATTTTAAAATTATTTAAAAATATTATAACATTTTAAAAAAAAAATTTTTAAAATTATTATTTGAATTTTTTAATTATAATTTTTTTATTTTTATTTTTAATAAAGTTTTTTTTTAATTTTATTTTAAAATAAAATATATAAAATATATATTTTTTAATTAACGGGAATAATTTTATTATTAATTATAAATTTATATAAATTATTTATAATTATTTTATTTTTTTTTAAATATTTTTTTAAATATTATTTTAATTATTAATAAATAATTTTTATAAATTATTTATAACTTATATATATATTAACGTTACGTTATTTTTAATATTATATTTATTATAATTATATTTATTATTATAAAAAATATATTTTTTAAAAATTTTTTTTAAATCGATAAAATTTTTTTAATTATTTTTAAAAAAGTTTTATATATAAATATTATATATTTTTTTAATTTAATATTTATAAATTTTTTATAATTATTAACGGTTTTTTTTAATAATTTAATTTATTTTTTATATTATATTTTATAATTATATAATAAAATTAATAAAAATATTATATAAATTATTTTATATAATTTTTTTATTAAAAACTTTTAATTAATTATTAAAAGTTTTTTAATATAATTAATAATTTTTATAATTTTTATTATTTTAATTTTTATATATTTTTTATATTTTAATTTTTTATTTAAAAAATTTTTTAATTATTATAAAATTAATAAAACGTTAAATTTTTTTAAATTTAAAAATAATATTAATTTTATTTTAATTTTATTTTTAAGTTTAATAATAAATTTTTTTTTATTTTTTTTTTTTATAAAATATATAATTTTTATTTTTTTTAAAGTAAATATTATTTTATTTTTTTCCTTATATTTTAACATTTTATTTACTTTTTTTTAAATTATTTTCGTACTTTTTTTTAACGTTTAATTAAAAATTAATACCGTAATATTATTTATATAATTTTATTTATAATTATTATTTTTTAATAATTTATTAAAATATAATATATATAATATAAAAAAAAAAAAAATTTTATAAAATATTATATTCCGTTTTTTTAATTTTAATAATAATTTTTTTTAAATAAATAATAACTTTTTTATTTATAAAAAAATTTTTTATAAAATTTAATTTTAAAGCAATGCTAGCCGCGCAATATGGGGTGGCTTATTTCCGGCGCGTAATACCGTTAAAATGGCGTTAACGCGTTCGAATAATATGTAAAATACCTTTTAACATTATACCTGCGTTTAATTAATTATTTTACATTTAATTCACCTTTAAATTCCTTATAATTATAATAAATTAAAAGTTTTTAATTCGGAAAACCCGTAATTTTAATTTTAAAGGTTATAACTTTAAATTAACCGAAATATTTAAGGTTTAAAAAATTTATCGGATTAAAACAATTTTAAGTTTTATAACCGTAATTTAATTATTACTTTATTTTAACTTTATAATATTTTTTTTAAACTTTAATTTTAAATTTTATAAATTAACTTTTATATAAATTAAATTAAACGTTTTTATTTTATATTAATTATTAAAAATTTAAATTAATATTAAATAAAACATAATTAATTAAAATTAATAAAAAAATGGTTATATATATAAGTTATAAAAATATAATTATTTATATAATAATTTATATAATAATAAAAATACTTAACTTATACTTTTTTTAAACACGCTTTTTTAATATTACTACGCAATAAAAATAAATAACTTTATACTACGCGGCTAATATTACTTTTTATTTAAATTATTTTTATTTCATTATATAATTTAATAATTTATTTTTAAATATTATATTAAAAATTTTTTATATATTTAAAATAATTAATATTATTTTTTTTTTATTTATTAATATAAATTTAATATTATAAATTAAATTTATTATTAAATTTATAATAAAATTTTTAAATATTACTTTTATATATTATAAATTAATTAATTTATTTTTTTTATTATTATTTTTTTTAAGTTTTTTTTTAAATATAATAATAATATAATAAACTTTTATATTTTATAAATTAAAAAATTTATTTTATTTATTTTTAATATTATTATTATTTTAACTTTTTTTTATATATTAAAAAAAAACTTTATTTTTAAATATTTTTTTAATAATTTTATATAATATTTTATAAAAAAAAATTAAATTATTTTTAAATATTTTATAATTATTATATTCATTTTTAATAAAATAAATAATATTTTTATAATATATTTTTTAATTTTTTTTTATAATAATAAATATTTTATTCGGGAAATTATTATTAAAATTAAAACGGAATAATATAATATTTATTAAATATTTTATTTTTTTTTTACATTTTTAATTATTTTATTTTTTATTATAATTAAAAAAGTTTTAATTTATTAATTTAATTTATATTAATTTATTATTTTTATTAAATTTTTATTATTTTTATATTTATTTTTAAATTTATTTTAAAATTTATTTTATATTTTTTAATAAATTATTAAAAAAATTTTTTTAATTAATTCGAAAAGTTTTAATTTATCCGTTTTTTTTTATTTTTTTTAAATTATTTAATATTTTTTTAATTATTATAAAAAAACTTTCCTTTTAATATAATATAACTTTTTTATTATTTTAATATAATTATTAATTAATTTTAATAAATTTTTTATTATATTATTAATATTTTTTATAATATTTATTATAATAATATTCGGTAAATTATAAATTTTAATTTATATTAAATTTATTAAACGTTTTAATTTATTTTTTAATATTTTTTAAGTTCGGGTTTTTTTTATAAATAATTTAATACTTTTATTTTAAAAAATAATTTTTAATAATAAATAATTTAATTTACATTTTAATTTTTTTATTATTTAATTTTTCGTAAATAATATATTCGAAAAAAATAAATTTAATATATAATTATTATTATAAATAATTATTTTTAATTTTTTTATAAAACTTATATTAAATTTAATAAATTAATCCGTTAATTTTTATTTATTATTTTTAATATTTATTTTTAATTTTTATATTAAATAATATAAATTTATATTATTTATTATTAAATAATTTTTTAAAAATTTAAAAGTTATAAAATAATTAATTATTAATTTTATTTTAAATTTTTTATAATAATTTAAATATAAATAATTATTAATATTTAATTATAAAAGGTTTTTATAATAAATTTTTTAACGATATTTTATTAATAATTATAAGTTTTTTTTAATATATATTATAATTTTTAATTTATTTATTTTTTAAGTATTTTAAATATTTATAAATAAATATTTATTATATTTAAAATATTTCGTTATAATATTATTAATATATTTTAATATTTATAATTTAATAATTATAATTATATTTATTTTTTTATTTTAATATTATTATAAAAATATTTTATATATAATTAAGTTTTTATTAATATTATAAAAAATTATATTAATTATTTTAAGTTTTAAAGGTTTATAATAAATTCGTTTTTTATTTATAAATTAATAATTATTAATTTTTAAATTTATATTTTATTATTTTAAATGTTTTTTTATTATTTTTTTAATTATTAATTTTATTTTAAATTTTTTATTTATTTTTTTTAAATGTGTTATTTTAATTTTAAGTTAAGTTATTTTTATAATAAATTTTATAATTAAAATTAATATAAAAATTATAATAATAAATTTATTTTAAAAGTTTATTATTTTTTTATTTTTTATAATAAAATTTTTCGTATTAATTATATTAAAAATAATAATAATTTTATTTTATAAATTTTTTATAAAAATTAATAATATTTTATTATTAAATTTTTTTAAAAAAGTTTTTTTTTTAACGAAATTATTTTTTTAATTTTTATAAAAAAGTTTTTTATAATATATTTTTAGTTTTTAACTTTTTTAATTATTTTTAATTTAATTTAATTAAAAAAAATAATTTATTTATTAATTTTACGAAGTTTATACGGGTAATTTTCATGGTTTATTAAATAAAATTTATAATAATTAACGTATTTAAATAATTAATTATAAATATTTTATAATATAAATTTATATTTATTTAAATGTTTATTATAATTTTTATATAATAATTTTTTATTATAATATTTTATAATGTAATAATTTTAATATTTTAAATTATAATAAATAATATAAATTTATTTTTTAATTTTTTATAAAAAATTATTTATTAAAAATAATTTAAAGCGTTTAATATTTTTTTAAAAAATTATAATTTAAATAATTATTTTAAAAATAAAATCCACGTTATTTTATAAAATATATACGTTTATTAAAATTAAACCGGCTTATATTTTTATTTTTTTAATAATTATTTTTTAAATAATATTTATAAATGTTTTTATAATAAAATTAATTATATTAACCGGTATTTTAAATATTATATATAATAATTATTTTTTTAAAATTTTTATTATTATAATTTATAAAATATTTTTAATTATATATATATATATATATATATATATATATTTTAAAAAATTAATTCGGTTATTTTAATCGTTTTATTAAAATTATAACACGTGGTTTTAATTAACGGGTTAAAGTTTTATAATTTATGCGATTTAAAATAAATTATTTTAATTTATTTTTACCGTTTACGTAATATAATTTTAATTATATATATAATTAATTTAATTAATATATATTTTATATACGTTATTAATGTATTATTTAAATTTTATTAATACGTTTATTTTATATTTATCGATTATAAATTTTTAATAAATTTTTAAAAAAAATTTAAAATTTTTATTAAAATTATTTAAATAATATATAAAAAAAATTAAACTTTTAATTAATTTTAAAATAATTTTATTAATATATAAATATCGAATTTTTTTATTAAAATTAATTATTTATTAATTAAATTAATAAATGTTTTATTAAAAATTATTAAAAATATTATTATTAATATTTTTATAATTAATTTAAATATAATTTTAATATTATATTTAATTATTTTAATATATAATATTAAATTATTTAAATAAAATTTTAATTTTATAATTTTAATTTTAATTTAAATATTTATAAAATATAATAATGTTATAAAATTATTATTTAATTATATATATATTAAAATATTAAAATATTATTTAAAAATTTTAATATATTTTTAAATAATTTTTTTATATTTAATTTAATTATTTTTTTTAAAAAATTATATAAAATTATTTAAAATTATTATAAATTTCGTAATTTTTTTTTTAAATTTTAATTTTTTATTTTATTTTAATAAATTATTTATTAATTATATTTTATAATAAAAATATAATATTTAATATAATAAATTTTTTTTTAATTATTATAATTATTTTTAAAAAAAATATAATATTTAATAATTTAATTTTTTTTTATTAATATAAATTAATTATAATAAATATATCCGATAATAATTTTATTATATATTAAAAATTAATTATTATAATAAAACGTAATAATATAAAAAATTTTAATATAAATAAATATTAAAAATATTATTTATTTATTTTTTAATATTTTATTATTTTTACGTTATTTTTAATGCTTATTAATATTTTAAGTAGTACGTTTATAATACCATTAATAATAACATACGCACGGATAATAAATACAAGGAAAAGTACGTAATAAGTTAAAACGTTGTTAAAATTGCGCTTTTTAAGAAGCGCATGTCACACTCTCAGCGCCTCTGCCTTATTCAGCCCGGAGCACACTGAGTCCGCGGTATTAATGGCGGCGCTGGCACCTGTACGATGCGCCCAATCGGGATTAGTTACTCCTAAAGCTGATTTGCACTTACCCGCGGTCTCTTGGCACCTGAACTGATGAGGCGCTGTCATCCATGCCCTTTATATTAGTACTGACTTAGGTAGGTATGTTTCAGAACGACGTAATGCAATAAGTCTTGAAGGAGCTCAAGGGTTTTAAGTTTGGGTCATATAATCACGATAACCATGAGCCTGCGCATCTCTTATAGATCCCGTTAGGGTAACAGCGTTGGCGACGGCATCGGCATTGGATATACCGTATTCTTGAGTACCTACATATTAAATCTACTCCGGCGCCGGTGTACGTCGTACTCCTAAGGTATATACCGTAAGGGTTCATATACTAGTACCTAACAGATACGTCGCTCTTTGTGCATACAGGGGCTTCGCTCGAGGGTATTTGTCATTCTGCTTACCTAAGTAGGGCAACAAATAGCATCTGCAAAGACGAGATGTGGCGTGTCATATTGTACATATCTCGGTGTAACAGTTGAAGGGATTCCGTGTGCCTACTACGGACCTACCGGTCTTTCCTCACTCAATTCCGTCAACTTTGCAACGCAGTGAAATTATAACTCAATCCTGAAATTCTATTACCTGTAACTCACGTACAACAGAATGTTATGTAGGAGTGTTTTATATAGGTATGGTATGGCTACAAAGCCAACACAACACTTTCCCAACGGTGCCATGCGGCCCGGGCTTCCAACGTTGGCTCCCTTGCTTGATCCCTTGCTCTCATATAGCTCAGCTTCCCAACTTTTTCACTGTTGGTTTCGTCGTCAGAGCCAACTGCTCTTCCTCGCCTCAATCTCCGCCTCCGCTTCGGATCTGGCCACAAAGTTGCTAGCTTCCTAAGCTATCAGTTTATGACTTTATTCACTCTTTGGAATGGAGTGAGAGTAGCCTGGAATTTCTCTGGCGGTTATACTAATGAGTTGTTCTTGAACTATTGCTACTTTGAAATCAAGAAACCTCAGTAAGTAACCTGCTTATAGAGTCAGTAAGATAGGAAATAACAAGAGAGTTTGTCACATAAACCAGAACTGCAGCCATCTGGGATGCAGTTCCTTACATGTTAACTACCCATTTGTTCCATAGCCAGCATGTGCCACATTGTGTCTACCAATCTCTGACATCGCTACCTAGGTACCCAGGTCCTCACACCTCTCTTATAACCAGATCAACTAGAATATTGGGGAATCTACCACTACGGACAACAACCACTAGTGTTAATATTACTGGCGGTAAAGGCAACTAAGACGGCAGCATAACTGAAACAATTTCATTAGCTTAGATCAACTATAATTATTAGTGGTAAATCACCTTGCTCCTGAGGCAAACACTTCAACTGTTCTTGCTCTTGTAAAGAAGGATATCACGGAGAGAAGAATCGCTGTTGAAATGACGTTCATAACCATACGTCCCCCCATGCTAGAAATATTCGGCAGTACCAATGTTGGAGCTAGGATAGTAATTGTCGCGAATCCAATGGTCACAGCTCGGCTAAGTCTTTGTAATTGAGGGTTAAGAATGAGAATATTCTCGGATTGCGTCGTCATCTGGGTGGAGTTTGGGGCGAACTGTAATTCATTAGATGCATTCTAGAGGCAAGATCAAGACTATTTACCTTTCTAATGAGATGATCGAGCCAAAACTTGCAATCCTCTACAACCGACTCCATGGACGTTATGGCACTATCCTCGGTTCCACTCAAATTGGCAAGGTCGTGGCCTATTTCTAGATATTCTGTTTCATGACGACTGAGACAAGCAGTGCCGTCAACCCAATTCTTTAAGTTTTGGATCTCCCGATACGGTGGGTCTGGCATCGATAAAACTCGGCGACTGTTTTCTAACATTTTATCTATTTGACTCGTAAGCTGAGCCTTCACCAATGTCATCATTTGATAATGGTTCACCGTACTCAGCAAGCGTCAACATGAGTTGTTGCAATGCCTGCTGTCTTTCTTGATTGGCATCCCGGCGTAAACAGCCAAGAAAAAGAGCCCGGTTTTCATTTTCATCTATACGATCCAGGGAGCTCTCAAGTGCAGCAACCTCATCTTGCTTGGCAAGAAGAAGGCGCATGCGAACTCTGCAAAATCGACGGAAGTTGTGAAAAGACGGGTGACTGCTGAGGAGAGCTGCATATTGGGGGTAGCCAGACCGAAACTCGTTGACTAAAGCACTAATAAGTCTAGCCCCAGTAACTGAGCGAGATACTAACGTGAAATTTTATGCCCTGGAGCTTGTCTCGGGCTAGTTGCCATTGGAATCGAAATGTAAAAACACGACCTTAGTCAGGAAAATAGTGTTCCTCTGATGGATGTCATACATAGAGTGAATGCTAGGTAGTATTGTAAGATAGTGAACTACTAACGCTTGCCCTTCGAAGCACTTTCGAGGGTGTTGCGCATCCTAGAACTAGAGATGCACGGCCAAACAGCCTACTTTGCCTGGAAAAGATTCCTTTGTTCCTAGCTAGACCTGTACCACTTGTTCTCACAACTTGACTCCTAATGTTTATAGTTGGTTTGATCAATTTTACTGCTCAGATCAACTTCCCGGGTATTAGATTGGGGTCCGATAAATAAGAAGCTCAACTGCCGGAGAGGGGCTTCGCATAATATCGGCGAAATACGGATTACAAGCAGGCTCTAGGCGTGACGAATTGTGCGTAAGTGAGCAAGGCTCAACGTAACCCTCAAGCATAACAGGCATCGAATGGCACTAAACCACGTACAAATATCATGTGCAGAATGCATCCGAAAAGGAAAAACAGAAATTGGCGCAAGTCAGCCTAAATCACACTGCCTCGTTGATAGCAGGGGGTTAACCGTATATGTGCCTCACAGGAAACACCTGATATCTTCCTGACGACTACCTACAACTACAAGAGCCTTATTTTTTAAAGGCAATCTAGGTACCTACATATCTTATAGGTCTAACGTCATCGTAAAAAACATACATCCATGGATACTTGCTTGCTAAATACTTAGTAGATATGCTTGTAAAATGAATAGGTACTCTATTCGCTTACCTACTTAATCTTTCGTGTGGTTTAAGCCTAGTATGTATCACTACAGCAAAATTTCAGAAAATCCCGCGTCTCAACATGTGATTCAAAGTTCACTGAAGCAGGCTACATCAATCTAGACCGGTCTCTACGATCAAGCCAAAGTGAGGCGAGTAAGTATAGAAATATCTCAAATAAGTAGGTTTCGCGGGTCAATAATTCGGCCAACTAATTCCATACCTACCTAGAAAGTAGCCTAGAAGCCATACAAGATCTCAAAATATCCAACGTCCGCTAGTACTTTGGAAGCAGAGAAATACTATCATGTCAGGGTGGTAAGCATCATTTCTTTATTCACATGACTGTGAATATACTAATGTACCCTATTAGGTCGAACAAAACATCTAGCAGCGCTGAGGGATATAATTATGACGATGGTGGGCGCCCTCGAATCGATAAAACGGGTCTGGTGAGTTTGAAATCTACATATTACGAGCTCGCGCTTACACAAGCTAGAAAAGCAAGTTCCGGCCTAATGACAGAGTTTACCTCCAAACTGGACGGGCCCTCCAAGGTCCGTTTCTTATCGAGTCCGTTCTGAGGCCCCAGATCTATACTCTTTGCCTTGAAAATGGAGAGAAAGCAAATGGTGGCGCAGAGGTCGCAGAGAATTTATTAACACTAGCGTAACACCGCAATAGTCATATGTGGATGGTCTAAATAACCCTCAAGACATTAATATAATGGAAAATTTACTCTGTCTATGTTTTTCCCCACTTCAAGTCTTTCAATTACTCGCTGCTCAAACCGTCGGGTGAGCTTTGAACCGGTTGGATCATCCTGCTCAATACCGAAGTCACCTTCCAAACAAACCAGCGTGGCGGTTTCATAGGCAAGACCCATCTCGTGACGTATAACACCTTTTACTTTCTTCAGTGCTTCTTCCCGAATTTTACTGGGGCCTTTTAAGTTGATTGTACTCTTGAAAGAATCCTCAATTGGCGTCCATAGCGCGATCTCGACCAGTAAGAGGCCGAAGGAGTAGATGTCATGGTATCTCGTGTGTGACTTCAGCGGAGGATAACCCTGGCGATCCGGGTGCTTGTATACATCATACACCGTAGTTCCCCTGCCTGGCTGAGTCGGTATAAGAGAAGTGTAGTCGTATTCTCTGGTATAACCAAAGCCAAACAAGTAAGGTAGTTCGTAATCAACACCACCACTTTGATCTCTGAAAAGCAACGCATTGTAACTTGCGATGCCTTGATGAACCCAACCGGCCATATGCCATTGCATGAGGGCCTGGCCAATTGTCAAGGCAAGGACAAATCTTTGCCCCAAACTTGGACGAGGGTAGTCCTTCCTTCTTTCCCTAGTGTTGTGGCTCTGAAGAATATTGTAAAGAGTGACGGGATCGGGACCCAGAGGCCTTGGATTCGCGAATATCATACCGTAACGACTATGACTCTCATCTGGCCTGCAGCCCAAACATTTTGGGGTATGGAACCGGTTTACGTTGGCCTTTTGTAGAGCTGAAACCAGTCGTTCTATTCGTCTTTTATTCGCAGAGACTACGTTATGTTCAGCGTCATTGTCGAAGTATTTATACTCAACGAGTATTCTCCCGAGATCAGAATGGTTTTCTAGACTCAATGTCTGAAACACATTACCCAGGCCGGTAGAGGAAACCTCCAAGGTCTGTCCCATGACGGTTGGCCGTGGAACGACTTTGACGCACTCGGTAAGACGGACTGCCAAAGCTTCTGCAAGGCCCATGTCTCCCATTGCAGGATCACCTATGCTCATTTCTAAAATTTCTTCATCAAATAGTTGAGGCGCAAGGAGGATATTCCTTTCGACGACCTTCTGTACCGTGGCTATGTTATCATTGAAGTCCTTTAGAAACTGAATAACCTTGTCATATTCCACATCAGAAGCGGGAGAATGACGGTTCAGAGTTGAAAGGCGGTTAGCAACTGAAGACCGAATTCCAGATACCATAGTCTGGAGTGAACTACCTAGGCGGTAAAGGAAACCATCCCAAGCACCAGAAATTTCGACTTGCGATTCTTCCTGCAGGTTTGCCATTTGGAGCACCGAGTTCTCGTGGTGTGAATGCTGGCCGACGTAATTTCTCAGTCTCAATGCTCGTTCGACAAGATCGGTGACTTCAATACCCGAGATATCCCTGGGAGCATCTACCATAAGCCATGATGTGATATCATTTAGAAGGCGTTCTGACGGTGCGCAGCTCAGCGCCATTTGGAGTGTCAAGAAGGCTTGCGGAGTCACTATTGTATGGGTTGACTGGGTTTGAATAGGATCCAGGCGTATTGATTTGTTCTTAGCCATACTGAAATGGATAGGAGTCTGTATAAGCTTGCGGTCGCCTTTTGAGAGCCGGTGGTGGATTTCTTTTATAACAATTGGCTTCTGATGACCCAAGGTGTGTTCAACTTCTTTGATAAACCCCTTCGTGAATGTTTGGGATGCCCAGTCAGGCCCTGGAGTAGTTAAGTTCATGGCACACGCAGCCAACAGTTCAACATTCTCAGGAATGATTCGATCAGTGATTCTAGCGGTCTGAGCTGCAAAGCAACAGTCGAGTAAAAGTAGAATATCAGCTTCCACATGTCGAAGTTTAGGTTGGATGTCGGACCATGTCACAAATCTTTCATCGGCAACTCCGATATCCCCGTGACTCGCCCAAACGCTTCTTCTTTCTCGCTTTCCCTCGAGATCAGAATCTCCATGGCCACCATAGTGAATGATACCTAAAGACCTTGGGCGGATCAACGTTCTAAGGAAGTTCCCTAGGGCTGTATCTAGTGCTAAGTGAGAATTGTCGGATGGGATCGCAAAAAGTGTTACCGGATAATTGAATTTGTCTCGAAAGAGTTTCTTCAACTCCTCAGCTTCCTCCATAAATCCCTTATTATCACTTTTTTCCCAATATATCAGCATGACTTCCACGCAGTCGTAGTCGCTCTGCCGATCTCGTTCAAAATGTCCCTTCAACTTCTTATTAACAGGATCCACAAGAGACTGCGTGTTGCCGATATCCATTTCAAATCACAACAAGAATTTTGGGGTACACCTTCAGAATATACTAAGAGACGCCTAATCGACAATAGCTTTTGGTTTGTTAGCAGTCTAATCACATCCAGTTCGGTTCTTTTTAGGTAGAGAAGTAAAGGGGTTCTACTGTCAGGGGACAATATGCACTAGTCCGATTAGGTATAATACGAGACTAGGGTAGATTATATATACCTACCTAGGTACTTATGGTGCGCAGCACCCTCGAAGGTGCTTCGAAGGGCAAGCGTTAATAGTTCACTAATACTACACTGCTACCTACCATTCACTCTATGTATGACATCCATCACGGAGCACTGCTTTTCCTGACGCCCCGAGAGGTGGTAATCTGGCACCTGCTGGATTATTAGGTGGCTGGGAGTCTACGCCCTGTATCTTAGGGGTATAGAATATACTACTACGAGCCAGTACCTAGTTCTAGCAACTTAGCCTTCTAATAGGTACCTACCTATACAGCAATGATACTCATAACGTGCGTCTATTTCAACAACGCCTGAGATGGCTTATAAGGAATAAATGGCGAGTCATTTTTGGCGGGAAGAGGAATAGTAACACAGTGTTAAGTATATCCAGTAATAGCGCAGCGTCATTTACGGATTACCGATCATTTCTTGGTTCATCAAAGTGATAATTAATATAAATTATTACATATCATATCACGTAATATTTCACCGCCCTTTCACATTCAGTGCTTGTAATGGAATTGCATTTTTAATTCGAGGCGAATACGTAATAAATTAACAATGATTAAGTTAATTAAAACCCGATAATTAATGGAACTTATAACTTATATAAAGTATATATTTTTTTTATACGATTAATTAACATGTTATTAATAATAAATTTTTAAATTAAACGTAAAATAAATGTAAAAAAATAATATAATTATTATTAATATATAATAAATATAAAATAAATTAATAACGTTATTTTTTTTAAAATTAAAAAAAATAAAACTTTTTTTTTATATTTTATTAATTTACGTTTATTTAATAAAAAATTTATAAAAAATTTATAAAATTTTTTTTTAAATTTATTTTATTTATATTTTTAATAAATTTTTTTTTTTTTTTTATAATCCCGTCCTTAAAATTAATAAAAATTATTTCCCGTTTCGGATTTTTAATAAAATTAAAATTATAATTTTTTAAAATTTCGTATATAATTATTTTAATAATAATAATATAATATAATTTATATAAATTTATACGTTATTTATGTTTTTTTTTTTTTTTTTAACTTTTATTAATTTAATTATATAAATATTTTTTTATTATTTTTAATTTAATTTTTATTTTTTTTTTTTTTAATTTTTCTTTTATTTTAATTATTTTATATTTAATTAAATATTAATTTTTATAATATTTTATTTTCGTAAATTTTAAACTTTAATTAAATTATTATAAGTTATTTTAAAACTTTATTTAAATTAAATTAAATTTATTATATTATTATATTATAATTTTATTTAAAATTTAAAAAAAAATAAACTTTATAAACTTTATATTAATAATAATTAATTTAATAATAAAAATAAAAATATTTATATAAATATATTTTATAATTAATATTTTTTTTATTTAATTAATTAAAAAATTAATAAAATTAATTTTAATTTTATTAAAAATTATTTTATTATATAATATATATTTTTATTATTATTTTATTATTATTTTATAATTAAAAAAAAATTTTTATAATTATATTTAATAAATATATTATTTATATTAAAAATAATTATAAATATATTATTATAAACTTTTTATTATTTTTTTAATTATTTTTTATTAATTTTTTATTAATAAAATAACACCGCTTTAATTAAATTTAAAAAAACATTTTACATTAAAATTTATTCTTTATAATTTTTTTATTACATTATTATTAAATTATAATTAAAATATTAAAAAAAAATATAATATTATAAAAATATCTTTTAATTATTATTTATATAATATTTAAAATATAAATTCTTAAAAAATAAAAAATATTTTAAATATATTATATTAATTTAAAAATTTATTATTAAATTATTATAAATTATTATTTATTATTTTAATAAAATTAATAAATTTTTTATTTATTTTAAAGTTTAAAAAAAAATAATTAATTTATTATTTTATAAAAAAATTAATCGTTATATTAATTAATAATAATTTTTATTAAATATTTTTAATAACTTTAAAAAATTATTTAATTTTTTTATAAATTTTTTAATTATTAAATTATTATTTAGTTTTAATTTTCTTTTTTTTTAAAAACCATAAATAATTTTACCGCCATTATATTTTTTTTTTAAATTAATAATTTTTAAATTATAATTTACGTTATTTATTTTTATAATATTATTATAAGTTTTTATTATATATAATATTAATTATAAAAGTTTTTTCCTTATTTATAATTTATAATTTAAATAAAATATTATATAATATAATAATTAAAATATTTATTATTTTTTTTATATTTATTTATATAAATTAATTTATTTTATCGCGGTACCCGCCGGATTAATTATTAATTCGTAATTATTTTTTAAACTTATTATTTAATTTATATTTATAATTTTAATAAAACTTATTTTTATAATTAAACTTTAATTTATTCCCGTTATTAATATTTTCCTTAATTTTTTTAACATTATTAATTTTATTAATTTTATTAATATTAATTTTTTTAAAATTAAGTTTTTTAACGTTAAGTTTTTTTTTATTATATTTTTTTAAACCGGCTTTTTTTATATTATTAATAAATAATTAAAAACTTTTAAAATTATTATAAAACTTTTAAAAATTATTAAATTAAAATTAAAAATTATTAAAAAATTATTAAAAATTATTAAAAAAATTAAATAATTATATATTAATAACTTTATTTTTATTAATAATTAATTTTAATTTAATAACTTAAAAAATTAAAATTCTTTAAACGTAAATTTTAATTAATAATAATAATTAATTTTAATATACTTTAAATAAATATATATTAAATATATTTTATTAAATAAATATTTTATTATTAAAGGTTTTTTTTTTTATAAATTCCATATAATTAATATAATTATTTTAATTCTTTAAGTTTTATTTATTTATTATTATTTTTTTTTATATATATAATTCTTTAATTATTTATTAACATTTTTTTTAAATATTTTTATAAACGTATAAAATTTATTAAAATAATTAATTAAAATTTATTTTATTAATATTATTATTATTTTCTTATTATTTAATATATTAAAAACTTAAACTTTTATTATAAAAAAACTTATAATAAATATTTTTTTTTATTAATTTTTTAATTCATTTATTAACCGCTTATAAATAATTTTATTAAATATTAATAATATTTTAAAAATAATAAATTATATATTAAAATAAATAAATTTTTATTTCTTAAATTATTATATATTAATTAATAAATAATTAAAATATATTTATTAAAATTAAATTAATGTTATTTAAATTATAATAATAATTAATTTAAATATTTATTTTATAAATTATTATATTAATTTTCTTTTTTTATTAATTTATTAACATTTTATTAATTAATTATAAAATGTAATTAATATACCTTTAAAAAATCCTTTTAATTTTTTAAAAACAATAATAATTTTAATAAAATAAAAGTTTTTAAACATTATTATAAAAAAGTTTTTAATTATAAAAAAAAAGTTATTAAATTTAAATATATTAAAATTTAATATAATAAAAAATAATTAAAATTATTTATTATTATTTAAAAAATTATAACTTATATTAATAATAAAATTTATTAATTCCGTTTAATTATAAAAATTATTATAATAAAAAATAATTTTATTAAAAAAATTAATTTTCTTAAAGTTATTAAGTTAAAAAGTTTATTTAAAATATTTAATAATGCCGGTATATAATCTTCGTTTAATTTATTTATTAATTTATTACTTATTTTTTTAAAGTTTTTTTTTTATTTTCCCGTAATTATTTTTTATAATTTTATTTAATATTATTTACCATATTATTAACATATTTTTAAAAATTATCGTCACTTATATAATTTATTTAATATATTTTATATTATTTATTTTTTCTTTTTCCTTTATAATTTAAAATCGTATTTACTTTATAAATATTATTATTATTAAAGTTTATTTATTATTTAATAAAAAGTTTATTTTTTTTATATATATATAATTTTAAACTTAAAACGTTAAATACGTTATATATTTTAAAATATAATAAAAACTTAATTTTATAAATTATATTATATTATTTAATAATTTAAATAATTAAATATAATTTTAAATATTTATTTAATAATTTTTTATTAAAACGTTATTAATTAATATATTTTATTAAAATTAATACTTTATTATTTATATTAAAACGTTTTTTTATTTTATTTTAATTATATTATTTCGCATATAATTTATTAAATTTTTATAATAAATTAATTATTATTTTTTTATCCTTTATTAAAGTTTTAATTTTTTTAAATACTTTTTTTACGTTTTTTTTTAATTATTTAATTATTAAATCGTAAAAACTTTTTAAATAAAATCTTAAAAATAAATAAATTAAAATTTAATAATAAATTAAATAATAAAATATATTATAAACTCATTTTATTATTAATAATTTTTTAATTTAATTATTTTATTTATAATTATAAAAAATATATAAATAATATTCTAGGTTTTAATTTTATTTTTTAATTTACTTATTTATTTATAAATAAAATATTATATTTAATTATTATTTTATTATTAACCGGTAATATAAAATTATTTAAAATTTATTAATAAATAATAACCTTTTATCCGAAATAATTCTTTTAAATAATTTTATATAAAAAAAAATTTTATTAATAAATATATTTATAAATTTAATAATAATTAACTTTTTATTAATTATTAAATATTAAATATATTTAAAAAATTTATTTATTATAATAAGGATATTATTATAATATTAATTATATTTTATTATAAAATTTAATAAATTTATAATAAAATCCATTAATAATTTCTTATTAAAATTATTAAGGATTAATAATAAATTTAATTTTTTATACGGTAAATGTTTTTTTACTTTTATATGTTAATATACCACGTAAAATTTTATATACTTTTTTATATTATTTTATAAATTATTTTAATAATAATAATAAAATAATTATTTAATTATTTTTAAAACATTTTAAAAACCTTAATAAAATATTTATTATTTTTAATTTAATAAATAATATAATATATAAATTTATATTTATTTTTAAAATTAACACTTTTAAATTATTAATTATTATATTATTACTTTTTTAATTATTTTAAAATAATTTTTAAAACTTTAATAAAACTTTTTTATAAACTTTATTTTTCCTTTTTACGTTTTTATAATTAAGATAATATAACATATTATTAATAAAATTTAAATTATTTAATTTATAAATAATTTAAAAATTAAAATTTATTAAAATTTTAATTTATTTTATTTATTTATTATTTAATTTAAATTTTTTTATTATATATTATAAATTTAAATAATTAATTATTATAATAATTATTTTATTAAAATAATTAAAATAATACCGTTATTTTTTAAATACATTTATTATTATAAATATTTCCGTATTTAATGTTATATAATTAATTTTAACTTTTTTTAATTTTTTAAATATATAAATAATAAAATACCATATTATATTATAATATTATAATAATATTACTTTTATAATTTATTTTAAAACATTTATTTTTACGCGGGTAAATAATTATATATTAAAATATTTAAAAATTAAAGTTTTAAAAAATATAAACTTAAATTTATTAAAAACTTTTAAAATAATTAAATTTAAATTAAAATAAATTAATTACTTCCTTTTAAGTAAATTAATTAAAAATGTTATTATTTTTAAATATTTTTTAATAAACCGTTTATAAAATTTTATAAAATTAAAGAATATTTATATATTATAAATATTATAAAATTTTAATTAATTTAAAATAACTTTTATTTTATTTCATTTCATTTTAATCCCATTAAAAATAATTATAAAGTTTAAAAATATAACTTTATTATTATTAAACTTACATTTTTTTAAATTAACGTATAATTTTTATTTTTTAAATTTTTCTAAAATATTATAAATATATTATATATATTTTATTAAATTATTAAAATATATTAAAATATTATTAAAATATATAATATATATTATATTAATTAACTTATTAAATATTATATTAATATATTATTAAAAAAATATAAAAATATTAAATAAATTAAAAAACATTATTAAATATTCGAAATAATTATATTTAATATAAAACACCGTTTTTCATTTATCTTTTTTTTTAATATATAATTAATAATACATATTTTTTAAATTTAATTTTATAAAACATTTAACTTTTATTAATTAATTTAATATTTTATTTATTAAAAATAATATAATATAATCTTTTTTAATTATTTTATTTAATATTTAATAATTTATATAAAAACGTAACTTCCCGTTAATTTTAAATATAAATAAAATTAAAAAACTTATTAAATTTTTAAAAAATTTAATTTAATTATTTTTTAATATATTTATAATATAATTTTTAAATATTTTAAATTTTTTTTTTATTAATAAATATATAAATTTAAAAAAAGGTTTTTTCTTTTTTTTTAACTTAATTAAATAATCTTAATTTTAATAATTAATAAAAATAAAAACTTTAATTATATTAAATATTTTTTATAAATTATAATATTTAATTAATATAAAATTTATTATTAATTTATTAATATTTTTAAATAAAAATAATTACTTTTAAATTAATATTTTTTTTAAATTTTTATAATTATTATAATTATTATTTTTTTATTTTTATATATAACTTTTTTAATTTTTTTTTTATTATTTATTAAAATAATATTACTTTTTTATAATTCATAAAATCATTTTATTATACCCTTTTATAATATTACGTTTATATTTTTAATTTATAACATTTTAAAACATACATTATATTTAATATTATATTTCATAACATTTACTTTATATTTAATTTATTATTATATATTATAAATATTTTTTACTTTTATTAATAAATAAAACTATATTAATATACGTCCGTTTTTAAAAACTTTATTTATTATTTTTTTTAATTAAAAATCTTATTATATTATAATTAATACGTAATTATTTTTTATTATATTATAATTTAAATTAATATTTATTAAAATTTTTAATTTAATTTATATTCTTTTAAATTATAATTTTATTATTATTTTAAAATATAATTAAAAAATATTATTTCCTTATTATAAATTTTAAATTAATTTCGCGCTTAATAATATTTTATTTAAATTTATTATAAAATTATTATTAACTTATAAACATTTATTAACGTAATAATTATAAATTTAATATTTAAAATATTACATTTTAAAATAATTAATTTATTTATATTTAATTTTATAATATAAAATATATAATATAAATTATTTTATATAAATAAAATTTATTATTAAAATTTCATTAAATTTTTTTTATTTTATATTTTTTTTTTAATTTTAAATAAATTAAAATTATTAAATTATTATTAATTTAAATAAAAGTTTTTTTTTTTATTTAATTTTTTTTTTTTTTTATTAAATTTTTATAAAAAAATTATAACTTTACGTTAAAATTATAAAATTATTTTAAATAATTTAATTTTATTTTTAAATTTACCGCATATTTTAAAAATAAAACCTTTAATATATTTATTCCTTAACTTTAATATTAATTTCATTAATAAATTTATAATTTTTAATTTTTCGGAATAAACTTTAAAATCTTTAATTTTTAAAGTTTTAAATTTTTTTAAAAAAACATTAAATAATTTATTAAACCTTTAATATAAATCTTATAACATTATAAAAACTTTTAATACGCGTATATTTTTATTTCTTATAAAATTCCGGAATTATTATTTTATTTTAATTTAAAACATATTATTAAAATTTTTATATAATTTAATAAAAAAATAATATTAATATTATTAAATTTTCTTTATTAAATATATAATAATAAATAAAACTTTTCGTTAATTTATATTATAATAATTTAAATTAAAATATATTTTTAAGCTTTTAAAAAAAATCGTAAATTTTATATTATTATTTTTTTTTCTTTTTTATATTAAATATTTAATAAAAATAATTTAATTTTAATAAAACTTTTATTATAATTTTATTTTTTTTAAAATTATAATTTAAAATTAATATTAATATTATAAAATTATTTTATTTTTAAAACTTTAAACTTTTTAATTTTACATTTTTTATAATTTATAACCTTAAAATATTTAATTTTTTTATTAATATTTTTTTTAAATATTAAATTAATATTTAATAAAAAAATTATTATATTTATATTTTTTTTAAATAATTTTATTATATTTATAAATAAATTATTATTATTTAATTATTAATTAATAATATAAAAAGATTTTTTTTTTTTATTAATTTATTTATATAAAGTTTTATTTTATTATTTAATTTACGTAATTATTTTTTTAAATTATAAATAATTAAATTTTTTAAATAAATAATTTACATTAATAAATATAAAACATTATTTTATTAATAATAAATCCTTAAATTAAGTATAAAATAAATATAAAAAAACAACGTAACCATTATTAATATATAATAAATATAAAATGAACTAATAACGCTACTTCTTTTAAGGTTAAAAGGGGCGAAGCCCCCTTCTTATACCTTGCTAACTTGCGCTTGCCTAGCAGGAGGTCCGCAGGAGGTCCGCAGGACCTCCTTCTAGGCCTGCTCCACTTATGCCCCTGACACATGTCATGTCATAAAGGGACCTCTTTCTGAAGGCCACCACCGCAACAGCCTTTCAATATTGCGACGCAAAAAAGCATGTCTTTATCTTTACCTCTATGTATTAATCGTACAAACATACATAATTGCTCGTTATATAGGCACACTTATGACATGGACCTTCTATCTACTTATCTTTCTTGAGCTTAGTGTGCATTAGATTTAGCAAGCTGCCGAGATATCACATTCACGATAGCAGCCAAACTGTCATAGGTCAAGTAGTGAGGATGAGTGGTACAAAGCTACCTAGCTAGGAGCAAACGAGCCATTTCTCGGAAACAGGGGCTGTTTGGCCGTATATCTCTTACGCAACTACGACGACGTCATTAGGTACCCACACCTATGTTCCCAGGTTCATGACACAGCATGGTTTTATATTTTACAAGAAGCAATAAATAGAAGCGCCGTAGCAACATAGTCACGATGTCTACCATAGACGTGATCTCATTCTATGGATGTTGTAGAGACGACTATCAACATGGAAGACTCTAGTGTGATCCATGAGCTCCGAATGAATCGGCGGCAATTATCATTGAGCAATTCACAAGTAGTCGAATCCTCGCCAGCAACCATACCACCATCGGAAGAAGTAGGAGAGCCATTGAGACCATCAACTTTAGTCACAAACTTGCTCTATTCTATAGATTCATTATTGTCTTTTGTGCATTATATATCGAAGTTCCCGCGTCCCATCCTCGGAAGCCTGGCCAACGAAGATAGCGGTGTCAAAGCCTTTGCTGGGAATCAAATGACCAGAAGTCTTGGAAGCGGCGCTTCTTTCCATGTTGTCTCTGCTTATGTCGATCAGTATCCTGATGAATTACGAGAGGGAAGCTCTCCACAAGGAAAGCTTCGGGCCATCAAGATCCCGGCTTTCAAGCCCAGCCGAGAAGAAAGTCTTGATCAACGTGAGCTTCGAATGCTTCGAGAAATAGCATGGGAGCTTCGTGTCTTGTGTCATGAGCCCTTAGGAGCAGCGCCCAACGTGGCAGGCTATTTTGGTTTGGTGTGGAAGCTGAGCAACGATCCAGATCTTGACACCCGTCTCCTTCCTTGTATTGTCATGGAATATGCCGAGTTGGGCACCCTCAACGATCTCTTTCAGGGCGAGTTATTCGCGTTAACGTTCGTTACGAAATGGAAATTGACAAATGATATTGGAAATGGGATGGCTACGCTCCACCGACACGGTATTGTACACAGCGACCTTAAAGCCGAGAACGTTCTCGTTTTTCCGGATCACAAAGGCGGGTTGATTGCAAAAGTTGCGGACTTTGGATTTGCTATGAACAGTTTAGAAAGGGGAGATAGTATTTTCTTTCGGGGCTTCACTCCTCCTTGGGATGCCCCGGAAATTAGTAATGGTAGAGTGTCTATGGATATTCTTGGTCGAGCTGATCTATACTCATACGGCCTTCTTATTTGGCGTTTGATGCTGGAGGGCCGCAGTCCGTTCGACCGCCCAGACTGTGCAAAAGACCATGTCGCATTTCAAGAATTAGCTGATGAGAAACACTCGGAAAGACTGCCAAAGATCGCTCAGATGAAGCGTGAAGTCGGAGATGGGTTCCTCATGAGAGTTACTGCTACTCTTCCCGGAAAAGGATTACAGATAGCTCCACTTGAGTCTCTGTTCAAAGGCACACTGAGACTAAACCCGCAAGACCGCGTGCGGTCCTTCGAAGATCTGCTCAATATGCCTGCAGAGGAACAGAGGTTATATTCAGGGATATCTACATCCGAGATAGAGGCCTCTCTATTTGAATCCCTACCGGGACTATACATCGGTCAAGCTACCCTGACACAGGATTCGGTTCGTTTTCCCATTTCCTACTGTGTACGTGATAATTGTCTAATGAGTATAGGTTCTGGACTTACACAGGCTAAAAGAGGTACTTCCGAGTAAAGTGCTCCATCAAATATTCACGGATCTTTCAACGCAAAGCCAGGTTAACCCGGAAAAGACGCTACTGGATCTGTCTTTGTGTTATTTCTTAGGGATAGGTACATTCCGTGACCATCAGAAAGGAATCAGCACTCTATTAGACTCAGCGAGGGCCGGTGATAAGCGAGCTATGGCGATTGCTTGGAGAATAAACAGTGTGGTTCAGCCTGATGTTGACTCTGACCACCCCTGGGACGAATGGTTATTCGAAGGGACCTGCAATGGTTCGACTATCGCAGCGGAGGACCTTGAGAGCCGGAATCGGCCGTTATTTGAAGTTGGTATGCGAATTTCCAAGGAGAAATCCAGGTACGGTGTTTCTTTAGCTCACATGGATAAGGCCGAAGCAACCCGCCTAACATCCATGGCTAACTCTCAACAACAAGTGGACAAATGGATGATGGACAACCCCGGATCGACTATAAATTACCTCCACCAACTTGGCTGGACATTGCTGCATTTTGCAGCAGTGTCTAACAACGCACCCATGATAAAATACTTGATTGATAATGGCGCAGAAGTGAATAGGCTTAACTTCAGGAATGAAACACCATTGCTTTGCGCTTGTCGATGTGGAAATCTAGACGCCACTCGAATCCTAGTTCTCATAGGAGCTTCAGTAACTCGATGCAACGACTACGGAACAGCTCCATTGCATTACCTCATATCATTTCACCCGGCAGATGTTGCAGACGTTGTGCAAATCCTAATGGAAGCTGGTGCAGACCTTCATGCGATCTCTCTACCGGCGTGTTTGAGATATCCCCCTTTGCAGTTTCTTGGCGAGGAAATATTCTGCAGTGGCACACCTCTTCACTGGGCTACTTCAGTAAGACGAACAGACATCGTGAAACATTTGCTTGGATTAGGAGCGGATCCACGGGGAGACGACAGGCTTTCTGAGAGTCATATTGCCAAAGAAGTCCTTCGATACGACGGAAGGGAATCAGCATTCCACTTGGCTGCTCATCGCGCTGATTCAAAGACACTCACAGTACTTTTAAACGATAACATCCCCGGGTACAGTATACGCGATACTGGGCTTCCTCACCCAAATTATATTACGGTTTTGGCTCAATCAGACTTTGAACGCATGTAAGAGGCCCCCTGAATTTGGGAATAGTGCCAAAGGAGAAACTAACTTGATAGGTGCGAGTATGGGCCGTCATACAGGGATGAAGTGATGAAGACCATATCGCTCTTGGATCCTAAGCTGCACGTTTCACAATTACTAACTGCTGCTACAAGTTCCGGCTCCGAGTCTATGGTTGAGTACTTGTTAGAGCGTGGTGCCGACGTAAATCAGTCAGATTCCAAGTTTGGCATCTATCCTCTTCAATTAGCCTCTTTAGGACACAATACACAGTCAATGATCCTCTTCCTTCTAAAGTCTGGAGCTGATCCGACGAACCATTACCCTGACAAGAACGCGTCTTGTTTGACATCACTTGCTTTGGGTTCCCCCGGGCCCTTGACTGGTACCCTTGTGGAAGAAATGGTTCAACGTGGGTGCTCTTATTCACGCTATGCTGAATCCTTCAAGATGCTCTTCATCAGGATACTTAGGAACGGTGATTTCCATCTAGCGGGCACCCTCCTTTCATCACCCGGAGCAAAAAAGGAGAAGATGTTGGAAGGTGTATTAGGAGACTTCATTGAAGAAAACAGTCGCCATATACTGCCGGCAGTCCATTTCCTTCTTCATCGTGAGCCTCTATATCCGGTGCTCTTTGAATCGGAGAGGGGTTCGACCATCTTCCATAAGTTGGCTGCAATAAAAGAGACTCTCCGTGACGATAAATTGAACCATCAGTTGGCCCGACAAATCATCTCCGTCTACAGGAATCCAGACTACCTGAATTCAAGAGACACAAAGGGTAGAACAGCCCTGGTTGTAGCCGTTCAAACTGGAAATCACCTTCTATTAAAGGAATTGCTAACTGCAGGTGGTGATTCAGCTGCAAAATCCCCAGACGTCACGCTCCAGTTGATAGATAGGATATCAACTCTTGGCAACATTCCCCTTTTAGGGATTGACTTCTACACGACTATAACACGGTACAAGACATTCAACTTGTTGGTGGAAAATACAGTTCACCTGGTGCTTACATGGCTCAATTACCTCGAAAAGGAGCAAGCTGTGTCTCCAGATACTACGAATGGAGTGGAATACAGGCATGTAAAGAGACTTCTAAAAGTATGGGAGCAAGCGGAAGTGGTAGAATCAAAGTTTAAGAAGTCTTTATTCCAGGCGATTTCCCGAGAGGTTACGGTAAAGATCACTAATCGAACTCTTATCAACGAAGGATGCGGAAAGGGTGACAGGCCACTGACAAATGAAGAGAAGAAGAACAGTAAGCTTACTCTATAGAAGACCAGGCATTCTGTTCTGTCATGGATTATGCTAACTCTTCCAGGTGCTTTGCTTCTTTGGGAAGAATTCCTGTCCGACCTCCGTCAGTTAATACAACAGAATTGAAAGTTAACTCGGGGAAAATGACCCTCTTTTATTCCAAATAAGTAGCCATACTCTTATATAAACTGATTTTTCTTTTGTGCTTGACATTAGCCGAGGTGGTCGCGAAGAGTGAATAATTGTGTTTGTGATGCGTCACAAGGGGTATACTTTCTGTTTGGTGAGTAGGGATACTTGGCTCCTGGCCCAAATACGTGGCAGTGTGAGTCTACGGCTCCAAGTGGCAGCTTGAATGTTGGCTTGCTAGGCTGCGCGTACCAATCTGCCCATTAGGGTCACCTTATCAAGTAAGTCAAGTTCGAGTCCCACATTTTGACTTGGAGAAAGGCGACTGAGACGGGATGTGATATTCCGTGGAAGTCTGAGGGGTGAATGCGGGGAAGGGGTCAGAATCCAGCAGTCAGATCTAAGCAACTCCGAATTATGGTTGGAGTCATTTGTCACGTGCCTCCTCGATCGATACCACTTCCTTAACATGTGTACCTAGTGCATTGCCCCACCTAAAGTTGAGGATCCAAGAGCTAAGCTTAGCTTACAGACTTCAATCGTAGTCATCAACACAAGCTTTGCGGTTGCTTGGGGAGTAACTGATTGGTTGAAGAGTTTAGTTGGCCGTTTGTAATAAGTTGAAAATTCGCTAATGCTCACCATGGTTGGTCAATGAACTCAGGGCTCCCTTTCCAAGATGGTCCGGGAATGTGAGTTCTGCCGCAGACGTAAGATCAAATGTGACACCATCAAGCCGACCTGCAGCCCGGGTCGCCGCAATAACAGGTCGTGTATTTATCACAACAGCCCGCAGAAGCAACGTCCTTCCGCAGCTCTTATCAAGTCTCTTAGAAATGAAAAAGCAGCTTTAGAGAATGTTTTACATAGTTACAGGACCCTGTTTTGCACCACAGCTTCCCTACCTATATTTTAGGACTGACCCTACTAGCTCAGTGTACCGAATACACTGTTCTGGGTGCCAGTTCAAATACAGGCAAGCCGCCAGTAAGCACCTCCACCACCGAAACGGAGCCTTTATCTCTTACCTACCTATGCAGGCTGCTAAAGAAACTATGTTCGTCACCAAACCAACGAACTCGACGGCCTATTTGACACCTCTCAGATTTTTACCTGCCCATCATCATCTTCATCATCATCATAAACAGATGATTGTCCTGTTTTGCAAGGATATCACTGCACCACGGACGAAGCCTCGTCACGTTGATATATATACCTAACTATAGGCCATAGTAAGAAGCTCGAAGAAGCTGAATACAGGTACACTATCTCTCCACGAGACACGATCGCCGATCTAATAGATGAGGCTTGGAAACAAGCCGTCTACATGAGAGATACATCATCAAAAAGTCTACAGCCATTGGAATAGACAATACGACAGCAGGTTACAGGTTACATGGCATATATGCTGCAGGCTCTAGGTGAAATATCACGGAGAGCGAATAGCGGGAATGGGCTTCCATCGGAGGTGCTCCTTGGGGGCAGTTATTTGCTAATCATTTGGATGCAAATCACCAGATTGGGATACAATGCGCGAAGTGCATACCTAAAAACACCATAAGTGCTGTCATTGTGGAATGATTGATTTACATCAGTGTTGTCTTGAGTTAGGAAAATGTCACTTTAGGATGTCGTACAAGACATCTCAGAAGGGATAAGAAATTGCAAAATTACAGGTGGTTTCGCATCAAGATGCCTAGTTGTGCGGTTAGTGCGCTCATAATCCGGTTTCAAGCCCTATTATAAGTGCTGAGATTAGGATTAAGACTCGTTCGAATGGATACGATCTCGCGACATGAAGCTCTAAAGGGAATCCTATCGTCTGCGAGTTTTCTACCGGAACCAAGTTTGGCAGCACGACTGAGCTCCTGTTCATAATTTATCTTAGATACTACCTAGTACATAACAATCATGAATTTCGGAGAAGCCATTCCGCTGATTGGCTCCTTACCACCGGCGTACCTCATCCCAGCCCTCCTCGTTATCAGCCTGTACGTTCTCTACCGTCAGCTGTTGCCAAAACCTATTCCGGGCATCTACTACAATGCCTCCTCTGCGTCATCGCTCCTTGGCGACTGGCGGGACATGGCGCGGACGGTGGGCGTGACCGGCGAGTTCGGACCCTGGTTCGCCGCGCAGGTTACCAAGGCCGGCGTGCCCCTGTGCCAGGTCTTCGTGCGTCCGTTCGGCAAGCCGTGGGTCCTGCTCGCCGACTACCGCGAGGCGCACGACATCCTCACGCGGCGCACGGCGCCCGCCCCCAACGCCGACTTCGACAAGTCCGCCCTGATTACCGACAGCTTCAGCTGCCTGGGCGACTTCACCGCGGCCTTGCAGGTGACCACGCGCGGCGAGCGCTTGAAGAGCAGCAGGGCGCTTATGCAGGACCTGATGGCGCCGTCTTTCCTGCACGGCGTCATGGGGCCGGTCGTGCACGATAAGAGCATGGAGCTGGTGAGGCTGCTCGAGGCGAAGATGCGCCTGGCGGGCGGGAGGCCCTTCAATGTCAAAACGGACCTGGACTGTGCCGCGCTGGACGTTATTTTGTACTTCGCGTTTGCTGAGAATTTTAACCGGACGAGTCTAGGTCCGCAGATAGAATTGGTCACGCGCCTGATCCCGGAAAACATGGTAGATGGACATGTCGACGAGCCGGTGACGTTCCCGGAGGTGCCGGCTGAGGATTTCATCGCCGCGGTGCGTATGGCGGGGGGATTAGTTGAAGGCTACATTTACTCCATAGTGCCACGGCTCACGCTCTGGTGGTGGAGGAGGCAGTCGTGGTATAAGAAGATGTTTTCGCAGAAGAGTCAAGTTTTCGGTGACCAGATTAGCAAGGTGCTTAAGGGGTACCAAGGCGGCGAGGTGCGGTCCGCTCTTGGGCACATGTTGATGCGGGAGAAGCGGGAGGCAGAGAAGCAGGGTCGTGCTTTGAAGGTCGAGACTAACATTCTAGCTGATGAGGTGAGTTCTATGGTCTCCTCCAGGTCTGGGACGTTGCGCTGATCAGGTTTTCCCTCCATCGTAGCTTTTCGGCGAAATGCTCGCTGGCAACCACACCACGGGCGGCGTACTTGGCTGGCTTGTCAAATACCTCACCAACTACCCGCACATACAAGCTAAGCTTAGAGAGTCCTTGCATGTCGCTCTAGCGCAAGCTGTCGCAGAGAACCGACCCCCAACCTCGGAGGAGCTGCGTCGGACACGACTGCCATATCTCGACGCCTTCGTCGAGGAGACACTGCGTCTGAATCCAGTCCCGGTCACACGCCAGGCGATTCGCGACACTACAGTCTTGGGTCGGCCTATTCCTAAAGGCTGTCTGGTATTCCTCGTATCCAACGGACCAGGGTTTCTCTCGCCATCTCTAGCCGTCGACGCATCGCAGAGGAGCCCGGCAGCGCAGACAGCCAAATTGAATGATCGCTGGGACGAGACAAAAGACTTGCGGACCTTTGATCCGGAGCGCTGGCTCGTCCGTAGTAGCGGGGGTGATGCTAGCGCGGAGTTCCACGGCGCTGCTGGGCCCCAGCTGGCTTTTGGGCTCGGCGCACGCGGCTGTTGGGGGAAGAGACTGGCGCAGGTGGAGTTACGGACGGTGGTGGCACTGCTTGTGTGGCATTTTGAAATGTTGGGTATTCCCGAAGCGCTTGCCGGCAATGACGCGACGGAGGTGATGATCGCGCGAAGGCCACAGAAGGTGTTTGTCAGGCTAAGAAAAGTGTAGGATATCGGGATGATACTGTATTATTATTATTATTGCTTATGCGCTGGAACCATTATTACTTGATCCGCACCCTCTGTGTGACTGATTACAGCATAACGCAGCATAACGCAGCATAATACAGCATAGCACAGTATTAGTACCACATACTGTTGTACTGTATTATGCAATGGATGGACCCTCAAGCTGCGGAGGCGTAGCCACTTAAGAAAAACCTTTTGGACGATATTTGAACAATGCTACGTTTAATTTCATAAAACTGACTTTATTTCTATAGAGGTTTAAGGAGAAATTTCTAATACGTTAAATTTCTGACTTGCCTCAATTATAACACGATATTCTGCATAGCAGTATTTCTGCCTCAAATCGCACATCTTTATACCTCGACAGCCTAGCATCTATTTCTCAATGTCTCCTGCAGGCTTTCTTCCGACCAGTCGGGGATCTGAATATGAACATGCTGCTCTCGATTAGAGAATCTTGGCTTCCATGATGACCGATTCTCATTAGAATCTTTGTTGTTACTTGGAATGAGAGCGGTAGCCATTGACGACACCTTCATCACCCTTTCTTTTAGGCCTTGCATCAGCGGCTGTAACACTGGGAGGCATGCGCATACAGTGCCTAAGCACGGCTCAGCCGCTGCCCATACTAGCGGAAGCGAGGAAATCCCTATCAGAGGTTAGGTATTTATCGGGTTTCTCTACACCGAACATGCCGGGTTTGGCGTCGCGGGCAACGGAGTACTTACAAGTAATATCTTCCTTGTCGTAGATTACTTTCTTGGCCCCGAGGAAACGGACTAGGCTGAGGACACACGTGCTGGAAATTGCGCATATGTTAGCACTAAGTTCAGGTATCTATTGAAAAAGGCGATGCGATGAACCTACAGGCCACCAAGGGCGAAGATCGCAACGAGCTCAATCTTCCTAGACATCCGCATCTGCAGCTTGGCGATTGCTGGTAGTGGTAATATGAGAATCAAGAAGTCCAACACGACGTCGGAGATTGAGCCAACCATGTATAGTGACACGGTGTCTAAGCAATGACCTGGCAAGGAAACATCCCAAGATTTGGCGATCGGTGTACATTCCATCCCGTGGGCAATCGTTACGCCGATCACCCAGCAGATGACCGCGACAATTAGGAACCACGCGCTGAACCGGATGTATCGAAGGACGCCGAAGATGCGCTGGTACAGGAATAGGATAGAGAGCTTGACGAGGGAGCTAGAGATGGCCCAAAGGATCTGGATAGTGAAGAATATCTGGATGACGAAAGATTAGGCTCCGTGACATATGATCACTATCAAGTTGGACGGACCTCGCCGCCCTCTCGGAGAGCGGGTTCTGACACGAGCTGTTGATGCCTCCCCACGCCATCTTTCGTCGCTATGCAATTCTTGCATTAGTCTCGGACTCCTGGGGTGGTGTGAAGCGCTTAGATATTCATAACGTCTACCATACAGTATGCGACGCAGACAGCATCTGCGATGGAGACTGGCTTTTGAGAAGGCATGAGTAAAGTGTGTCCATATGTCGTCTCCTCGGATTGCCAGACTTACTAAGGCTGCTAAGATGAGCCAATCATCAAGAGCGATATTGGCTCGCGCTAGCGAGCGGCATTTGAAGCGGAGGATGACCGCAACGATAGCAAGCACACTAAACAAGACTACGGGGCCGACGACGGTGCCTTGCTTGTTCTCATAGACCCAGGCCGGGAATGGCTCCGCAGTGTCCGACATGGCGGTTTGCTAGGTAGACTTGGCGCAGGAGCTTACGCAAATGACCTCGGAATCGGTTTACCATGCCGCCATGGCGCAGAACTTATTTCTTTTATTTCCTAGGTACAGAGTGACCGACGATCAAGCACGCATAGGGGCCACCGAAGGCTAGAGGAAGAGCTATTTTTGTGCCTCAGCTTTCAACCTCCATGGTACCACCGTAGGGCTCCAAGGCAGAGATGCCGATTGAGTCTACGGAATAACTTCCAGGTTCGGATGAGACGGGTAGATCACCGACTCGGCCACTTGCACACACAGAGTGTGGTAGCACTAGAGGATCAGCTCCGACATATTGCTGCGCCTCACAACCGTACCACCTATACAATTGAAGGATGTAGGTAGGTGCCTCGGTATATATTGCCTTATTCCTGTGTCGCATTCATGCGTGGTTACCTACCTCCCTATCCACCGACACCTAGGTATTCAAATGCTATATAAATGGTACGGCTGCCGTGTTACCTAGCTGTCAGGCCGTTTGACTACCGTACTTCTCTAACTCGCCACCTGACTCACAACGTAACGCACCATTCTCGCATCTTTGCCGTAAGCGTTCGGCTTTGAGGTGGCGGCCCCCACGATCTGCATTTCCACTTTCCAGCGCGTAGCCGTCCTTTCTCCAACCGTGTCCCACAGCAACTGGAACGTCATCTCATCATGTAAGAAAGTCCCAAAAAATTCTGTCTTTCCCGGCTTACAACTACCCATATGTGACCCGAATAGCACGGCCGGATGTTTCGCGCTTAGATCGCGCCGAAAAAAATGGATAATACGCTCACAGATGACGAGCTGCGACTCCCAGCTGAACAGATGGAAGAAATTAGATGCGTGGGCAACGCTGATTTTCCCGTCGAAAGTGCAGGCTAACTCGCTACCCGCGTACTCTTCGTTCGGGAGTAGTAGGTCCCCTGCCACAAGAGTAGCTTTGAGTGTTTCGCGGTCGCGAAATTGCTTGTACCCTAACTCGATGAACTCGGCGTGTAGGTCGGTTCCATACAAGCGGGTGGAGTCGACGCCCTCGAAGACGAGGCGCCGGATCGTCTGGAATATGAAACCACCGAGTTCCAGAAAGGCGTCTTGCGAGTCGGGCGCCCTCAGGCGCTCGATAGCCTTTTGCATCTCTATGTCGTCACCGCCGAATTCGGGGAGTTTCACATAGGTGAAGTGACCGATGCAGGGATACTTGACGAGTCCCCAAGCTTCGTTCCGCTGTATAGGGCGATAGTTAGAAAAGGGGGGTTAGAGGATAAGTGGCCGTCGATTAATAGGGAGGATTTCTTTGTCTTACAATTTTGAATATCTCCGCTTCAACTTCGTTCGGAGGGATCTTGCTATACCTCTCCAAAAGCTCACGAAACCGGTCGTATTCCCATGGAATCGTGTTCACGTACATCTCGTTTCTCCACGATTCGAGGTCTTCGACGCCGAGCTGCTTTTCCGTTTCCTTCCCCCATTTACCCTCATTGACGGTGTTGGTAATGCTTGCCATATCGGGATACGTCAACGCTTAGCCTACTACTCCCGGGTCATTTGTAAAAGATGAGAGAGGAGCGAAGCTCCAAAGTTGAAAGGTTTATACATTTATATATACCTACCCAAGTAGGCATTTTACATACTATACTCAGTATGATGTAACATAAAGTGAGTTTTGCATATAATTCATAAACACTGATGAGTTGTCACTAATGACGAGCATAACAAATATTCAAGGAGCACATGACACTCCCACCACTCCCCTTCCCTTGCACTGGTCTTTTACTTCACTCAATGCCTCAGATATACCTCCAACAATCCTAGTGGACCAGTTGCATGCACTTTGTGGATTTTGTATCGTGCGTCCGCTTCTCTTAGTAATGCTTCAAACTCTGTCTTAGTGCGCTGTTTGCCGCCGCAGTTAACTAGCACGATCATATCAACCTGCCGTATATCCCGTTCCAGCAGCCGTGGCCAGCTCTCACCGGGCTCGGGCATGATGATATCATTGATCAACAGCGGCGTAGCTGGCCCGGAAGACTCTAGTCCGGAAACAAGAGACCGGAACATGGTCACAACGTCTCTATCACACCAATTATGTGTGCATTGGCGGAGTAGGTACGCTACTGCGGGATCGTCCTCCCGTGGCGGCTGTGGCTCGAAGAAACTGTGTTGCGTGAAAGTAATGCGTCCCCTAACATCGTCCGTAAGGATTGCGCGGCCTTCAGCAAGCATGTCGGTTGAACCGTCTTGTACAACGAAGTTGAGGTGTGGGAACACCTAGAACGAATAATAAGATCAGATACGTATTTGTTAAAAGGAATGGGCATAAGTTAGGTTAACGTTGGAAAGTGCTTACTCGAGCTAGAGACATCGATATATGGCCACTCCCACCACCAACGTCGACAACTGTACCTTTGAGCTCTCCCCAGGAGAAGCAGTCTCGCAATACTGTAATATGGCGGTCCACTGGGTACAGATTCATAAGTTAGCATCGATCAGTGTCTACTAATTACGTAGCTGTAAAGCAAAGAAGCTTACTCCTAGTCACTCCGGCCATGGCTTTTGCAAAGCGCGCAGCTTTGTCCGGATATCTGGCATAATATTGATAGAGTGGAAGCCCGTGTGTTGTATGGAAGGGACAATGGGTACTGTCTGATTCAGAAGGATATTTTCGAAGACTATTGCTTGTCTCCGCAATTCCTTTCAGCATCTCATCGAATCTGTCACCACAAGTTTACGTTAGAAAGCGTCAGAATTCAACCCAATAGTACTGTTGGTGAATAGGTTGAGTTATCCGAAACTTACGTGTAATGCACGGCACTCCGCACTTCCTCATCCTCCAGCAAGACAAGAGAACTCGTGCTATGTGATATATAACCCGGTCGTTTCTCCTGGAATATACGATGGGTTATCAACAGACGCACGACTCGACTAACCCGATCCAAGTCCAGGCTCGCCTTGTTCGCTAAATCATTAATGGAAATGTCTCCATCCGGCGGTACGATCTTGAAGAAACCGAAGTCTAGAGCAATCTGAAAGGCTGCAATATCATATCCCATGCCCAGACATGACCGCAGAAACCTCCTCGGGCCGTCGACTAACCGCTGGAGGTCTTCTATAGACGTTCGCAGGCTACTCTGCAGGTCCAGGTACTCCTCCGTGGCAGGGGGCTCGCTTGACCTAGGAGAAAACGTAGGCTCAGCGAGGTTGTTAGATTGGAGGTACCTGGTAAAGACTTTGGTCTGCTTGAGGATGTTTTCTGCAAGAGCAAGCAAGGAAGTGTCACCGTGAGCGGTGCTCTCATCGTTCTGAGTTTCGTTATTCTCCATGACGATGTGTTGGTCAGGTTGAACCAGGTGCGTGCCTCAGGTTCCTTGACGATAGACAAACACGGCGGTTTTATCAACCCCCTTAGTACACGCAAGTGCAGAAGCGGTGCCAGACCGATACTAGGAGCGATCAGCCTGCCGGCTACCTACCTCCTCACTCAGCCTGCATGAGCGGTACCATGCAGACCCAGGTCCGCTGGGTAGGATCCAGCTCACCGATATGGGGAAAGTGACCGCTGCGTGAAGTCACCCAGACGAGAGGCTAAGTACCGCGTAGGTACCTACTGAGCCTAATCGCCCAATTTAGACAGATGAGTCTGTGTAACATCGTCATCATACGAGTGCAGATATTCGTGTTTGTGTGAGGTAAGTCCATGGGGACGACGGGTATAAGATGCCAAGACTCGGTTAGTCCTTACTACCCTAGAGCTAACAGTAGTATTCGTCGTATTAAGTCATTGCTTGAATTATCTTAGTGATATGGCGACTCAGCTCAGTTCGCATGAGGACCAAGATCCGGATGGTAAACTTGTGGCAATCGTCGGCATGGGTTAGTCCATACTAGGTACCTAATACTATGTTGAAAAACATACTACTAACTTTATTAAAATTCAGGGTGTCGTTGGCCCAGCGGCGTGGACTCGCCAAAACAGATGTGGTCCTTCCTACGGGATCAGCGCTCTGGTCTCCGCTCCTTCGACTCCGTGACGCGATGTTTCTCCGCCGCAGGGTTCCACCACCCGAACCCGGGGCGGCCCGGCACAACGGCCGCGGAAGGTGCGTTCCTTGTAGACGGCGATCCACGGCTGTTCGACCACGCTTTCTTCGGCATCACAGGGCACGAGGCCGAGACCATGGACCCGTCACAACGTAAGTTACTTGAAGTTGTGTACGAGGCGTTTGAGAATGTTGGCGAGACACGGGAATCCATCGCCGGATCAAGTACGGGAGTTGTCGCCGCGAACTTCTCACTCGATCACTGGATGATTCAAGCGCGCGATTGGGATTATGCGAGACCATAGGTATTCAGCAGCAGGGGCAAGTGTGAGCATGCTGGCGAATCGAATCAGCCACGTATTCGATTTACGAGGTCCGAGGTATGGAATAGCATCAGCGTTTGTTCATGTTCTACACTCGTGATTGCTAAGTTTCTTAATCTGGACAGTGTTGCTGTTGAAACGGCCTGCTCTTCGTCTATGTATGCCGTGCATTTAGCAGTCAGCGCGATCCGCAACGGAGACTGTGACTCGGCTCTTGTAGCAGCGTCGAACTGGATTGCCGATCCTGGCCTGCAAATCGCGCTCGACAAATTCGGTGCTCTCTCACCTACCTCAAGGTGTCATACCTTCGACGTATCTGCCGACGGATATGCGCGCGGCGAAGGGTTCGCCGCGCTGTATCTTAAACGACTGCCGGGGGTAGTTACTGATGGGTCGCCTATCCGCGCTGTGATTAGGGGTACCGCTGTTAACGCAAATGGTCGCACCGCTGGTATATCGCGCCCCAGTGCTGCCGGGCAGGAGGCTATTATCCGTAAAGCATACGACAACGCCCGGCTCCCGTTTTCGGATACGACGTATCTCGAGTGCCACGGCACGGGCACCCCGGCAGGTGATCTGATTGAGTTAGAGGCCGCCAGTAAGGTCTTCACCTCCAACGAAAATTCAGGAGCAGGTATCCCCAAACATCTATTTGTCGGGTCGGTCAAAACTAATATGGGTCACGCCGAAGGGGCAAGTGCTGTGGCATCCATCATGAAAGTTGTGCTCTCCTTAGAAGCAGGCGAGATCCCCCCAAATGTCGGCGTCAAAATGCTAAATCCAAACATTGACTTTACGAATGCTAGGGTGGAGGTTGTGAGAGAGAGGCTACAACTTAGCCTAAAGATAGACCTCGGAGGGCTAGTATTAACTCATCTGGCTTTGGAGGGGCCAATGGTCACTGCATTATTGACCACGTCGGTGTCCTAGATATTGGCGAGCCGGGTCAAGACTCGGTGGCAGTGAATATGTTTGCGCAGGACAGGATGCTAACGCTTTCGGAGGCAGAGTTCCTCGCTCGGCTGGAACCGGCGTTTCTTAACGCTCACGATAATAACATGAGCAACAACAACGGTGGCGGCGACAACTGGATCGGTCAAGCCGAGGACCCGCTTTCTGCCTCCAACATTCTCACTTGTCTGGACCCGGGTGCCATAGCGGCCAAGGAACACGACAAGGAGGTTGACGCAGACGGCGCGGGTCCATTTAATCCGTCAAAGAGAGTCGAACCTCGCTGGTATAGTGACGCGCGCATGTCACTTATAATGCGCGCTTTAGAGGACGCGCGACGGGACCTGCGCACGCGCAGCCCTCCAGGTGTCGCAGCGGTAGCACAAGAAGGCGACGACAACACCGGCAAGTCATCCGTCGAGCGCATCCGCCGGAAATTCGACGCAGCCACTGCTGCAGGGACTCCGGAGCGCTCCAAGACAGCTGACTTCGTCGCGGGCGCCATCACGACGGCAGTGGCCGAGATGCTCTTCGTAGATGTCTCGGATGTGAATCCGGCGCGGACCGTGGCAGACCACGGCGTTGACAGCTTCATTGCGGCGGAGCTGCTGAACTGGTTCAGCGACGCGCTGAGAACGAAAATTAATATGCGGGAATTGCTAGATGCGAAGACGAGCATTGCGACGATGGCGGGTTGGATTGCCGACACAGCGTTGGCTAAGAAGCAAAATTCGCGGGAAGAACAGTAAACCAGTCTTTCACTTTGTAATGCAAGTATTTACACTACCTACCTACTTGCATAGACACCATCGCTAAGACGCCGCCAGCTGTTCGCCGGGTGCAGAGCTCTAAGCCTGGTCTATCAGACTTCAGGGCTTCTCTGACCATTTGTCAAATATACACGAGGAATGTCAATATGAAGGGCGTCCACACGTGTAATAACTAAATCTTGAAGTGAGCCTAAGTATCAGGTATAGGGGGTGGCTGTGTACGTTCAGCCACACGCGTGGCTATGATTGGCAAGACAAATCATACATATGACCTACGTACCTAGGTCTTAGGTCCCAGTTAGATATGTTACGAGAGCCTACTTAAAGTCTTAATTCACTAGGTTCCTATAGCTTTTCTTGGAATCTACCCAACTCACCATCCTCCGGCCCCAGTATGTCACCTATCCAGGAACTCCCGTCGGAGTTGCAACTTCGTGTGGCCGAGTTGTGCCCTCTACCTACTTTGTCCTCTTTGGTGGCAACCTCTAAAGCATTTCATCAACTTCTCACCCCTGTTCTGTATCGGGAGGTTGATCTTAGTTCTCACAACGGCCCTGATATTCCTTTGAGAACTGAGTCCTTCAAGGTCCCATCCGACTGGCCTGATACACGTAGAAATAATAAACTTATCGACGATATTATGTATGATAAGCAGCGAGCGTTCATTAGAACCCTGCGTTCGCATCTATCGCTAGGTAAACACGTTAAAGTCCTCCGCTGGACAACAGTTGATTGTTCGGATCACGCTATTATGAATAAGATCTCGCCAATCTACAGTCGATGCAACGAAGGGACAATTTCGCCACGGGAACTGCGGGCGGCAATGGAGGAATATGACTTTAATGGCTACAACTCACGTCTTTGGGATACGTTCGTCGCGCTCCCTCATGTTCTAGAAGTCGACATCGCATTCCTAAACGAAAGAAGGGAGGCCTGCCCACCCCCTCCATTATTTCAGCAAGTCCAATCTTTGCGACTGTCGGGAATCGCCTCCTCGTTCCTAATTAGGTCGATTCTCAAATCTGCTAACCCTGGATCGGTCAAGCATTTACATCTCAATAACCTAAACCAATTTGCGGAGCTTGAAGGCATACCAGATGAACTAACACTTCGAGAGAAAGGGAAAATAAGACCTTTTCCCCGGCCTACGGGTAGTGCCGGTCCCATGCGTACACATCTTTCAGAGTGCTCTAGTAGATGGTCTAACCTCCAGAGCCTAATAATTGACACGGTCGGTTTTGCTGGGCTACCGGATAGGGATGATGCGAGCGTTGAAACTTTGGAGACCGAAGACGCGCGCTACCGGGAGCTCGCCGCGCTCGTTAGATCTGTAGCAAAGACTCTCCGAGTATTTCGATTTCAGCAAGGGCCGACGGAGGACCGCTACAAAAACGGTTGGCGCCATCCGCCGCACGTAAGAGGCGCGGCACTTCGACCTCCCCAGGACGGCTTGCGACCTATGGATGCTCTCTTCATCAAACATATCTTAAGCTCTATATTGGAGAGCAAGTGGCCGCGGCTAGAAAAGATAGAGCTCTTTGGGGTGGCATCACACACGAGCTACCCGAACCGACAAGCGCCGTGGGTAAACTCTCCGTTGTCCGACAAGACGTTGTTGGAGATAAGGACAGCGGTTGGTCCTAACACGGTTCTTGATATACGGACCGACGCCACGAGAGTCTTCTGGCGTACAGATGAGAAAGATTCAGGCGTACCCGGGCTCGATGAAGAAGACTGGTCCGATGATGAAGATTAACTGTACAATTCCGATTGCTCAATGGATGTTGATGCTGGCACAAAAAGGGTATTCGAATAGCGGTAATGCCGATCTTTTTCTAAATTATTAATTGATTATAGCTGATGTTTATCACTATTCTGTGTACTTCGTAAGGAGAGAACACGCGGTTATGGAAGTCTTTCGAGTTTTTCGGGAAGTTCACCGCTTTCAGCGCACAGCAGGTAATGGACGTAAGCATTACGCTCCGAAATATAACATTGTTTAGTTTCTTATGTTCCTTGCTTATAATAACGGTAACTTATCGTTCGGTCCCGTAGCTAGCGGGTCCATTTTACTCCAAAAATACTCCATGTGGAGCTGTCGTGCCGAGATATTGCGTCGGGTTGCAGCAGAATCCGAAACTGAACTGTACAAGTTTTCATGAGTCTCGTAGGATAGCAATTGTACCTTTTTCTACAAGCTCCAAGAACAATAACAGATCTCAGTCGACGCAGTATATCATCGTGTTTAACAGAATAGATGCAGCTTATTTAATTTGTGCTTAATTATCGAAAGGGGTGCCATCAAGAAAACATGAATTATTCTACCTAAAAGCTTCATTTCCACGTGGCTTAAGCCTCTTAAATCCTACGAAAGCCACAATTCGAATATGGTATCTGTGGCTAACCTAACGGCTGAATTGAGACAGGCATGGATCGTTTACGTCGTTTTGGTCGCTGGATGCTGCATACGATGTGCAGAAGGATTGAACCCATCCCTTAGATATTAGGATTTATACCAACCCACTGGGCCTCTTTATGTACCTATCAAAAGAGATCGCATCGTAGAAAGCTGGCCGAATGATGTTGTGAGGCTGATGCGTCGGAAGCGAAGTTCTGTTTTTAGAAATCATACTAACTGTTCTAACTGTACTAACGGACAAACTGTGGATTATGGCGGGCATGGAGCAGAACATGTATCCCTCGTTTAGTGGCTGTGTTTGACGGACTGACGGACTTCTGTGAGTACTGTTGGTTTTGCTTCTTTGCCAAGAGGTTCTCGCACGCAACCGGTTGACCCTTGCTGGTGCCGATGGATTCTATTACTTATCCCAGCTGTGTATAGGTAAGGCTAAATAAGCAATTTAGATGAACAAGGAGCACGACGTGTCGGGTTTTCCTGTTTATGTAGCTACCCGACAGCAAGGGGGACGAATTCCAATTTATGATACTCCCTGGATCTTTATCTGCCGCGGAACACAAACAGCGATCGAAAGTTTTGATGTCAACAGAGATCTTACTAGGTACCTACTTTGAGCAATAGGCGATCAGAAACGTTTGGGCAATGCCTTAGCTTCCACGTCGTTGGACCCCCGTCTCACCAACCACCAGCCAAGCAGTGGGTTGACGATCTGTTAGGGATAGCATGGTACTTTTAATATCCATAGCTGTATGTAACCGTCCGTGGGTTTTAGCGCAAGCTGGAGAATACTAACGGTTCACTTAGTATATAACGTCTATGCATACAATTCAGGTGTAGTAGGCTAACTTTCACTATCCCCAAATATACCTAATATAAGATCGTCAAGGCTTCCACAATTTGCAACGGCATGTCTTTGACACATCTGCCCTGCCATCCTGGTTAGAATCCTATTTCTCCACTGGGGGGCCTCTGTCAATCGCTGATCCATGCGCTCTAGGTTGTATCTGAAAAAGGCGAATAAGAATCTGCGGGTTTGCAGTTCCAGTTCCATCTACACTGTGTATTGTATCATACTGTACTGTAATGTTGGTCTGTCTTCCGAGTTCTTAACTCATCCGGTCACCGTCAAGTTTCCACATCTTGATAATTCCCTAAAACTGGAGGATAAAGGGGAAATTCACAAAGATTTGCAGCGATGGAAAAGGCTACTCGGGAAGCGGACGTAAACTCGGTCGAAGAACATTATGTCCTACCTTCGACATTCTCGCCTTGGTCCGGTCACGAGGACGAACCAGACTTCGTCCACTCACATACCCAATCATTGACACCATCGCCAACCTCATCGCCGCCGCCCGAGAGGTCTAAAGAGCACCTGTCGGCAGATGTTGCCGAAGACCAAGTGCTGAGGCCCCAGTTATCGCGGCGAATCTCGCCCTTCAGGTCTGCGTCAACGCCGCAAGCTCAGCAGGACGACGAGCAACTTATGCTAAGGCCGGATGACCACGGCATGCAACCCGTGACCGAAACCACGATTTCGGCTGGAGATGTTCAGAAACAAGGTACCGTACGGCGCACTAGGTTCACGGAGTTATTGAGTCGCTCTCTATCGCTATCGTTACTAGGCAAGAAAGTACCCCCCTCACCTAGTAGCAATTACAACACGATAGTAGAGGATCCTTCGGCTCAGCAAGGCCCTGAGCATTATCCAATGGGCTCAGTGAATGCGCCCCATACAGCTGCAGAGGAGAGGTGTGGTACTTCAAGTTCAAGCAGCTCGGACGACGACTCTGATGTCGACCTCGACGAGCTCGCTACCAAATATGGTACTTCTAAGTCCTCTTTTTCACGCCTTTTACCTACGCATCAATACTGATAAACTCTAGAACGACCTCCTTTAGATTGTCACTCGAGGCGGGATGTGTACACTAAGCGCTGGAGCTGGACATTCATTGTCCTCGCGTCACTATCCGTATACTCTACCCTCGCTAGTGGACTATGGCTATTCACCTCTATCTACCAGCCGCGCTACGGAAGGGGGATATCTGATAGCGAGGGTTGGAAAATGGCCCCCTCAACCGCAACACTGCTCTGCACATTGATAGCTAAGACTATCGAAATGTCTTTCGTAACCGTCTTCGTAGCTTTCCTCGGCCAGGTTCTGACACGGAGGGCATTCGTTAAGAAATCCAATGGCGTGACGCTCGCCGAAATGACGATGCGGAACTGGGTTATCGTGAGTACTACCGGGAAACCCATCGCATGGCTTAGCTAAGCCGGCAGTCCGTTGCTGACAGAATGACGTTGAATTTAGCAACCGGGGTCTTTGCTTACATACTGGGAAGGAGTTCCTTTCGCGGCTACGACTGTTCTAGGCATCCTCTCGTTAATTGCCACTATCTGCACGATGTTCTATACGACGGCATCTGACGCGATGGTTAGCCCCAAGTTGAAATTCGGGGCTTGGGAGTCACGGAGCTTAGAAGGGCTTGTAAAGGCATCCTACGCGAATCCGTATTACGTTCAGAGCGCTTGCTCAACGCCCATCGACCTACAGATGGACCCAAATAACTCGGCCCCCTCCTGTCTTGATGTGCAGTACTCGGGTCAATCCTACCACAACCTCCTGACATATTTGTACATCCCCCACTCCATCCAACATAGCCCCGAATTGACTAACAAAATCCACCAGGGGTGAATGGTATCCTATCCACGAAAATGGATCATCTAGCACCGGTCACCTAAGCGGGAGACCCGTAGGGAAGCACAACCTGTTCGATAACACGACAATGGCGTCGACCTGGATAGAGACCGAGTTTGGGGACCCGGAGACAAATTTTGCGACTTACAACAGGATTATAAACAACGTCACACTGGCCATGCCGCACCCAGGCGTTTACTCGGCGGCCACAGATCCCCGCAACAATATTTTACAGCCGGATGACTTGGCAGGCGTTGGTGAGTACTCCATTCGAGCGAGTGTCGTTTCGCCCGTCGTGAACGTTATGTGCGTGAACATGGCCCCCGACGAACTAGCACCGCTTGTGTATACGCGGTGGCCCAACGCGCGGACAGAATCCACCGACGTCCCTAACCAGCGCACCGGCGTAGAGGACTGGTTCAACGACGTACCGGCACCTTCCGACGACGAGTGGCTGAACCGAACCGCAGTCGACGACATATTCCGATGGGGACCCAAGTACCAGCGCCGGCCGCCTGTCTTTCAACTCTACCCCATCGCCTACAACATGATCACCAACACGTCCGTCTCAATGTCGGTGGACATCTACATCCTCGCGAAGTCCAACTTCACCGACGACTACACGTTGTGCCAGCTCGAGTCCTGGCTAACCCCGAAATGCTCGACGGAGTTCGACCTGTCCGGCATATCGGGCGGGTACATGCGCGCGCACTGCGAGAACCCGGCAAACGCGAACTCGTACGAAGCCGGGTCCGGCAACACGGACTTTGACGTGAACGCGCCGGCGCCGAGCATCGACTGGCGCAACCTGGCGGACCAGTGGCGGCTATCCATGGACCTGAACGGGGGCGTGCAAAACAACAACGCGAGCAACGCGCGGATCCTAACCAACCTAATCCTCAACAGCACTTCGCTCGACCCGCGGCTGCCGTCCATGGCCGAAGCCCTCGCCGTGCTCGCGTCCTCGACGCTCGTCGCCGGCACCCTGTCGTCGACGTACCGCGCCGTGTGGGACTACCCGTCGGTGTCGATGACGCCGGGCGTGTACGAGCGCTTCCACGTGTCGATGAAGACGCAGGAGTACACGTCGTCGCACGTGATGGCGTGGCAGGGCGTCTTCTACCCCGTGCTCGGCTGCGTCTTCGTCATCAACCTCGCCTGCCTCTTCTACATCCTCTGCTACCGCTCCGGGCTCGTCAGCGACTACACCGAGCCGCAGAACCTATTCGCCGTGTCCGTGAACTCGCCGGCCAGCGCCGCGCTGGCGGGCAGTTGTGGGCACGGGCCCGATTCCAAGGAGATGGTGGTCCCCTGGCGCGTGGGATACTCGGCGGCTGCGAACCATTACTACTTCGAGGAGGCGAAGGATATGAGGAAGGGCAGGCCCGAGAGTATGGCGAGCGGGTCGAATTTGCTGTCCCCGCATGGACGGTACAGGAGCCAGAATTGGGATAATTATAAGAGGTTGAGCTCGAGCCGGACTTGGTTGTGAGATAGAGAGTCGTCATTACGAGAGGATATAATAGTATATAGGGAGGTATTTTAGGTGCAGCATGTATATAATGGGGCATTTCATCAGGACATACATACATATCGGCATAGCGGCGGCGTTCGAGGGTTAACGGCTTGGGAATACCATCTGGAAAACGGGAAAAGAGAAAGGGAAACAGCCCACTCTGCATTTACAGGATCATCACATACGGTACATACCTGGTACTAGCATACACATACTAGCAAATAAAACAAGTTCACACATTATGACGGGGTCGCAGATTTGATGATTTAATAACAGCAATATCTTGTCTTTATTCTTCGAGATGTTGAAATCTCGTATTCAGGAGCGTTGAGCATTTTCCAAAAGTTTCAAGTGTGTAGTGGTAGCAGTGAGTGACAAGAATGAGAACATTCCAAGATTTTCCTCCGCCACCTAGGTCCTCAGGTAACTAGCAGGCAACTCTCTTTCCTAAGTTCCCCCCACTCGCCCGCAAAGCAGACAACGAGCATCCACCGATCTAAAACAGCTTATGCTCAAGCGTCATATCGCTCTCGGGCTCCAGTCCGACGCAAGCGCGGAAGATGTTAGTAAGGGCGCCGCGCTGCTTCGCGAGCGCGTTGACGACAGGCGTGCCAGGGGGTGTCAGCGGCGCCTTGAGCATGTAGCTCAGGATGCTGAGGACGCTGTGGAAGCCCTTATACGCGCCTTCGGGCTGGTCGTGCAGCTTCCAGGCGACGCGGGTCATCATCTCCGTAACAAGCACGAGGTCGATGATCAGCGGCGACGCGAGCAGCGAGTCCTCGCACACGTTGAACAGGCTGATGGTCTGGTGGCCGCCGAGGAAGATCTCGGCGTAGTACTCGTCGAGGGCGCGCTTGTTGTCGCCGACCGCCGGCATGTACTTGATGACGACGGTGTGGTCCGGGTGCTCGCCGGGCTTGTACAGGACGGAGTTGGCCTCGACCATGTCGTCGACCACGTTGCTCTTCGAGATCTCCTTGGACCGGAACTGCTTCTGCGAGCTGAGGTTCTTGCCGTCGTTGTTGCCGAGGTGGTTGTAGCTCGCGATCGAGGTCAGCTTGATGCCCGCGTTGATCAGGAAGTCGACGAGCGCGGACTTCATCTTCGTCTGCCCGGACTTGAAGTCGTCGCCGCCGATGAAGGCCGAGTGCTTCTCGGCCAGCTCCACGGCGCCCGGGACGAAGGTGTTCTGCGGTGAGCCGTTAATGAACGGCGTCTTCTCCAAGATGCAGGCTACGGCGAAGACCGTTGACGGGGAAACCTCCTCGTGGCCTTCCTCGATGGCTTTTAGGAGGTTGTCGGCCGTGTCGTTGACACCGGGGATGATGTCGGCGTATCGCTCGGTGTTGGCCGTCCATTGGACGATTACCTTATCAAGGCCATTCTGCTGCTTGAAGTTTCTATGGCAAGGTTAATAGGCGCGTAGAGCCGAAGTATACGAATTTTATCTTACCGGATATCCTGGCGGATCTTCTCGACGTGAGCCGTAGAAGCTTTGCTTCCCGGGATGACATTGTCAGCGCGGTCCTCCTGATTGGCCGCGATGAAGTCGGGATAATAGATGCTTGGGAGCGGCACCATCTGGGTCATCTCCTTCTTGACCTGTTGCTTTAAGGTAGGTTCAAGCACGGCGGCCCGATCCATGGCGTCTGCTAGGTTCATGCTGCTAATATCCCACCCGCCGATAACGAGGTCATTGGGATGAACCATGGGGAGAACGTCGCGGAATGGAATGTTGACCTCCTTCATGGTTCTAGGATCGGTACCGAGCTTCATGGTAGACCCCATGATTACGGATCCGTAGTAGTTAGCGGCACGAGGGCCCTCGCGAGTCTCCCAGACGAGGCCGCGGCGGTTGGCAATGATACCGGCGGTCACAGTCGTCCCATTGTTTCCGCCCCAGCCCACAAGCATCATGCCAACCTTGGGAACCTTACGCTCGACTTTGAAGTCATACACCAGTTCTTTAGGCGTGGCGACATACTTGCCGGCAGCATCCTGGGTCACACTAGTAGTGCGATAGGTATACTTCGACCGGATCTCATTGTCGGTATAGACCACGTTAGGCGAGCTAACCACGAAGAGATCGTTATTGCTAGACGGCGAAGTGGTCGAATTGTCGCCATTGGAGTGCCCGTTTCCGTACGCGGCGCCCGCGTCTACCTCAGCGTGCGGTGCCATGTTGCACTGCTTTTGGGTTTGTAGCTGGTTTTGGTCGAGGCCTTTATTGGGTAAAGGCCGAGTCCGCTGCGCTCCCGGGAGAAGCAGAGCAGCGGGCTCCTGCGTACGGATGATGGACGCTACATGGCAGGTCAGAATCCAACCTTACCATCTGCCTTTTGGAGTTGAGGAAAGAGCTTACGAGTTAAGTAGGTTGGAAAACGTCTTGACTATGTGTGGTGATCGCCGCTCAAGAGCGCGATCGTCCTGTCAAGAAGTTGAGTAGGAAAAGAGAGATTGAGATAGATCGCTATACAGCAGCTCTACTCAAAACAATTTACAAAATTGGCTATAGGTCTTCAAGTTCTGTATGTAATTCAACAAGCTCAATGGCGTTATTTGGGTTAGGTTTTCTAAGGAGCAAGCAATAAAGGAATCTAGGTACAGATGCAGTAGCTCTAGCTTTTAAAGGTGGAACGGTGGAATTCGACGGATATGGCGGAATACTAAGTGGCCGCTACTGTGCTACGTGGTGGACCAAGACGAACAACACATGCAGATTCAGCTAAAAAGTGGCACGATAAGAAGCAAGGTGAGCAGATAATTGTTTGGGCAGACGGGTTCACGATATCGGTCGTTACAATCGTTGGACGAAGTCGTAGTTTAGACGTCCTGTGCTCCGTACTCTCCCCGCCGTTGGGGTCTTCAGAATCCCAACGAACCCTTGATGAAGCTGTAGCGGGGTTGGTAGGGGTCTGATTGGCCAATTCTGGAATGTCGGTGTCAAGACTTAACGAGTTAGGGCTAAGAGAAAGAGTCTCTAGCTTGCAGCTGTTCAGCGATGTCGGGTCTATCAGCCTTGTATAATCTTCTTTGCCTATTGTCCATATTGTCCGCTATTCTTTGCATCATCGGCACATTCACATCTTGGACTGAACCCCGACTTCTAACAATTGCTACTAGCTTATTCTCATCACCAACAGTCAAGAGACGTAAGGGAGACTAAAGGATACTATCTTTAGAAATCTTTTTTAATTGTTCTAGAAACATACCTACGCACGTACTTTCAGTTTTACATGCACAAAATGAAAGACCACATGAAGGACAAACGAAAGGGGGTGGACAAGAGATGCATGTCTTACACAATTCCGTGGTGATGGAATTCGCGTACCGATTTATACTCGTATTGTGGCACGTGTGTATAATCTAGATCAGCTATGGAAGACGAAACTAGTGAGCTTAAAGGCACACACAGACGAAACAAATCATGTGAAGCAAAATGTGCGGCCAATTTTGTTATGGAAAAAGGGGGGATGTTTCAAAAATTTCCTATTGGTCGACGACACACAGACTCGGAGATCAATAGCAAGGGTAGAGCTAAGGGACTGTTTAGAGTCCGTGCCAGTGCAAACCGTCGATATCCTACTGTGGTAGCTAAATTACCTAAATTACTATTGAACCTCGAGCCTCTTCTTAAGACATTGAGCCTACATTTGATATATTATCCGTGTTTCTCCCTACCTACATACATGCCTACGTAACTCGCATAGACACTCTCAAACATCTACGTCCTTGAATTAGCAAACATACGTTCAACAGGGCTACATTCCAAGAATTCCTACGTTGCACGGATCAAGGGGCTCCACTCTTCGCTTCCTCCAACCAGCCAGGTACTTGCTACATTGAGCCTCATTTCCGGGTCCAGGGGGGCTCGGATCGAATAGGCGAACAGACCAAGCGTTCACAAGAGCTTGGAAAGAGTTATCTATCGATAGATATTAGGGGTCTTGATAAAGGTAATAGAAAAGGTATTAGAACAACAGGAAGTTATCGCCGTCTTACGCGATATTCTACGAATATTTTCCCTTGCGCTACCAATATTGTTAGTGTTCGGCGACGATTAACAAACGAAATTTCATTGGACCCGAGTTCGTGGACCTTTACCCCGTACACGACTAGGGGCTGTATGCAGTGTCAAGAAACGCCAGATAGCCAAGCTGCCAGGGCAAGACTCGGCCATGATAATTGGACGGTAGGGAAGTTAATAAATTTAAGCACGTCTGACGTCGGAGGTATTAGAGAGTCTCATTAGTCGCCGGAAATTTCTCACGCGATTAGGCTTATTTGTGTCGCTGTTGATATCACGATTCACCAGACGACATCGAAGATTAATTTTCCCATTCGTTCAACAGTCATTCCACGTTAAACTTAGCGGCCATGATTTAATCCATGGTTTAATGTCAAGTGACTTGTGCTAAAGCAGATCATGTTATAGCCCCAGGTAGCTTAGGCTGCTTAGGCTACCTGGGCCAGTTGGGCTAAGGAGCGGCAAGGGTCTTCGGGAGCAATAGGTGCCGCATAGGGCCGAAAGAACGGCATAACGATGGACAGCGTGGATGAGTGTCCTGCCGAGAGGCTGAATGCTTCACTTTTTCGACGGACTAATATGCGAGCAGTCTGCATAGTTCTAATAGTCTGCCCAACGCTACGATAGCTGCGTCACCGCGACGGTTGGCGGAAGACTTAGGGTCAAATAGAGAACGCTAGGTAATTTGATTGACGGATGATTGACGACGTGCCCACTGCGCGTCTTCTTTAGGGCCTTCTTTAGTTAAATTGCTAGATCTGTCATGTTCACATCTGGGGTTCCTGATCAGTGATAGCGGCGGTTACTTGCTCTGCGAGTGATGGAGCGTCCCCAGCATGTTCGCCTTAAGGAGCAATGAGATGCAGAGATGACGTCTAATCACAGCAAGCCTATCACGATAATCAGCATTGAGGCCGTAAGTGGCAAGCAACATGAGGAGGAGCAAAACTAGCAGGGTTTAATATCCCCACGACAACCACGACGACCATTACCTAACCCTCCTGGCTCTAGCAGTCCAAACTGCTTACCTTTCTCACCCTCCTTAGATTTCAGTCCGGTTCAATTGGGGCTGATTGGCTAATTGTGGCATTGCCGTCCATGGTCGCATCGGCACTATTTAGAAATTCAGATTAATGAACAGAAAGCATAGACGAATCTGGTTAAATGTATAGGAAAGCTGAATAGCCGTTTGGCAAATGAGAGAAGAAGGAATCGATGCCTCTAGAATTGTGAGATTGTGAGAATGTAGACCTAAGAGGCATATTGGAGGCACCAAGAGTGAGAAAAGAGGCCGAGGAGGAATCTAATTCGATTTTAGAATATCCCCTTTTGGTAGTTCTCCATATTATCCACATATGCAGACCAGAAGCTGACCCATGGTTCCTGGGCACTCCGTATTTGACCCATATTTCTAACTGCGATTAAGTGGAGACAGGGGTATCTCATTGTAGAAATTGTCAAATCATTGCCAACTTTAAAGCTGCAAGGTACCCGTTCAGGCCGACTTAGCTCTTGCCAGCCCTGCCTAGTAGAGCAGCGCTATGCTGGATCGGTTTAGCGATTGCTAGTGCTGTAAGGAAGGTCGATCGTACAGCTTTATTAGTGTTACATAGCACTATCACTTGGAAGCCACCTGCACTTTGACCAGTCTGACCAACCCGCCAACGTGCCATGGCTTTCTTATTTGTCTAAAATCGGAACAGTGAGATTGTGGCGTTCTTCGTTAAATATCTTCGGGTTTCTCGGCGGACAAAGCGGCTACTGTGCTAATCAGTTAGATGCTCAGATGCTCGGATGCGCAGATGTGTGTTGGTGACAGGTGATATATGTGCATTTCAGCTGTGAAAGTTAATGTATGTGTGGAAGCAAGCTGCAATTTTAAGGTTGAAGATGGAAGGGAACAGAGCCACAATCCTCTGGAACGGCCGACGAGGAAGGAACCGACGTTCCAACTAACGACCTACTTCATAGAGTATTAGAAACAACGTTAAAGTTATTAAGAGAGTTCAGAATTGGAACATATGGAATAGAACCTAGCAAATAACTAACCATGAACCGGATCCTACCGATTCATGTTAATGAAAGAGTACCAAGTCAGTCGTCAGTAAATGATCAACAAAAGTGACTTCATCGCCAGTCACCGACTCCTTCAAGTGGTGTGTGGTAAGAAGAGGGCACATGTACGCTATAGTCTACCATATTTACCTACATATTTAGCCAACAGTTGCAAAAACCATCAATGTTTGACCTCAAGTTCCTAATCCCAATCCTGCTCCAACGCCTCATGCGCCACTTCTTCCCTTCGAAATACGAACAGACGAGTGTTTGACATAGATAGCTCTCATAATTCCTGTTGCTTGAATTATTACTTGCCCTCTTTCGTGTATTGTTTAATTCCCTAGAAGTCGTCTAGAATCCAACATCGACCTCGAGAATTATCCCGTCAGCCTGTACGCCTTCGGGCTTCATGTACATACAGTGAAACCGTACCATAACGATCCTAGTGTATAACGATACCCCACTATAACGATAAATTTTCCAGGATTCCCGATTTTTGTATGTAAAATAACGATAATTTCGTCATAACGAATTATCGTTAGTTTTATTTTTCCTCACCAAACAAATCGTTATAATTAGGGAAATTTTGTGGGAACCTTTCCGTTTTAGGATGTAATGTACCCACTTTATTACCCCTTACGATAATATCTTTACCCATGCGTCAAAATCTTGGCTATTTTAGGAAATATTTGCCAAAAGTGGGTAAGTTTTACTAAAAGTGGATAGCTTCTTACAACGATACCTCGCTTTAACGATCCTAAAGTCTTGATTTTTTCCTATCGTTATGGTAGGGTTTCACTGTAGTAATAAGATCCCTATCACATACTCTTTTAAGTTATTACTGCCAAGCTAAGTAAGACAGGGAACAGGGTCGACCCATGAATGGTCTAAGTGGACTGCCCGTGCATAGTTTAGCCAGGGGTAAGAGGAACAGGGGTTCGTATTAACACCCACTCTTTCGAGACACAGGTCGCAACGTCCAAAACGACTTGGATAACTAACTCACCGACCTTTACATCAAAAGATCTCTTTTGAAACTTCCTCGATCTTGTTTCTTCTCAACCAATTGTTGTAATTCCTACCAAAATCTTCCCAAGCGAGGCCCGCACAGCGTCCATTGTCGCACGAACGACTCTGCATCCAGCCTATCGCAAAGCATACCTCACCTCCCTAACAGCATCAACATTAGGTCATTAGCGAGAGGGCGCTGCGCTTATCTGGACCCGTCCTATTTGACTGTTGCAGCCTGTGGAGTTCGTGTTTCGACTTTTCTGCACGACATTCAGCACAACAGATCGATCGAAATTCTCTTTCTCTCGAGTGTATAAACCTTTGATTGGCGCTGTCGAGGCGATCAACTTGACTGCAAGTCAACCTTCGCCATCTTGGATCTACGCAATCCTCAAAATTTTAGTAAAGGGTGGGACAAGGCAGAGAGCTGCTGCATGCGCGCCACCAACTTAACCAATCCCTAATGTGGATAGGCAAGGGTCGATCGAATAAGAGAAGGGAATTGTGAAGCGACTTTCAATTATGACGGATACATCACGACAATCGGCTTTTATGCCGACGATAAAATGCTCGAACTGCGGGAATCAGGTTGAGATTTCGATGATGGGGGACCATGTGTGTGGTAGCGCGCCAGCACCACCAGAACGTTCGTGATCTTTCATACGCCTTTTCAATGTAGAGCTGATCTCTAACTACCGAAACAGCAACTCCTATGCCTGATCTTTTGGGTGGCGCGTTGAATTCCCTCAAGGTGAATGTCTTTGGCGGGTTCGGCCGCTCTGCTCCGCCGGCTGTCGATACAAAAGCAGCAAGTAAGCTTACCACTACCCATTATAAAAGTCAACACGCCAGCTAATACAGTAGATCGTGCATTCTCAAAGCAGGATCAACTAACTCCAGCGAGCGCTTCCACTGGATCTCAGGCTATCTCACCAAAGACACCTAATGGACGGCCAGGTGCCGGTCCTGGCGGAGATGACTTCGGACCAGCAATAGCGACTTCGCCTAGACGACCAGGTGGATATGGAGGATTTGGAGATCCTGAATCATTTGAAGGCGACTCTACTTACGGTACTAGCCCAAATAAATCTACTAATTTCTTGACAAGAATGAACAGCATCGCACCTGGTCCATTCGATTCAAATCGACGACCTGGTTCAAAGAATTCATTCGCACGAAATAATAGCAGGGAAAACCTCACGGTAGATTCGAACGACGATAGGCCAGGCACGTCAGGTTCAACCTCGTCGAAGAATAGCACTGGCCTTGCACCTCCTAGGGCGCCACGGACAAATGGTTACGGAGGATTCGGGGCACCGCAAAGAGATGGCGACGATTTTGAGCCTCCACAGTTTGGTTTGGGCAAACGTTCCGAGACTTTCCCAGAGAAGCTCTTGCAAGCAAATGATGAGATGTATGAAACACCAGCACGTGCGCCCTCCGCACCTGGCCCAAGACCCGATCGGTTACGGAGTACGTCAAATCTCAGTTCCAGAGATGGACAACCCACAAATGGTCAACGGTTACAGCGACCTTCGGTTGGCGCACAAGAGGCGCTCAGGCCGCCGCCACGGGGAGGGTTTGCTCGACCGCCAACGCGGGACGGGAATGGCAGGCCTTCTGTTAACCTTGCTGAAGAGTTCGGCGTTGGTAACCCATACCACGCATCGTCAGTGTCACAATCTTCTAGCAGCTCTGGTTATAGCCACATGTCTCGGCCCAGCCAAGCTAGCTCGAATACAAGCCCAGCTCGATCAGTTGCGTCTCGTCCAGAAGTACGGCGACCTTCAGATACATCAAATTTTGATGCCTTGATGGACGATCTCCAGTCTTCAATGGAGTCGATGCAACCCAAGGGACAGCCACCCTCCCCTACTGACCGATTACAATCCGAGAAAAAGGCTGAGCCTCTGCGGTCAAACAATCGTCGTGCACCTTCCGAGAACCTACGATTAGATCCCGCCACCCTAGCGGGACGAGACCAAAGGTTAGGTTCTCCATTGAAGTCACCTAATTCTCCACTTTCTCCCGGTTCTTCGGATCCCGCTGTCCAGACTGGTCTAAACCAGTCGCAACCTACTCGACCTTCCCACAACCGTCAGCAGTCCCGCTCTCGTGGTAGCTGCAAAGCCTGCAAATTGCCGATCACGGGAAAATCGATCTCATCCGCAGATGGTCGCCTGACCGGACGCTATCACAAGGCATGTTTCGTATGTACGACATGCCAAGAACCCTTCTCATCATCGACATTCTATGTTTTGAACGATCAACCATACTGCGAACAGCACTATCATAAGCTCAACGGCAGTCTATGTGGAAAATGCAACAGAGGCATCGAGGGACAATATCTTGAGGACGAGTCTTCAAGAAAACACCATCCTGGATGCTTCCGATGTGGTGACTGCGGTATCGTCTTGCGAGATGGATATTTCGATGTCGACGGCAAGGCCTACTGCGAGCGTGATGCTTGGAAACGAATGCAATTCGCGGCCCAAGCACAAAGGCAAGGGCCGCCACCAGGCATGCAAATGTATCCGCCACGACGACCGAGTGCAGCACAGGGACCACCACCGAGAGGACTTCCCTCCGGCCCCGGCCCCATGGGTCCGGGTCCGATGGGACCTGGTCCTAGAGGGCCCGGGCCACTTAACCGACCGTTCGGGTTGCCCACTGGGAACCGTCTAGCTCCCGGTCAGGCATTAGGCCGCGGTGGACTAGGACCGATGAGAATGGAGAAGAGGATGACACGATTAGGCATGATGTAAAACTGAACCCCTCTCCCGAATTTTTTGTTTCTGCAACGACGATACGACTCTCTTTTGTCCCGATCGACCGACACCCATGTCACTACGCATATTTCGTTGGCTGTGTGATTTATCATATATCATCAGCATTGGAGTTCACGGTTCTGTTCTGGGATAGCATTTATCTTTTTTTCGATCGCATATACCCTTTCACACTTCCATTCGCTACCGCGATTTGTTTATATACCCTTTGGCGAGGTGAATACCTGTCTGCCTCGTCACTCTGGTCCATAATCAGTTCGGATATTACGAACCTATTATATTATCATAATATGATAATTCAGAGACGCATCTCGAATCAAAACTTCGACGGCTCTCGGTTTTACCTCTATTGCGCATTGGCGAGCTTAATGCGCTTCTGTAACGTCTTTTAATCACTCTACGGTACGTGGGAGATATGTCCGGGATGGAATGGGACGGCAGGTGACTAGACACGAGCACGTACTTCAGACGGCGCAGATCTAGCCTTAGCTAGTCGCGTCGCCTGCTCTTAATAGAGGGGGGAAGATAGAGGAATAGAGGCGGGAAGGCGGGCTACATACATCGGGGGCAGCGGGGAGGATCTAGCAAGAGCGGGAGGAGGCTAGATGCATCTACTTTAGTCACGTCGTCTACGGCGTTCAGACTATAGTAGCGGTCCGCTTGAGAAGCGCGGACAGAATAGTAATAGTAAATGACAAATACGTGAAACTACGAGTCTTGCTTCTATATCGTGTATAACTGGTTCGTACGTCATTGTGATCTTGTTCGTAATATGTAGTGTCTAGGTAGATGCCTACCTAGGTACTTAAGTCTTAAGTTACCGAATTCAATTCGCTTGTCCGCCCGCTGATGTGCTACGAAGATGGAATCGGTACTCCTCGATGAAACGAACGGCTACGGTGAAATGACGACTTCAAAGAAACTAGACCGTAAAAAAAAAAAAAAAAAAAAGGTTTCCGTCCTTGATCCTAGATATTTATCAATCCTTGTTCTAGTGTACGTGTGTAATTACCATAGCGGGAAATTATGCGGCTTTATAATGATTAAAAACCTTAAATAATTATTGGAAATGTTAAATAATTATTAGAAATGTTAAATAATTATTATAAATTATTAAGAAATTTTAATAATTATTATATTTTATAAAAAATATTAACTTTTATAAAAAACATTATTTATATAATAATTATAATTTATTTTTAAATGAAATATTTATAAAAATAATAAGGTAATATTTAACGGAGCGGAAAATTTAATAATAATTTTTAAATTTTAAAAATTTATTATTATATAGTTTTATTTAAGTAATTAATTTATATTATTTATAATATTAATATTATATTTTAAATAATTTTATTTAATATTTAATTATTTTAATAATTTTTTTATTTTTTATTAAATTTAATATAGTAAATTTTTAAAATGTTATTAATTTAATTACGGTTCGTAATAATAGTATAAATATTAAATTATTTTATAAAATTAATTTTAATATTAATTTAATTAAAATTATAAAAATGCGGGAAGTTTTTTTTTATAAATTTAATTACGATAAACGTATTAAAATATATATATTATATTATATAATAAATTAAATATATAAGTAAATAATAAATAAATTAAATTATATATAAAAATAAGTTTAAAACGTTTTATGTTTTAATGTGGACCGGGATTTTAATTATTTATTTAACGAAAAAAAATATAAAATTATATTATTTTTTTAAAAATATATTAAAAATTAAAAAATTTTATAAAAAAAATTATAATATATTATTTATTATTATTATTATAGTTAAATAATAATTAATTAAATTATATAAGATTTTAAATATTAATATAATGTATAATGTTATAATATTAAATTAATAAATGTTAAAAAAAAAAATTATATTAAATTTATTTAAAATTATTTAAAGTTATGGCCGACGGATAATATTATAATAAATAACGCGTTACGGTATATTTTTTTTAATGGTATAACCGTTATTATTAATCCGGTTAAATAAAAATTTTAAACCATTTTTAATTAATGTGAAATTTTTAAAAAATAAAATTACGTTATAATATAAAGCGATATTTAAATAATAATTTAAAGTTTTTTTTTAATTTATAATATAAGTTTTTTTTTTATTTAATTAAAAATTTATTAACTTATAATAAAATATAATTATATTAATTATATTATATATTAAATTAATTAAATAATTTATTATATTAAAAATAATTTAATATAAACGGGAAATATAATTATTAAAATTAATAAAAAAAATATATATAAATTTTAAACTTATTTAATAATTTAAAAACTTTTATTCTTTTTATATAATTTTAATTTAAATTTAATATAAAAGTTATAAAATTAAATATAAAAATTTATTTTTAATAATAATTTTTTAATTAAAAATATAAACGTAAAATTAAAATTAAAATAATTATTATTTATATAAAATAAAATTTTTAAAAAAATATATATTAATATTTTTAAAGAATAATATTTAATATTACGTATTATTATTAAATATAATAATAAAATTATAAATGATTATTATATATATTTTTATTAATTTATAAATAATAATGTTTTATATTATTAAAATATTTAAAATTAAATAAGTTATAATAAAAATTAAATATATTTACCGCGATAAATAATAATTAAAAGTAAAAGTTTTTTTAATAAATTAAATATTTTATTTATAATAACGTTTATTTTATAAAACTTATTATTATTAATTTTATTATAATAAATTTTATAATTTTTATAATTAATTTTATAATAATATTATATATATATTTTATTTATATTTATATTTAATTTATTAAAGGATTAATTTTATTTTTTTTTTATAAACGTAACTTTACCGGTTTTTTATTATTTAACGTTATTAATATTTATTTTTATTTATTAATAGTTATAAATTATTTACCGAAAAGGTTTAAAAAGTTTAAAAAGCTTAAACGGTTCGATATTAAATGTTTCGGTTTTATTAATTTTAATTAAAATAATATAAAACATTAAATTATTAATTAAATTAAATTATAATTAAATTATAAATGTTTATATTTATATAAATATCGCATTATCGGTAATTATATCCTTGGAATAAAATAATAATTAATTATTAAAATTTAATTTAAGTTTTATAATAAAAATTTTAAGGTTTAACGTATTTTTATTAACGATAAATTAAAAAGAAATTTAATATATTATATTCGGGGAATATAATATATTATTTATTAATATATTGTTTTAAATTAATTAAGCTTTTTATTTAATATTTTATTTAAAGTTTAATAATTTAAATAAAAACGAAAATTTTTTTAAAATTATATTTTTAATAATATTTATAAATTAATAATTTAATAAAAAAAATTATTTATATAATAACATCGATATATTATCGTTAATTATAATTATTTAAACGAATATATTAAGTTTTAATTTTCGAAATAATTTATTAATATATATATTATTAAATAATTTAATTATATTATCACGTTAAGTTTTATTTACTTTCCATTTAAAAAAAGCTTTTTTACCTCATTTTATAATAAAATTAAATATAAACTTTAATTTAATAAATCTTATAAATTTAATTATAAATATAATAAAAACTTATTATAAATATTAAATAAAACATAAGTTTTAATTAATAAATATTTTATTAATATTAATAATTTAAATAATATAATTAAATAATAATTTAATTAAATTAACGTTAAATTTAATTTTAAAAAAAGTAATAAAAGCTTTTTAATTAACGTTATTTATTTCTTTTAAAAATTATTAAATAAAGTTATAAATATAAATTTAATTTTAAATTAATATGTGGTTTAAAAATATAATATAAAAATTTAATATACAAATAATTTATTAAATAAAAAATTATATTTTATATTAAAAATAATTTTTAATATAAATTTTTATAAATTTTTAAATGTATATATAAAGTAATTAAAAGTTAAAAATAATGTTTTAATAATATATTTAATATATTTTTTTATTTTAAATGTAAAGAAATGTTTAAAAATATTAAATAATAAATTAAATTTTATTTTTATAAAAATATTTAAAAAAGGGGGGTTATTATTATTTTTATACGGATAATTAATATATAATATATTATATATTTATTTTAATATAATTTTAATAAAGTTTTTTTTAATCGGTTTTAAAAATAAGCTTGGATATATTTCTTTAATTATTAATTCGGTTATATCTTTTTTTTATAATTTTTATTTAACGTAATAAAAAACTAAAATATTAATTTATTTTATTTTATTTAAGTTAATATTAATAATATTATCGAAGGTAATTACGCGATTTAATTAATTTAATAATTCATTTATATTACATGTGTTTTATAATGGTATTAAATAATTATTAACTTTTAAAAAAATTAAGCTTTTATTTTTAAATAATATTAATATATTTATTATTTTTAATTATATAAATTATAATAATATTTATATATATATATTAAATATAATAAATAAATATATAAATATAAATTTTTATAAAAATTATATTATATGTTAATTTAAAATTTTAATAATAATACGTAATAATAAGTTTAAAAATTTAATTTATGGTTTAATAAATTAAACCGTTAAAAAAAAAAATTAATAATATATTTTATTATATACGGTAATAATATTCGGTATAACTTTATAAATAAAATTATTTTAAATATTATAATATTTAATAATTATAATAATAATAATTATTATAAAACTTATTAAACATTATTAATAAATTATTTAATAATAATATTAATTATAATATTTATTATTTTTAATATTTATTTTTATAAAAAGTTTTATTTTAATCACGAAAAAAAATCTTAATTTTATTAATTACGTTTATAAACTTATTCCTTATAATAATTTTATTTATTATAAATATTTTATTTTTAATTTTATTATTTATATATTTTTTTTAACTTAAATTAAAATTTTATTTACTTTATATTTAATTTTATTAAAACGTTAATAAATTTATATAATATTTTAAAATGTTTAATTAAATAATAAAATATATATTATTACGCGTATAAATTAAAATATTATAAAAAAATTATAAATAATATTATTAAATAATTATAAAAAATATTATTAAATAATTTAATGTTATTAAATAATTTAAAATTATTAAATAATTTAATGTTATTAAATAATTTAAAGTTATTAAATAATTTAAAATTATAAAAATATAAAATTACTTTAATATTATTAAAGTAAAATGTAATAATTATAATAATATTTTTATGTTTAATAATAAACTTAATAATTATATTATAATTAAAATTAAAATAAAAAATATATACGATAATAATATTTTTATTATTAATGGAAACGATTA